CCTTCCTCGCGCCCGTCGACGGCGCCGTCGCGTCGACGACGGGCTCGCGGCTCCTGGACGCGAAGCTCGCGGCCGTGGGCCGGGTCTTGGAGGAGCGGCGGCGCGACGTCGTCGTGGCGACGTTCCGCGGCGCGGACGGCGAGGGCGACGGCCGCCTGACGGCCGACGAGTTCCTCGTCGCGCTCCACCGTCTGGACGTGTTCCCCCTGGACGAGGGCCTCGACGCGCTCGACGCCGCGGACGTGAGAGGCCTCTACGAGTTCTTCGACGACGACGAGGGCAAGGGCGTCGACGTCGACGAGCTCCTGTCGCTGGCGCTGGACCGCGCCGTCGTCGCCCACGCCCACGGCCGCGACGCGATCCTGGCGCGGGCCAACGCGGCGGCGGCGCGGTCCGGCGCGTCGCTCGACGGGGACATCGTGCGCGACGTCGCGGAGTATCTGGTGCGCCACGACCGGCGCCGCGACGGCTGCTGCAAGCAGGCGGCGCTCGAGAAGGCGCTCCGCTGGACGGGCATCTCCTCGGAGCTCGCGCCGCTGGACCTCGAGGAGCTCCTGGACGCGCTCCGCGTCGAGGAGCCCGCGGGCCGGTCGTCCGCGGCGTCGGCGAAGAAGAAGGCGCCGCCGCGGTCCGACTACGCGCTATTCCTCGAGCGGGTCCTCGACAGCGAGGCGCCCGCGCGCCGCGTCGCGCGCCGGCCCGAGCCGGCGCGCAAGCCCCCGAAGCAGGCCCGGCGCCTCTTCGGCGCCGCCTGCGCCAAGCTCTTCGACGCGTGCGCGGCGTCCGCGCGGCGCGGCGGGCCGCGGGGCAGCAAAAGAGAGCGAAATTCCCAACTTCAAAGGCTCCGATCTCGGCCGTTTTCCACTCGTTTCGGCTGATTTTTGGACGAGCGATCATCTCTCGGAACGGTCTCGAAGCGTGGATGCTTTTTCCGGAACGCGCGCGCGCGGCACACTCACGTTGAAGCGACGTTGAATCTCTCTTTTCCTGCCCAGGCGGGCCGCGATTCCACGAGCTCTTCGCGGACGTCGACCGGCGCCGCGTCGGCGCCGTCGACGTCGACGGCTTCGACGACGCCTGGACGACCTCGGCGAGTGGCTGCTGGCCGACGGGCCGCTGCTCTTCGACGACGAGCGGGCCGCGGTGCTCGACTGCACCGCGGGCGCGGACGGTTTGGTGGACTACGAGACGCTCTACGAGTGGCTGCTCCACTACGGCCAGGCGCCGGAGGAAGAGGAGACCTACGCGCCGGAGACGCCCTACGTCCGCACGCCCGCGCGCTTCCGCGACGACGACGCGCGCGCGTCGCGCGCGAGCCTCGGGTACGACGGGGACCGGCGCCGGCCGCCGCCGACGGCGCTCGCGGGCGACGCGCAGATGGGCGACGTCGCGCGGCGCCTGCGGGCCGCGTTGAAGGACCTGCGTCTACGCTACGGCGGCCCCGTGGATCTGGAGCGCGCCTTCGAGCGCTTCGACCGCCGGGGCCGCGGCGTCGTCGAGTCGCCCGACTTCCTCCACGTGCTCCACTCGCTGAACCTGAGCGCGCAGGACACGCGGGCCATATCGCGGCGCTTCGACAAATACGGCGACTGCGTCGACTACCGCGACTTCATACGCTTCGCGGAGCAGGACTACAACGAGCTCACGTTCCTCGCGCGCCACGTCGCGGACAAGCTCGGCGACCAGCAGCGCCGGGGGCTGGACGTCCTGCTGCCCTTCACGATGGGCGACCGCGCGGGCCACGGCCTCCTGCCGGCGCGCGACTTCGCCGACGCGCTCGCGGCGCTGGACCTGGACCTCACGGACGCGGACATTGGGGACCTCGCGGCCCATTTCGCGCGGCCGAACGACCCGGACTACGTCGACTACCGCGACTTCCTCAAGTTCGTCCGCGAGCACGGCGGCCACCGGCCCGAGCGGCCCCGAGTCCACCGGAGCGTCGACGGCGGCGACTACGACGGCCTCCGCGGCGCGACGCCCCACGCCGCGCGGCCGGACCACTCGCCGCTGCGCTCCGCAGGCGACGCGTTCCTCCGGACGCGCGCGGACTTCTTCGCGGAGCCGGCGCTCGCCCAGGACGACCCCCTCAACTTCGTCGACGACGCCGGCGCCTGGCGCTCCTGAGAACGGGCCCCGAGGCTAAATGTGATTACAGCTCGTAGGTCGGCGAGCCCGCGGGCGCGTCCGCGGGCCCGCCGGCCCGCCGCTCCTCGAGGCTCTTGAAGCTCGCGAAGAGGCCGAGCGCGGCGGACCGGTGCTTCGCGACGTCGCGCGGGTCCTCGGAGATCGCGCGTTTGAAGTCCGCGCACGCGTCGGCGAGCGCGCCGCCGCCGGCCGGCGGCGCGGCGGCCGCCGCGCGCCGCTCCTCGAGGCTCTTGAAGCTCGCCTGGAAGGCGAGGGCCGCGGCGCGGACCTCGGGCGCCCGGGCCCCGCGGTCGTCCGACGCCGTCGACGTCGCCCACTCGAGCGCCGCCGCGCCGTCGCCGGCGCCCGCCCGCTCGTAGAGCGCGTCCAGGTCCGGATCCGCGGGGGACGACGGCGACTTCTTGAAGAGCGACAGCGACTCCTTGCGGCCGAGGTTGAAGGCGAGGCCCAGGGGCGAGTGCTTCGAAACGTCCGAGTCCGGCGAGTAGCCCAGCGAGCTCCGGCGCGGCGGCGTCTCCGCGGGCGGCGACACGTACGCCTCCGCCGCCGGCGCGGCCTTGCGCCGGATCTGCCTCGGCGAGAGCCGCGTCCACCAGGCGAGCGAGTTGGGCGTCAGCGGGCCCCGGGGCGGCGACATGGCGGGCGGCGGCGGCGGCGGCGGCGACGGCCCGGCGCGGGACCCGTCGAGCGAGACGGGCGGCGACGCGCGCGAGCCGGCGCGCGCCGGCGCCGCCTCGTCGAGCGACGCCCGCGGCGCCGCCTCGTCGAGCGACGCCCGCGGCGCCGCCTCGTCGAGCGACGCCCGCGGCGCCGCCTCGTCGAGCGACGCGGGCGTCGCGGCCTCGTCGAGCGACGCGGGCGACGCCGCGCGTCGCGGCGACGGCCGGCGCACGCGCTTGGGCGAGAAGTTGAAGAAGGTCGGCGTCCCCGGCGCGAGCGGCGGCGGGCTCGGCGCCGGCGGCGCCGGCGGGGGCGACGGCGCCATGGGCGACGGCTCCTGCCGGCGGGCGCCGATGCCGCGCCGCGGCGAGAAGCCGCGCAGCCAGCTCGGCGGCGGCGGCGACGTCGGCGGCGCCGCGGCGCCCGCGTCCCGGGGCGCGTCGCCCTCCTTCCGCGCGGGCCGCGCCGGCGACAGGGAGAAGCGCCAGGGCTTCTTCGCCGGGGCGGGGGCGGCGCCGTCGAGGTCGAGCCGCCGCGGCGCCAACTCCACGTCGGCCTTTGCCTCGTCGAACGCCTCGCGCTCGGCGGGCGCCGGGGACGCGAACAAGGGGTTCTTCTTGACCTGGCGCCGCGGCGAGAAGGCGGGCGCCTCGGCGTAGCCCTTGCCGGGGCACAGTCGCCTGCGCGCGAGGCAGCAGAGGCCGAGGACGAGGGCGAGCGACGCGACGGACGCGGCCGCCGCGACGACCGTCGCGTCGCCGCCGCCGCCGCCCGACGACTTCTTCGGCGTCGGCGTCGGCGCGGCGGACGGCGCGGCGGACGGCGCGAAGGACGGCGCGGGCGTGTAGGACACGGCGACGTCGACGGCGGCGGCCGCGCACGCGCCGTCGGCGCACGCGACCGACAACGTAAACGGGTCGTCGGTCCCGGGGAACGTCCGCGAGAAGGCGCCGTCGTTGCCCACGGTCCGCGACTCGACGACGGCGCCGTCGGGGCCCGCGAGGACGTATTTCACCGTCGCGCAGGCGCCGCCGCCGCCGCGGTAGGTCCAGGACACGGCGCACGGCACGTTCGCGACGCAGGCCAGCGCGTCGACTTCCAGGCAGACCGTCGGCGCGGGCGTCGGCGCGGGCGTCGGCGCGGGCGTCGGCCGCGGCGTGGGCCGCGGCGTGGGCCGCCTCGTGGGCTTCGGGGCTACGTTCGCGTCCGCCCAGTCCTCGACGACTTTGAAGGCCGCGTCCGCCATCTTCGCGTAGCCCTTCTTGTTCGGGTGGATCTTGTCGTGGTAGTATTTCTCTTCGGGGTCGTCGCCGCCGAGGGCCTCGAAGAAGTCCACGTAGTATGTGATGTCCAGGTCGTCGCCGACGTCCTCGACGGCGTCCTGGAGGTCGTCGTTGATCACGTCGGTGTCGTCGCCCCACGTGCCGTGGCCGCCGAGGTAGGGCACGGGGAAACCCAGGGCGACGTCGTCGCCCATGTCCATGATCTTCTCGAGCAGCTTCTCGTAGTCCTTCTTGAACCGCTTCTCGTCCCAGTGGTCCTCCTTCGCGTCGTTCGTGCCGAGGGTGACGATCGCGAGGTCGAAGTCGGTCTTCTTCAGGTCGTCGTACTCGTCGCTGTCGGCGTAGGCCCGGCCCGTGTCGTCCATGGCCGTCGTCCCGGACTTGCCCAGGTTGTGGACCTTGACCTTGTCGCCCCCGAAGAGGTCCGAGTCGTCGATCTCCTCCTCGAGGTACTCGGGCCAGCCGTCGCCGCCGCCGTGGCCGCCGGCCGTGACAGAGTCGCCGACGCAGGCGATGTGCCACGTTTTTGAGCGAACCTGCGTCGGCAGCAAGGCGAGGATACGGAGCAAGGCGAGGATACGGAGCATCGCCCCCCGATGCCGCGCCATAGACCGGCGCGGATTTCGTGGGCGAGCGACTTTGAACAGTGAGTTCACCACAGAAACTGGACAACCTTGGACGAGATCCGCGCCTTCCCCGCTAGCTTACCGCGTCGGCGCCCCGCCGCGGCCCCCCGTCGCGGCGCGGCTTGCGCGCGCGCGGCTTCGCCACTACGGGCTGGCCGCAGGGCCCCGTGAAGTTGAGCGCCGCGTAGGCGTCGCGCTTGCCGCGCGCGATGTGGTCGAGGATCACGACGGTCCGCGGCCGCGCGCCGTCGGGCTCCGCGCGGTGGACGCTGTTCGTGTCGAGGAGGGCGCCGCCGCCCTCGGGTCCCGTGAGCGCCGCGACGTCGTAGGAGTCGCGGACGTAGCTCTCGGAGAACCGCGACGCGTGCAAACTCTCGTGGTCGTAGTAGAGCGTCCGGTGCGACCGCGGCGCGACGAGCGTCGGCCGGCCGTGGCGCCCGACGTCGTGGAGGAACAGGAACGCCTTGACGCGCGAGCCGCAGCGGTCGTGGTGCCACATGGCGCTCAAGTAGCCCTTCAAGCTCGGCACGGCCTGCGACGCCAGCTCGTCCGTGAGCTCCAGGGCCGTCGCGGACGTGCGGACCCAGGCGCCCGGCCCGAAGTAGCCGTCGAGCGCCGCCGCCAGCGTCGGGGACGACGACCACGGGCGGAGCGCGGTCTCGTTCGCGAGGTCCGCGACCAAAACGCCCGGCGCGCTCGCGGCCAGCGGCGCGCGCGCGACGGCGGCGGCGATCGCCGCGAAGGCGTCCGGCGCGAGGCCCCAGTCGTCGACGCGCGCGAAGCCGTCGCCGGCGAGCGCCGCCGCGAGATCTTCGCCGCTCCGAGCGGCCGCGAGACCGTCGGCCGGCGGCGGCGGCGCGGCGCGGCTCCGGTCTCGATGGTCGAAGTCGAAGATCGCCGCCTGGAGCGTCGTCGGCGCGACGCAGGCCGCCGCGAGCGCCTCGGACGCGCGCGACGCGAAGTCCCAGCCGCGCGGGAAGGCGACGCCGAACGCGTTCCAGGCGACGCCGCGAGCGAGCGCGGCGCGGACGTCCGCGGCGACGGTCGCCGGGCCCGCGAGGACCGCGTCGCGGTAGGCCGCGCGGCGCTTCGCGAGGGAGCGCTCGACGTGCTTCCCGAAGACGAAGGCGTCCGTGTTGTTCGGCGCGAGCCAGGGCGGCTCCTCGATGCGCCGGCCTTCCAAACCCGGCGACGCCGGCGCCTCGCGCGCCAGCGCGGCGCAAGCGAGGCATGAGACGATGCGCATCGCGCGCATCTGTTCTATTAGAGAGCGTCGGTCATGCACGCGGCAGCAGCCCATCAATCTCCATCGCAACACATTCAACGACGGCGTCAATCTTGTCCTCGTCCGACGCGCGTCGCGGGCCTGGGCCGCAATAAATTGCTGGGCGCACGCCGCCGCCATGGTCGCCATGTCGAACCGCCACGGCGGCGGCTACGACCGCAACCCGCGCGAGCCCAACGACAGCGACGGCTACGCCAAGGACGCCGAGGCGGGCGTCGAGGAGTCGAAGCAGGGCCTGCTCGAGCCCGCGTCCGGCGACGACGCGGCGTCGGCCAAGCCCGCGGCGCCGACGCCCGGCGCGAAGCACCTCGCCTTCTGCTTCGTGGGCCTCCAGGCGAGCTACCTGACCTGGGGCTACGTGCAGGAGAAGGTCATGACGCGCGAGTACACGACGGGCCGGTTCCCGTCGGCGACGTTCTGCGTCTTCAGCAACCGCTTCCTCGCGGTCATCGTCGCCGCGGGCATCACGCTCTTCCAGCACGGCGGGAAACTGACCCTGCCGGCGTCCTACGTCGCCTTCGCGCCGTGCGCGTTCTCGAACTCGCTGTCGTCGTTCGGCCAGTACCAGGCGCTGCGCTACGTGTCCTTCCCGCTCCAGACCATCTCGAAGTCGACCAAGGTCATCCCCGTCATGCTCATGGGCAAGTTCCTCAACAAGAAGACGTACCCGCCCGTGGACTACGTGGAGGCGCTCTGCATTTCTTTGGGAGTGTGCGTCTTCTCGCTCGCGAACCTCGACGACGGCGCGCTCGCGTCGGGCGGCGAGGAGAGCGAGGGCAACGTCTTCGCGGCCTACCTCGGCGTGGCCATGCTCGCGCTCTACGTCGTGTCCGACTCGTTCACGTCGCAGTGGCAGAGCCGCCTCTACCAGGCGCACCCGAACGTCGACCAGTTCCAGATGATGTTCGCGGTCAACTCCTGGGCCATCTGCATGACGTTGTTTGCCCTCGTGAGCTCCGGCGAGCTCTGGACGACGCTCAAGTTCCTGTCCCTGAACCCGGCGGCCTTCGTCGACAACGTGACCATCGCGATCACGTCCGCGACGGGCCAGCTCTTCATCTTCTACACGATCAAGACGTTCGGGCCCGTCGTCTTCACGATCATCATGACGACGCGCCAGATGTTCTCCATCGTGTTGAGCACCGTGCTCTTCGGCCACGACATCAAGGCGCTCGCGCTCCTCGGCGCGGCCGCGGTCTTCGCGACCATCTTCCACCGCATCAAGCGCCAGGCCCGGGCCAAGCGCCCGGCCAAGGCGCCGCCGCCGCCGCCGCCGCCGAGCCCGACCAAGACCCCCGCCGGCCGCCTCCAGATCTAGGCCGCCCGCGCTCGCGCGCGCGCAAACGGCCCTCCTACTCGTCGCCTTCCTCGGGGCAGGCGCCGGGGCGCGAGCGGAGGTCGCACGGCGCCGCGCGGCGCGCGCAGTGGAAATTCGTCGAGATCGGGGCGCCGACAATGATAGCCATCGTTCCACACAAGTGCCCGTAAGTCCGCCCGTTCGATCACTGGACTCATCTTGAATTGCAACCTCAGACGGTGTCACAGTCGCAAGGTTGCAGCCATCCCGACAGGACGCTGCAGAGCTATGGCCGAAGAACCTGCATCGAAAAAAGCGAAAATAGCGGAAGCGACTGAAAAAAACGATGCGGCAGCGATCATCGACGTCGACGCCATGGACGAGATCGGCGACGCCGACGACGACGCGGTACCGGACGCGGACGAGGACTGGTACGGCCCGCGGACGCCCGACGTGCAGCTGCGCGTGTCCGAGCGCAAGTACGCGAGCGGCGTCGTCGTCCTCGACGCGGCCGACGAGGCCTGGTTCAACGGCCGCGCGCCGGCGCTGATCGCGGACCTCGAGGACGCGCTCGCCGCGCTCCCGGTCCTGCAGAAGCCGCCCAAGGACGGCGACAAGGGGCAGACCCTGCGCGTCGAGGGCGCGCTCGTGGCCGCGACCGTCAAGCTCTCGCCGGCGCCCGCGCCCTACCTGCTGCTCGTCGCGGACGAGGGCGACGACGCGCCCGAGGGCTACCGGCGGCTCGCGCACTGCGGCTACGCCGCGGAGTGCGCCGTGCGGCCGCTCGCGGCGGCGAGCCCCCCGGCGTAACGGAGCCGTGTGAATCGGAGACGCGCGGGGGATATGATCGAGAGCGGCGGCTCCGGCCGCGGGGGGGGCGGCGGGCGCGGTCGGCGGGGGGGGATACGATCGGGTTTCCTACTTGCCCTTCTTCTTGCCGGCCTTGTCGACGCGCTGGGCCGTCTTGTCGGGCTTGTAGATGCGGCCGACGACGGTGTCGAGCTTCTGCTCGTCCATGCCGTCGTAGGCCTTGCCCGCGTGGTAGCCGTGGAAGACCTTGGCGGCGATCTCGACCTGGGCGTCCTTGGGGACCATCTCCGGCGGGATCTCGATGCCTGTGTGGAAATCAACCACTGGTTTGGGGGGTCCCCACCAAACTTCAGAACTCTCTATCTCGGTCAAATCGAAGTCGATTCGGCTGATTTTTGGACGAATCGATCGCTCTCGTCGGGTTCTCGAAGCTCAGCCGAAGAAGCTGGTCCGAACCGTTCGATTACGCGCACATTGAAGTCGGGTCGAAGATTTGATTTCCACACAGCTCGATGCGGTTCTCGACGGTGATGCCCGCGGACGTGATCGCGTTGTACTTCATGTCCGACATGGAGATGAAGTTGTGGATCTTCGTGATGCCGAGCCAGTGGAGCACGTCGGGCATGAGGGCCTGGAAGCGCGTGTCCTGGATGCCGGCGACGGACTGGGTGCAGTTGAAGTACTCCGCGGCCTTGTCGCCGCCCTCCTGGCGCTTGCGCATGTTGTAGACGAGGTACTTGGTGACCTCGCCGAGCGCGCGGCCCTCCTTGCGGAAGTAGACGACGACGCCCGTGCCGCCGCGCTGCGCCGTCTTGATGCACTCCTCGATGGCGTGCGTGAGGTAGGGGCGGCAGGTGCAGATGTCGGAGCCGAAGACGTCGGAGCCGTTGCACTCGTCGTGGACGCGGCACGTGAGCTCGACGGACTCGTCGGGGATCTTCTCGACGTCGCCCCAGATGTAGACCGTCATGCCGCCGATGGGCGGCAGGAAGACCTTGAGGTCGTCGCGGGAGATGAGCTCCGGGTACATGGAGTTGGTCTCCGCGAAGAGCGCGTCGCGGAGCACGCGCTCCGAAACCCCGAAGCGCTCCGCGACGCCCGGCAGGTACCACACGGGCTCGATGGCCGCCTTGGTCACGACGGACGTGCCCGACTCCTCGAGGATGTCGCCGTCGGGCACGAGGCGGCCCGAGCGCAACGCCTCCTTGCACTCGGGCAGCTCGACGTGCGCCTTCGTGATCGCGATGGTGGGCCGGACGTCGTAGCCCTTGTTGAGCCAGGGCCCGAAGCCCTCGGAGATGGCGTGGCCCCAGGGGTCCATGGTGACGATGCGCTTCGGGTTCTTCCAGGAGAGGTGGGGGCCGATCTTCGCCGCGGGCGTCGTGAGCCCCAACTTCGGCATCGCCGCCTGGTCCAAACCGCCCGACGCGACGGCCAAAGCGCGGTAGATGCTGTAGCCGCCGGCGTGGGCGCCGATGGCGTTGCGCTGGAACGTGTGGCGCGTCGTCGCGAGCACGGGGCCCCGCGCGACGGACGACTTCTCGCCCCACGCGAGGTGGCACGGCTGGGGGCCGAACGTGCCGTCGTGCGTCGTCAGCTGCGTCGCCGTCTCGTCGAGGGACTCGCACTGCATGGCGTCGGGGATGTCCGCCGGCGGCGCGTCGCCCCGCATGTCGCCGAGCACGGCCGTCGACGGCTCGTCGAGCTTGTGGCGCCGCTTCTTGACGACGCCGGGCGACCCGGGCGCCTTCCGCAGCGGCCGCTTCTTCGCGTCGCCGGCCTCCTCCCACTGGTACTTGTCGTGGCGGCCCAAAGCGATGGCCGCCTGGGACCCCGGCGCGCCGAAGATGCGGTCGCCCGCGTCGCCGAGGCCCGGCAGCAGGCCCCCGTCGCGGCCGAGGCGGCCGTCGACCTGCACGAGGTGCACGTCGACGTCCGGGTGCGCCGCGTGGAGCGCGTCGAGGCCCGCCGCCGACGCCAGCACGGACACGACCACAATACGCCGCGCGCCCCAGGCCTTGAGCTTGGACACGACGGGCTGCATCGTCCGGCTCGTCGCGATGACGGGGTCCAAGATGAACGCGACGTCGCACTCGGAGCCGCCGGACACGGGCAGCCGCGAGTAGTACTCGATGGGGCGGTCCGACCCCTGGCGCTTGAACATGCCGATCTGGAAGACGGCGGCGTTGGGCAGCACGTTGAGCATCGCGTCGACCATGCCGAGCCCCGCGCGCATGATGGGAATCAAACACACGCGCGCGGCGAGCCGCGTCGCCGCGCCGTCGCCCGCGGGCACGTGGACGCCCAGGGGCGTCACGCAGTCGTGGCGCGGCACGCAGTCGAGGTGCGTCGTCGCCTCGTAGCCCACGTAGTGCGTGAGCTCGCCCAGGATGTCGCGGAACTCCCGCGGCTTCGTCCGCCGGTCGCGCAGCAGCGTCACCTTGTGCGCGAGCACGGCGTGGCCCGACATGCGCGCGTTCTTCGGCACGTCCTTCAAGACGACGTCGGCGACGCCGCCGTCGGGGTCGTCCCACCGCGCGTCGTCGACCTGGGCGGGAAAAGGGTGCGAAATTCCCAACTTCAAAGGCTCCTCTCTCGGTCGTTTTCCGCTCGTTTCGGCTGATTTTTGGACGAGCGGCCATCTCTCGGAGCGCTCTCGAAGCGTGGGTGCCGTTTTCGAAACGCGCGCGCGCGGAACACTCATGTTGAAGCGACGTTGAATCACCCTTTTCCCGCCCCGTCGTCTACCGCCGCGCAGACGGCCCAGGCCTTGTTGACGTCGAAGCGCTCCTCGTCGTCGATGATGGACCGCAGGCCCGTCTCCATGTCCATCCAGATGCTACGACCCTTGGCGACGCCGGACCGCAGCGCCGCCAGCACCTCCTTGATGTTCTCGCGGTTCAACCCGCCCGCGTAGCCCGCGGGCACGCCCGTCGCGCGCGCGTCGCCGACGCGCGTCGCGTCGATCTTGACGCCCTTGCCGCAGGACGCGTCCCAGAGCATGGACAGGTTCGCCGGCACGTCGCCCTCGTCCAACAGCGTCTCCCAGAGGGGCTTCGTCTCGTCGTTGGCCTGGACGATCCACTCGACCTCGGGCACGGCGTCGCACGCCGCGCGGACCGCGACGGCGGCCGCCGCCATGGCCCTGGCGTCCCGGGCCGTCTCGCAGCCGTTCGTCGCCGTCGCGTTGAGCTGCACGCGCCGGAAGCCGTAGGGCACGAGCGTGTCGCGGACGAACGACACGTCGCCGTTTTTTAGCACCGCGTCGACCGCGGACCCGCAGAGGTGGCCCGCGAGCTGCATGGGCGGCGACGTCTTGGACCCGGCCAACGCGAAGGTCTCGAGCCAGGCCCGCGTCGGGTAGCGCGGCTCGCCCTCGCGGCCGGGGCGGAACAAAACCCCGAACTCGGCGCGCGGCCACCGGCTCGCGATCGCGCTCAGCAGGCTCGGGTCCACGCTGTCGTCGCAGCCGCAGAGGCCCAAGCGGTGGAGGCTCATCCTTTGAGTTGGTGTGCGATGTGTCGCAGCGCCTGCGGGAGCGGGTGGATACGTGGATCCGCGCGCGGGTGCGGCCGCGGCGCAGAAATGATGTTCGGTGTGATTCTCTCAACGAGGGGGCGGCGGAGGACGCGCGCGGCGGGCGGGACGAGGTGCAACGCACGTGTGAGGTCGTGCTGCGCGGTCCCGTGAATGCCAGGTAGTACGTCGGGGCGCGAGATTATCAACTCGGTCGGGCGAGTACGTTCTGCAGAGCCGAAGCCAGACCAATGAATGGGGTGACGGTGTGTGTTTGGGATGCTGTGGCAACACGTCGGCGAGCAGTGGCATTGCGGCCTCGCGGCTAGACGCGGCCTGCACCCCCGAGTCCGCCGCCCGCGCGCCGAGCGCCCCGACCGCTGCGGCACAGACGCGCCGTCGCAACAGCCAGCGACCATGGGCTTCGGCTCCGCGTCGCCGGCCGAGGCCGCGGCGCGCCTCGCGGCCTTGCAGGTCGCCGCCGCCGCCGAGGACCTCGCCGCCGCCGACGCCGACGCCGCGGCCCTCTTCGGCGCCGGCGACCTCGACGCCGGCGACGCGACGCTCGTCACCGAGCCGCTCGTGCAGAACGCGGCGAAGAAGCCGGCCGCGAGGACGGGCCTGAAGGCGCCCGAGTCCGTCGTGTGCTACCTCGGCCCTACCAACAGCGGCAAGACGTGGCGCGCGCTCGACTTCCTCGCGAGCCGCGGCGACGGCTGCTACGCGGGCCCGCTCCGCGCGCTCGCCTGGGAGGTGCGCGAGTCCATGGTGGAGCGAGTAGCCGAAAAATGGGGCAAGATCGCGCCGGGGGTCGGGCTCTGGACGGGCGAGGAATCGGAGGACGCGGACGCGTCCGTGCTGTGCTGCACGGCGGAGGTCGCGCCGGCGGACGGCGACGTGCTCGTATTGGACGAGGTCCACTGGTGCGTCGACGGCTGGCGGGGCCACGCCTGGACGCGCCTGCTCATGGCGGCGAAGTCGGGGCGGTACCGGCACGTGCGGGTCTGCGGCCCCGTCGAGGCCCTGCCGCTCCTGGAGCGCGTCTTCGAGGCGAACGTCGCCGACGGCACCTTCGAGGTCGACCGCACGGCGCGGCGGTCGCGGCTGACCTTCGAGGGCGACGTCGGCGACCTCACGTCGTTCCTCCGCGCGCGAGTCGCGGAGAAGCGCTTCGTCGCCGTCGTCGCCTTCAGCCGGTCGTCCGTCCTGGCGCTGGCGGCTGCGGCGCAGGCCGCGGGCGCGCGCGCGTCGGTCATCTTCGGCAAGCTGCCGCCGGAGGCGCGGCGGTCCCAGCTCGAGGCCGCGCGCGACGGCACGCTCGACGTCATCGTCTGCACGGACGTCATCGGCCACGGCATCAACCTGCCGTTGGACGACGTCGTCTTCGCGGAGACGCGGAAGTTCGACGGCACGTCGAAGCGCGATCTGGACGTCTGGGAGGCCGCGCAGGTCGCGGGCCGCGCGGGCCGCGGCGACGCGCCGGGCCACTGCTGGGTCTACGGCAAGTTCAACGCCAAGGCGGCCCTCGTGAAGAAGGCCGTGGCCGTCGCGAACGGCGACGGCGCGGCCGACGGGTCCGGCGGCCTCGACCTCGACCGCGCGGTGCTGAGCCCGGATTTGGGCGCGCTCGTCGACGTCTGCGGCGGCGAGGCGTCCATCTTACATTTGCCCAACGCCATCGCGCTCTGGCGCGAGGAGCTCGCGAAGGACTTCGAGGCCGACGACTCGGCGTTCCCGACCTGGGTCAAGGGCGGCGACTTCGCGGACCTCACGGCGCGGCTGCGGAAGCTCGCGAGTCCCGAGCTCGTGCCGCGCGACGTGCGGAGAGCGCTGAAGCTCGGCGACCTCTGGCACCTCGCGCGGCTGCCCATCGGCGAGCGCAACTTCGACGAGATCGCCGAGGCCGCGTGCCTGCTGGCGACGGCGCGCGCGCCCGCGGACTTCGACCTCGTCGACGGCGAGAAGCTCGAGGACGAGGTCCAGCGCCTCGGCGACCTGTTGATCGCCGCGCGGCGCTTCCCGGGCATCCTCCCGCCGGGCATCCTCGCGGCCGCGCGCGGGACGGAGGACGGGGACCCCTACGACGACGCGCTCGAGGCCGCGGAGGCGCTCTACCTCGAGGGCTCGAAGCGCGTCGGCACGCAGGTCCAGCGCTGCATCGACAACGCGCGCAAGTGCGTCGACTGCGGGCGGAACAAGAGCGCCAACGCGAAGCCGAGCGACGCGCGCTGCCGGTCGTGCTTCCTCGCGAAGATGCGCGACGAGCAGGAGCAGCGCCGCGCGAGCGACGCGGCGTCGATGCCCGCGACGCCGTCGACGCCGGGCCGGCCCGTCGTGCTGGACCTGCGCCGGACGCCCTACACGCCCATGGGCACGCCCATCGTCCTCGCGCCGGGCACGCCCATCGTCGGCAACCCGGGAAACCTCGCGCCCTACGGCCGCGGGCCGCCGCCGCCGCCGCCGCCGCCCCCGCAGGCCTACCCGGGCCGCGGCGGCGGGCGAAGCCGCGGCGGCGGCGGCCGCGGCAAGGGCGGCCGCGGCCTCCACGACGTCAACGCGAGGACGCGGAACCGCGGCAAGGGCGGCGGCAAGGGCAAGCCCGAAAACAAGCCCGGCCAGTACTTCTAAGTCGCACTCGTTCGCCCCGAGGCCCACGAGTTGCAATATCGTCCGTTATCGTCTCGACCCCTCGGCGAGGGCCGCGGCCTTGGCCACCTGGGCCTCGACGGACGCGAGCGTCTCGCGCAGGATGGCGATCTTGCCCGCCGCGTCGCGCCGCTCCGCGGACAGCTCCCGCTCCTTGCGCCGCTGCACCTCGATGTGCTGGTCCACGAGATCCCGCTCCGCTTCGAGGGCCCGCAGGCGCATCGCGACGTCGGCGCGCTCGGCGTCGAGGTGCTCCGTCGTGAGCGCGATGCCGTCCAACTTGCGGTCGACGCGGCGGAGCGCCTCCTCCGTGCTCTCGAGCTCCACGGCGAGCACGTCCCGCCGCACGGCCGCGGCGTCGCGCTCCTCGGCGTAGTCCCGGGGGCCGCCGCCGGTCCGCAGGAGCTCCGGCGCGGCGCGCGACCCCCGCTCGAGCGCGCGCTTCTCGCCGACGAACGTCTCGATGAGCTCGCGGAGCGCGCGATTCTCCGCGACGGATTCGATGGCCGACCGGCAGACGGGGCAGGCCTTGGCCGCGGCGCCCGCGCGGCTCCGGTGCTCCGCGACGCAATCTTTGCAGAACGTGTGCCCGCAGGGGAAGAGCATCTGGGGCGACCGGTGCGGCGGCTGCATGACCTCGAAGCACACGGGGCACGTGTGCGTCTGCCGCAGGTTCTCCGTCAGGTAGCTGTCGAGCTTCTCGGCGACGTTCTTTTGGTCCGTCTTGTCGAGGGCCTGGCACTCGCGGCGCACGCGCCGCGTGATCTGCTCCGTCAACGAATCGAGGAGCTGCTCCGGCTGGGCGCCGTCGCGGTCGCGCTGGTGCAGCCAGCGCCGCGCCTTCTCCTGGTTTCGCGAGAGGAGGTGCGCCTTCTCCGGCGGCGACGGCATTACCGGTTGGGCAGCCCCACCTCGGCCGCGGTTTGGGCCGTGTTGAGCAGCACGATTGGCCCGGCAGCTCCGGAGTCCGAGGTTGACGGTCTGAGCAATGTACATTGATGTATATCGACGTGTCGGGCATGCGTCGCTTGTTGCTCGCCCTCGGGGCGCTCGCCGTCGCGTCTGCCTTCCGCACGCCCGGTGGCGTCGCTGGCCGTCGTACGCTCGCAAAAACGGCGCCTTGGCTCCCCCGCCGCGCCGCGCCGCGCGCGGATTCGCCGGCGCCGAAGCCGCGCGAATCGCCGCGCCTCTTTGCGCGCCCGGGCCCCGGCGAGGAGTGCGCGGTCGAGGAGGACGACGAGCTGTCGATCCCCGAGCTGCTCGAGCGCTACGGCGTCGTCGCGCTGCTCTTCCATTTTTCCGTCTGGGCGTCGTGCCTCGCTACCGGCTTCGCGGCTCTCAGCGTCGTCGACGCCGCGGCGGTCGTCGAGTCGCTGCCCGACGCGCTGCGCGACCGGCTCCCGGAGGACGTGGCCCAGGGCGCCGGCGCCGCGAGCGGCGGCCTGCTCGTCGTCAAATTTCAGCTCGTGCTCGCGCTGACGGAGGTCGTCGGCCCCGCGCGCCTCGCGCTGACGGTCGCCGCGACGCCGGCCGTGTCCAAGACCGCGCGACAGTGGGGCGCCTTCTGCGAGCTCGAGAACGCGCTCAACGCCCAGCTGAAGAAGCTGCCCTTCGTCAAGTCGGAGGGGGCCGCCGAGCAGCGGTAGCCGGGGGATTCTAAGTCGCCTTCGATCGGACAGGGGGTAATCTACTATCCGTGCTCACGCGTTACCCTCGCTCTGGCTCTCCCGCAACTGCCGGCACTCCTGCTTGTGGCCCGCTTTCCAGTGGACCTTTTGACACGCTGCGCCGCAGTAGTGGACCATCTTGCACGCGACGCACCGCGACTTCGCCGGCGTGTCGCATCTCTCGCAGAGGGTCGTGACTTCGTCGATGCTCGCCCGGACCTCCTCGCCCGAGTCCAGCCTCACGCGCACCGCGGTTTCGCCAAAGTTGCCGCCAAACGTCCACGTGCCGCGGCCGATCGCGCCCGTCGCGTCGACGCGGAGGTGCCGCCCGCGGCACGAGTGTCTCGTCTTTTTGCACTTGATCTTCTCCTTTCGCGCCTCGCTACAGCCCATGGCCTTGGCCTCGAGCTTGGCGATTTCGGCCTTGGTCATGCTGATCAAGGTGTCGCGATCGACTCGGCACCCTCGACCCTCCCGTAGATTAGAATCCAACTCCTCGGGGTCTCGGTCGGCGATCACGAGCGTGTTGAACCTTTCGAGCTCGTCGGGCTTGAGCACGCGCCCGAGCTTCATCTGTGTCATGCCGAACGCCATGGCGCCTTGCGGCGTGGGACATCGGCGGCCGACCTGCGCCTTCCACGCGTCCAGCTCGGCGCGCGTGATCGGCGCCGACATCATGGCCTCGTTAACCATCATCGTGTGTCTCTGCGTCGTGTAGAAGTTCCTCCGCTCAGTCCCCTCCCCTCAGTCCATCGGCTGCGGCTGCGCGGGTCCCTGACGAAATCCAATGCGGCTTAGATGCAGCTCACAGCCAAAACGCGCTGGTGGGAAATCCGCACCAGAATGCGGGGTAAATTTTGACCTTTGGCTCCGAGCCACCAAACTTTTAGAAACTTGAAAACCTCATCATTGCTACGCCGTGCGCCACAGCCTGATTGCGCTCCGTCACGGGCTCTTGTGGCAATTCCTCCAACTGATCGCTCACCGAGCCAGGGCTTTTGTTGTGGCAGGCCGAGGTTTTGTTTGCCCGCCGCCGCTGCCGCCGACGCGCCCGCACCGGGCAGCCGACGCCGGAGACGCACGACTCGGTCCTCGCCGGGGCAGCGCTGCCGTCGCCCGACGCCGCCGCCGGGGCAGCGCCGCCGGTCCAACCCCCGGCGGTCCGCGAGCCGTTGGGCACCCCGGCGTGCTCGCCGCGGCGCCGCGCCATGCCCGGCCCGCGCGTGGACCCGAGCGACTACGCGCGCCAGCGCCAGGAGAGCATCGCGCGCGCCAACGAGATGCGCGCCACGCGGCGGAACCGCGGCGGCGGCGACGACGCGGCCGACGGCGGCGGCGACAGCCTCGACGAGCTCGCGGGCCGGTCGGCGAACGCGGCGGAGAAGTCCGCGGGCAAGCGGCCGCGGCGCGAGGTCGCGCCCGGCTGGACCATGCACACGGACAAGAAGACGGGCAAGCCCTACTACCACCACGCGGGCTCCGGCAAGACGACGTGGGTCAAGCCGCCCGGCTGCGCCGACGACGTCGAGAACGCGCCGCTCCGCGAGAACGGCGCCGTGTCGCAGCCGCGGTCGACGCCCGGCCGGCGCGACCTGCCCCGGGACATGACGGAGCCGCGGTCGACCGCGCGGGCCGAGCCCGCGGACGCGCCCATGTCCGAGGCCGAGTTCGAGGGCTGGCTCGACGTGTTGAAGCGGCGGTCGCTCACGGGCTCCCAGGCGCGGCGCGTGTCGACGCTCCTCCAGCGCTACAGCGGCCACGCCGCGAGCGACGCCGACGCGGCCTACGGCTACGGGTCGTCGCGCGCGGGCACGTCCGGCGAGGGCCGCTCCGACCGCTCCGACCAGGGCAGGAAAAGGGTGATTCAAGATCGCTTCAACACGAGTGTTCCGCGCGCGCGCGTTTCGGAAACAGCATCCACGCGTCGAGAGCGCTCCGAGAGATGATCGCTCGTCCAAAAATTAGCCGAAACGAGTGGAACCCGGCCGAGAGAGGAGCCTTTGAAGTTGGGAATTTCGCACTCTTGTCCTGCCCAGGCTCCGACAGCCTCTCGAACCTCAAGCTCTCCATGCGGTCGAAGCGCAACAAGGACCCGTCCGACGCCGAGCTCCGCACGCGGTCCGCGTCGGAGGTCCTCGAGCTCGCGCGCAACGAGAGCGACAGCTCGACGAACGGCGCCGCCGCGCGCGACGCGTCGCGCGCGCGGACGACGGGCCGCCGCGCGGGCCGCCGCCCGGAGTGGAACGACAACTTCGCCGTCGAGGACGACGCCCCGGACGGCGACGAGGCGCCCGCGGAGCAGCCCCGGCGGCGGGCCGAGCCGCGCCAGCCCAAGTCGCCGCGGCGCCGCGACGACGGCGCCGGCGCGCTGCCGCCGGGCTGGACGCAGCACACGGACCGGCGCACGGGCAACGTCTTCTACCGCAACGAGGCCCGGGGCGAGTCGACGTGGACGCGGCCCGCGGCGCCGAACCGCGACGACCGGAGCCCGCCGCGGCGGACCGGCGCGGCCGCGCCGAAGCTCCCCGCGGCGACCAAGGGCCCCGACAGCGAGTCGCGGCACCGCACGCTCTGGAAGCCCAAGTCCGCGCGCGGCGACCGCTCCGACGACGACGACGACGACGGCCGCCGCGACGACGCGCACCGCCGCGACGACGGCCACGCGAAACCGAAGAGCCAGCCGCGCGACGCAGACGACCGCGGCGGTAGCCGGCCGACGGGCGGCTACGGCGCCGTGCCCGCCGACGCGTCGGCGGCGCCCGACGGCGGCGCCGCGGAGCTCGACGACGCCTGCGTCGTCTGCGGGCGCGCGATGACGCGGAGGGCGCTCGACGGCCTCGAGAAGCGCCACGGCCAGCGGTGCTGCCCCAAGTGCGCGCCGAAGAAGGCGCGCAAGACCTTCAACGCCGCGGCGCACCGCGCCGACGGCTTCGACGGCGACGAGAAGCAGATGGTCAAGAAGGCCGCGGCCGAGGTCAAAAAAGAGCTCCGCCGCAAGGACCGCGACGGCGGCGCCGCCGCGCCGGGCGGCAAGGACAAGAAGTGGAAGGCCCAGTCGAACCAGCTCCGCGAGGCCATGCAGGCCATGCGCGGCGTCGCCGCGGCGGAGAAGGCGGGCAAGCCGCCGCCGCCCATGGTCGCGTCGACGCCCGACCCGTCCTTCGTCCAGTGCCCGCACTGCTCGCGCACGTTCAACGAGAAGGCCGCGGAGCGCCACATCCCCAAGTGCCAGTCCATCAAGGCCAAGCCCAAGTCCCTCGCGCGCGGCGGCGGCCGCACCATCGGCTCGCGCCGCTAGCCCGCTTCTCCACCCGTCTCCCCCCGCCGCCGCCGCGCGCGCTCGCCGCGCGCGGGTTTGATCTCCCGCGCGCCGCCGCCCCGGCCCCTCGCCTCGCATCTTCCCCCCGTTTTTCGGCCCGGTCCGCCGGGGTTTTAATCAGAGTTCCTCAGAGCAGCGCGAGGCTCAGGACGGGCGGCGGGATGTGGTCCGAGTCGGCGACGACCGCGACCCGTTCACAATAAGAGTTCCTCAGAGCAGCGCGAGGCTCAGGACGGGCGGCGGGATGTGGTCGGCGACGACCGAGGCCCGTTCATCATAAGAGTTCCTCAGAGCAGCGCGAGGCTCAGGACGGGCGGCGACATCGCGTCCTCGCCGTACACGACCGCGGCCCTCCGACAAAAGTCCCGCATTTCGTCCTGCCCATATTGAGACATGTCCCAGGACACGAACATCGAGGCGGTCGTGGGGTCCGTGAGCACGTGGTACCCGAACGCGGTCAAACACGGCACGATCGCGAGCTTCGCGGAACGAGGGATTCGAGACCACTCGTCGTCCGACGCGTGCGTTTCGGCCTGGTAGTACGTCTTAATTTTCTCTGGGTCGACTCTTCCGCACGTCCTCTGTCTTTGCCCGGGGATAATTTCTTGGTTCTCCGCCGCTTTTTTCTCCGCCTCGATCACTGAGAGCACTGCTCGCAGATACCGATTCTTAGGCACTCTATTCTCCAGCCGCTCCCGGAGAGACTGTACCACACCGTCGTCGTGATTTAGCACAACGCTCAGAGCGGTGCGCGTCGTCCCATCCATCGATAAAACACAGACGAGCGACGCGCTAGATACGCGCTTGAGAGTTTTTGCCTCGACGCGTTTTTTGCCGCAGCAATTTTTTTTGTGCGATCGCAATCGGGGCTACTATTGTAGTCTTGGGGCTGGGGCAGGGTCGCGTTCCGGTTCTGAAATTCACCGAGGAACGGGCTCCATAGGGCGATAAATCAAAGAATGTGGGGAAAATCAAATTTTTGTTGAATTTCAAGTTGAAGAAACGAAAAAATTTCTTACCTGGCAGGGGCCCCAAACACGTCTATATTTGGGTTTCGCAGTCCCGGTATTCAAGAAGCATCAAAGCCGGGTGATCCTCGTCTTTCGGCTCGCAATTTTGTTGAATTTTAAGGAAATTGGACCATGTCCCGTCCATTTTGCACGCGCGCGCGCGCGCGCGTTCGTTACGTAAAGAGTAAGTAATCCCGGCACATCGAATTAATCAAAGCCGCGGACAGAAGATTTCACCGAGGTCGGGGGGGCGATTTCAGGTCGCATCGCTACCCTGGGCTGGGGGGCACGAGACGCATGGCCACTATAAAAAACACCCCCCCCCCCCCCCTTACGACGCCGCCCGCGCGACGACGGCCCGGGCCCGCTCGAGCGCGCCCGCGCGCTCGCAGCTGCCCACGTAGGACTCGTGGCAGCCCGACGCGTCGCGGTGGCCGAGGATCTCGCGCGCGATGGCGACCTCGTGGGCCGCGAGGTAGGCCGCGAGCGCGACGAGGGCCTCGGCGTCGACGCCGAAGCTCGCGCGCAGCGTCGCCCCGTCGACGGCCCTGTGGTGCCGCAGCTCGCCGAAGTTGCCGCCGCCGGTCGTCGTGATCGACTTGACGCGGAGCACGGGCGCGTGCTTCATGCGCGCGTCGTCCTTCGCTGGCTCGACGACGAAGACGTCGAGGTGCTCGCGGAGCTCCGTGTGCGGGAAGTGGCAGGGCGCGGGCGCGCACGGCGCGCGGCCGCCGTCCTCCAACCGATGCGCGACCGCGAGGCCCGACATGAGGCAGCCCTTCTTCGTCTTCTTGAAGTCGCCGCTGAGCCGCTCGTGCATGAAGGCGTTGGCGCCGTCGGCGACGCCCGTCCAGGACATGCTCCGCGCCGCGCACGCGTGCGCGTAGGTCCGTTCCGCGGTCAGCGATCGCGCGCCGTCGCGCCACGCGTGGAGCGCCCGCACGTAGTCCCGGTGGAGCCCGTCGTCGGCGTCGACGTTGACGACCATGACCTCGTCGACGGACCGCCAGTCCGCGAGGCCGAAGGCGCGCCGCGCGACGTCGCGCGCGGCCCGCGGCCGATTCGGCGTCAGCTGCTCGTCCGCGTCGACGAGCCGCGCGTGGGGCAGCCTCGCGAGCGCCTGTTCCAGGCGCCGCCGCGGCGCCGCCGGCAGCGCCGGGTCCGTCGCGACGAGCCACAAAAAGCATGCGTCGGACTGCGCGCGCATCGACGGCGCCGTCACCGCGAGGAGCTGCTCGAGCCGCGCGTCGACGAGCGCCGGGAACCGCCCCTGGCCCTGGTTGAAGCGCGTCACGACGAGCGTCCGCCTGCCCGGCCGCGCGCGTCCGCATGCGCCGCCGTCGAGCCACGCCGTCGCGTCGAAGGCCGGGAGCTCGCCGAGCACGGACCGCGCCCACGCGAGCGTCTCGTCGCGAGCGCAGCTGCCCATGTAGACGTCGCTGCAGCCCGTCGCGTTGCGGTGGCCCAGCATCTCGCGGGCGACGTCGGCCTCGTGGGCCTTCAGGTAGGTCGTCAGCTTTTCCAAAGCGGCGCCGTCGACGCCGAACGCGGCTTTGAGATGCGCGGCGTCGACCTGTTGCGCGCCGCTCCGCGTCGCGTTCTGCCCGTGGATCTTGCCGCCGCCGCGGCCGCCCGTCGACGTGATGGACCGCACGCGCAGCACGGGCGACGACGTGATGGGCCGGCCGCCCCGTTTCACGACGACGACCTCCACCGGCAACTTCTCCCGGAGCTCGGGGTGCTTGAAGTGGCACGGCCGGGGCTCGCAGCTTTCGAAGAAGCCCCCGGGCGCGACGCGCTGCGCCATGGCGAGGCCCGAGTTGAGGCAGCCCTTGTGGCCGCTCTTCTCGCCGTCGTGGTTCTCGTTCGAGAAGCCGTGGCGGCCGTCGACGGACCCGGACCACTTCATGGCCCGCGACGCGCACGCGTACGCGTAGTTGCGCTCCGGCGTCAGCTGCGGCGCGGCGAGGCGCCAGTCGTTGAGGTAGCGGACGTACGCGGCGTGGAGCGCGTCGTCGGCGTCGAGCGTGACGACCGTGAGCTCCTTCACGCCGCGCCACGGCCCGGGGCCGAAGGCCCGCTTCGCCAACAGCTGCGCGATCCGCGGCGCGCCGATGGTGATGGGCTCCGTGGAATCCACGAGCCGCGCGTGCGGCATGACCGCGAGCGCGTCTTCGAGGCGTTTTCGCGGCTCCGCGGGGAGCGCGGGATCGGTCGCGACGACCCAAAAGAAGCACCTGTCGGTCTGCGCGGCCATCGACGGGATCGTGACGGTTAAGATTTGCTCGAGGCGCGCACCGACCAACGCCGGGAACTGGCCCTGGCCCTGCATGAACCGCGTCGCCACGACGATGACGCCCCGGCCGCGAGGTCGGCCGCAGGCGCCGTCGAGCCAGGCCGTGGGGTCGAAGGCGGTGGCGAAATATGTGAGGAGCGCGAGGCACAGCCGAAACGGCATCGTGGCGTCACGCACCGGCGATACGTTCAGCGCGCCGCGCACGGCTGTGGAGGCCTCGAGGACGATCGCTAAGCCGTGCAAAGCAGATCTCAAGCAGTGGCGAAAATTTAAGCAGCAAGCTCTTGCGATTGTGGCGCGATGGAGCGCATCGAAGCTGGCCCTGAAGAGCTAAATGTTCTCGAGAAGGTCCAGCGCCGGCAGAGAGAGGGCGTCGACCTCAACACAATGCTAGTAGGAGACTATGGCGATCCACTATTGCTTCTTGCGGCGGAGCGCGATTGGTATACGTCCGCTCGATGGCTCCTAGATAATGGAGCGAACGTGAATTTGGTTGGATCTGATGGCTGGACGGCACTGCATAACGCCGCTTGTGGCGGCTTCTACGAACTAATGTGCCTTTTGCTCGACGCGGGGGCGCGAGTTGATGTTCGCAGTCGCGAACAGAACACCGCGCTTCATTTCGTCGGGCCCGATCATGCCTATAAATCCTGCAAGCTGCTCCTGAGCCGCGGCGCGGCCACCGGCATACGAAACGTACGGGATCAAGACCCCGAGACTCGTTTGCGACAAAAAGGCTGCGACAGCGCGGCGGACCTCGTCGCCGACGTCCGTCGCGCGGGCGGATGGGCCCCATACGTCGCCGCGCCTCGCGCCGAGCTCCTCGAGCTCCGCCGCACTCTTCCGACGCTCCACCACACGCCGAGTGTGCCCCTGCTCCAGCGCCTCTTCAAGGAAGTCCCCGAGGACGTCTTCACAGAAGTCTTCGCGTTCTGGCGGAGCCCGCGCGACGTCTAGGCCGCGACTAAGACACTTAGACGAGCGTGGGCCGGTCGGCGAGGTTCGTGAGGCGCGGCTGGCCCGCGTCCTCGGCGATGATGTTCTCGACGTGGTCCATGAACCGCTCCTGGTACTCCGAGGGCGCGACGGCGGAGATGCCGCGGCGGCTCTGGCACTTGCATCGCACCTTGCAGCACGCCTCCGCGCGCTTGCCGAGGTCCCACTCCTGGAGCATGTCGATGATGCCGAGCGTGTAGGTCGCGGGCCCCTGGGCGATGCGCGCGGGCACCGTGCACGCCTTGGACGCCAGCGAGTCGCCCGCGCGGGGCTCGTCGACCGACGGCGGCGCGGCGGACGCGCCGTCGGAGTGGCGGACGTCCGCGCCGTCCTCCGCGAGCTGGCAGGACTCGCGCCGCGCGTAGGTCTTGACGTGGTACTCCTGCATCGTGATGCCCACGAGCAGCGAGTAGTCCATGATGCCCCGCGACGCGAGGAATTTCGTGTCGCGGTCGAGCTGCTGGACCAACTCGCGCGCCTGCGCGTCCGGCAGCTGCAGCTTCTCCTCCAGGTCGTTGTCCTTGCCGTCGACGTTGGGCTTGTGCCCGAAATTACCAAAGGGGCACTCGACGTCCACGAGGTCCGCCGGCGGCGCGGACGTGAAGAGCCGGCCGCGCGCCGACGCCCGCCGCCGCGCGGCGGCCGCGGGCGACCGCGCGGCGCTCCCGCGCAGCGACGAGCCCGCCGCCGACGACGACGACGGCGTCGACCCCTCGAGGGGCGGCTTGAAGGACGCGCGCCGCGACGCGGAGATCGACGACGTGTCGAAGGACTCGTGCGACAGGCGGCCGTACGACGCGCGGCGCGCCTGGGCAGTAAAAGAGAGATTCAACGTCGCTTTAACGTGAGTGTTCCGCGCGCGCGCGTTCCGGAAAAAGCATCCACGCTTCGAGACCGTTCCGAGAGATGATCGCTCGTCCAAAAATCAGCCGAAACGAGTGGAATACGGCCGAGATATGAGCCTTTGAAGTTGGGAATTTCGCACCCTTTTGCTGCCCTGCGCCGCGCGCGGCTCCGCTTCGCGTCCGTCTTCCGATGGAACGTGTAGTGCTGGTTGCAGTGCTTGCAGGTCACGCGCTGGCCGTCGTCGGGCTTCCTCGCGCTGCGGTTCACCCAGGAGCCCTTGACGTCGTACTTGCGCATCGTCGCCGCGTCCTGGCGCTTCGCCGGGTCGTCGTCGTAGAAGAGGTTCTCCTGGACGAGCACGTGGAGCCGCCGCCCGTAGAGGTAGAGCGTGTGGGCGCCCAGCAGGCGACCCAGGCGGCTCCGCGAGCACGCGCCCCCGTGGGCCTCGCCCTCGACGTAGGCCGCCAAATCCGGCGCCATCCTCGCGAGCGTCTGGATCTCCGAGAGCGTCGCCGTCTTCGCGATGAACCGCTCGTCGTCGCTGAAGAGGAAGAGCGCCCCCGACGCGCCGGCCGTGAACCGCGCCTTCTTCGAGATCGTCTTCCAGGCCCGGCAGTAGGCCTCGAGGTTGACGCCGTAGGCCGCGCGGACGCGCGCCATCTCGACCTGGGCGGGAAACGGGCGCGAAATTCCCAAAAGGCGCCTCTCTCGGCCGTGTTCCACTCGTTTCGGCTGATTCTTGGACGAGCGATCATCTCTCGGAGCGGTCCCGAAGCGTGGATGCTTTTTCCGGAACGATCGCGCGCGGAACACTCATGTCGAAGCGACGTTGAATCACCCGTTTCCCGCCCCGATCTCGACGGGCGCCCAGCACCGGAAGCCGACGTCGCCGCGGCTGAAGGGCCGCCGCTTCCTCGCGCGCTTCGACGTCGTCCACTGGAAGGTGGGCCGCGCGTCGTCCTCGCTCGGCCGGACGTCGCCCGCCAGCGGCGCCAGCGCGAGGTCGCCGTCGTCCTCGAGCACGCGCGCGACGAGCGACAGGCGGTCGTTCGACGACCGCCTCGCGTCGCCGTCGTCGGCGAAGTCCGCGCAGCAGCGCCGCCGCAGCTCCCGCTGGTCCTCGATGGTCGGCGAGAGGGCGAGGCGCGCGAAGCGCTGGAAGGTCAGGAGCCGCTCCTGCAGCGACGGCGGCGCGCCGTCGGACGCAACCGCCGTGAGCGCGAAGCGCTCCGCGGCGCGGACCTTCGCCGGGTCGCCGGAGAGGCGCGCGGCGTCGGACCGCGTCGCGCCGGCGACGATGCCCACCTTCATGTAGGCGAAGATCTCCCGCTGGAGCGCGAACTTGAGCTCGGGCTCCTCGCCGACCGTGCTCGGCGGCCGCGGCTCCGACTCGTCGGGCGCCTCCGCGGCCACGGCCACGGGCAGCCGCAGCGCGTCGGCGACGTCCCGGGGCTCGTGGGGCAGGAGCCAGACCATGAAGTCGACGCAGCCCTTCATCGGCAGCAAAAAGGCCGCCGCGTAGGAGCAGACGTAGCCGAAGCCAACCCGCCTGTGTGGAAATCAACCACTGGTTTGGGGGGTCCCCACCAAACTTCAGAACTCTCTATCTCGGTCAAATCGAAGTCGATTCGGCTGATTTTTGGACGGATCGATTGCTCTCATCGATCGTTTGCACAGCAGAAAGCCTTGCGTCGAAACGGTCGCATACGCTCACATTGAAGTCGGGTTGAAGATTTGAATTCCACACAGCGACCCGCAGGTTCCGGAACTCGGACGCGTCGTCGTGGCGGCCCAGCGTCGCGTAGCCCAGCGCGAACGTCGACCCGCACAAGAACCAGAAGAGCGTGATGGCCACGAGGTTCGTGTTGTTGATGGCCAGCACGTGGAGGTGCGTCGCGAAGGTCGTCGGCAGCTTCAGCGAGCCTGCGTGGAACTCAAATCTTCAACCCGACTTCAATGTGCGCGTCATCGAACGGTTCGGATCGGCCTCTTCAATCGTGCTTCGAGGACTCGACGAGAGCCATCGATTCATCCAAAAATCAGCTCAATCGACTTCGATATGACCGAGCTCGAGCATTTCAAAGTCTGGTCGGGACGTCCCGAACCGGCGGTCGATTTCCTCACGGCGGCGAGCCGCCGCGCGCGAGCGACGTCGCGTAGCGCGAGTACGCCGCGTGCAGGTTCTTGAGCGTCATGGCCAGCGCGAAGAAGTAGAGCACGACGATGGGTCCATATAAAAACACCCAGGGCGCCCAGGTGATCTTCGAGTTCAGGTAGCAGTAGCGGAAGACGCCGTGCTCGTGGCCGCCGCCCACCGCGAAGGGGCCGTAGGTCTTCTGGCTCGCGTGCGCCGACAGGCCCAAGGCCAGCGCCGCCGACGACGCCCAGACCACGGCGTGGTAGCGCTTCATCATGTCCCGGGACCGCGCGAAGGGGTTCTGGATCGACTCCTGCATGTCGTGGACGCTGCACACGGACCAGAGCTCGCCCGAGATGACGAAGGTCTCGAGGAGCGCCGCCGTCAGCGGGTTGCAGCGGTTCCGCACGCGGTAGTCCACCAGACTAAAAACGAAGAAGTGGAGCGACACGTAGAGGTCCGCCAAACTCCGGTACGCGACGAGCGGCTGCGGGTGGCGCCGCATCTTCGGTGTGCCCCGCGCGTGGCCCGCTAGAACGCCGCCGGCGCCCAGGGACCCGAGGAAGCCGCCGGCGGCGAAGCAGCAGCGCTGCGTCGCCAGGTCCGGCAGGTCGAGCACGAAGACGATGGCCACGAAGGCGACGAGGGCGGCGACCGGCAGGCACAGGAGGAGGATCGTGCGCATGCGCGGGCCCGAGACGCGCGGGTACCGCAGGCCCATCGCCGGCGCCGGCGCCGGCCCGCGCAGGACGGCCAGCGTGGATGCCCAGCTCCGGCGGCGCGCGCTCTTGGATGGCCCAGACTCGCAGGGGCTGCCCCGACGCGGCACCTTGACGATCGTGACCTCAAGAAGCCGCCGGCGAGACCGCCCGTTTGCGCCGCCGACCATGGGGAACAACGCGTCGTCGATCGCCGAGGAGGGCGCGCTGCTGCCCGAGCCGACGAACAAGGAGGACGAGTGGGGCGCCTGCTCCGCGTTGCTCATGGACTCGTCGTCCTTCCGGTACCGCGCGGTGTCCCGCGCGCATCCGGTCCCCCGCCCCACCCGCCCGCTCCCGTAGGCTGCTCGTGAACTGCGCCTGCACGGCCATGGGCGAGGTCCACGAGGACGGCGACGAGCTGCCCGTCGAGATCCCGACGGAGTGCGGCGCGGCGCGGCCGCGCGCGCTCCGGTCGAGCAACGCGGCGGCGACGCCGTACGAGGCGCCGACGCTGGGGTCCCCGACGACGCCGCGCACGCCGGGCTACCGCCCGACGACGCCCTACGAGACGCCCCTCTCCGGCGCGGCGCCGCCGCCGCCCATGACCTTCGAGCAGGCCACGGGCGCCGCGCGCCTCGACGAGGCGCGGCGGACGCGCGCGGCCGAGGTCACGGAGAGCGAGCGCAACTTCGTGCGCGAGTTCACGGCCATGATGGTCACGGGCCTCGTCGTCATGCTCCGGTCCGACGACGCGTCCAGCCCCGAGGACGCGCGGCCCGCGTGCGTCGCCGTGAACCTCGCGCTCAAGCAGGACCGCGGCGCGCCCGTCGTCGAGTGGCAGGTGCTCGCCCAGGACAAGCGCGGCCAGGTGGCGTTGGGCGAGATTTCTGCCATCCACGCGGAGCCGAGCCCCGACGAGCTCGGCTACGACCTCAGCGCGCGGTCCTTCGTCGTCCAGCCCAAAGACGGCGCGCCGCTCCTCTTCCACGCGGAGAACAAGGACATCTGCTCCCTCGTCGTCGACGGCCTCCAGATGCTCATGAAGGACCACAAGCGCCGCCTGAAGAAGTCCGCGACGAAGAAGTCGCACGGCAAGAAGACGCTCGGCGCGCCGCCCGCGGCGAAGAAGGCGCCGCTCGGGAACGCGGCCAACGTCGCCCACTGAGCGCAGCCCCCGCGCAAGTCCCCCCCTCCGCCTCCTATTTTAAGTTTTTTGCCGAGTGGGGATCCATGGTCGTTAAAAAGAAAGGGAGGCGGCGCGGGAGGGGGGGGAGGAAGCGGCGCCTCAGCCGCAGAAGATGTTGGAGATGTCGCGGGCGATGGCCTTCTCGCGCGCGTCGGTCATGCCCGAGCGGAACTCGCCGCCGCGGTCCTTCGTCGGCGCCTTGAGCGCCTGGGCGCAGTAGGTCCAGGGCGCGTGGCCGCCCGCGATCTTCGGCCGGTACGCGTCGAGCTTCGCCGCGGCCGCGTCGAGCTCCGCGTCGTCGGTGCCCGGGGCCGACAGGTGCTTGGCGAGGAACTCGTAGGTCTTGCGCGCGCAGGAGTGGGGGCGCCGCGAGTTGTGGCCGCCCTTGACGAGGAGCAGCTCCGCGTCGCGCTGGCGCTGGCTCTTCTTCGGCCCCGTCTTCGCGTTCGCGTACAACTTCAGCAGCGCGCCGGCGTTGGGCCGCGGCGGGATGAGCTGGTCGCCGTTGGCCGCGACGAGCAACAGCGGCGCGTCGAGCGCGGCGACGGCCAGCGACGCGTCGACGGACGCGACGTCGAGCGCCGCGCGCTTCTTCACCTGTGTGGATTCCAAATCTTCAACCCGACTTCAATGTGCGCGTAATCGACTGTTTCTACACAAGGCTTTCTGCCGTGCTTCGAGAACTTGATGAGAGCAATCGATTCGTCCAAAAATCAGCCAAATCGACTTCGATTTGATCGAGATAGAGAGTTCTGAAGTTTGGTGGGGACCCCCCAAACCAGTGGTTGATTTCCGCGCGCTTCCTCACCTCCGCCGTCACCGCGTCGATGGCCGCCTTCGCCGCCGACTCCGCGAGCGCGCCGCGCGCCGACAGCCCGGCGAAGAAGCCGGCGGCCTTGGCCCGGGGCGCGTCGCGCAAACCGCCGCGGACGTCCCGGATGAACGCGTCGTCGATCGGTTTCCCGTCCGCCGCTAAATCCGCGGGCTGCGCGGTCCCGAGCGCGCCGCAGGCCGCGTTCCGCGCCAGCCGGTCCACGAGGCCCGCCAGCGACGCGAAGGGCGAGTCGGCGACGACGCAGGCGACGACGCCGCGCCGCGCGCCGCCGAACGCGGCCTTGCGCGCGCCGCCCAGGATCGCCGCGACGCCGCCCATGCTGCGCCCGTAGAGCGCGACGACCGACGCCCGTTTGGCCGCGACGAGGTGCGCCGCGACGCAGGCGGCGTCCTTCGCCTCGCGCTCGCCCAACGTCACGAACTCGCCCTCGGAGAGGCCCGAGCCCGACGTGTCGACCGCGCAGACCCGCAAGCCGAGCATCAGCAGCGGCGCGACGTGCGGCAGGCATTCCAAGCGGCAGGACGCGTTGCCGTGGAGGTAGAGCACGCAGGGCTTCTCGAAGGCTTTGGGCCGCTTCTCCGTCGACGCCCTGCCCGGCCGCCGCCACGTGGCGCGGTCGTCGAAGTCGTCGGCGTCGAGCACGCGGCTCCAGAGCGAGCACGCGAGCTTCAGGCCGTCGTCGTTCACCACCGTGAAGTCGCTCCGCACGCAGGCGAGCTTCTTCTGGGCGTCGCGCAGGCTCGGGATCTCGAAGCTCAGCGGGCCGAGCTCGCCGACGTCGTAGGACGCGCGCGGCGGTCGGATCACGAGGCGGACGACGGTGCGCCACGCGGACTTTGCGCGCCGCGGCGTCGACACCTCCCACTTGACGGAGCCGTCCTGCTTGACGACGCGGTCGAAGGCGAAGCCGCGTGAAACCTCGACCTCGTCGGCGTCGGAGAAGCGCACGGACCGGCGCCGGTGCTTCTTGGACCCGGCCGCGGGCGTCTTGGGCTCCTTCGGCGACCGCGGCGGCTTCGCGCCCGCGAGCGCGCCGAGCGCCGACGCGATGGCGCCGAAGGTCGACGGCGCCGCGCGGCCTCCTCGAAGACGTCCTCGAAATCGCCGTCGTCGCCGACCTCGTCGAAGAGCACGACGGGCACGTCCGCGGCGGCCGGCTTCGGGCTCCGGAGGCGGCGGTGGATCGCGAGCGTCTCGGAGACCGCCGCCCACCACTCGCCGCAGGCGTCCTCGGTGCCAAAGGCCACGGTCAGCGTCTCCGTCTGCTCCTCGAGCGTCAGCTCGAGCTTCACGGCCTTCTCGTCGACGCGCGCGACGTCGACGACGGCCGGGTGGAGCACGAGCACGCGCACGGGGTCGCGGTCCCGCGCCTCGTGGAACGCGAGGCGCCCCTTGGCGAGCTTCAGCAGGAACGTCTCCACCGCGCCGACCGTGGCGGACGCCTCCGAGAGCGGCCAGGCCGCGAAGGCGCCGCGGTCGTCCTCGACGCCGGACGCGGAGGAATCGTCGCTGCGCCGCTTCGCGAGCGCGAGCGTCGCGCGGTCGTTCTTCTTCTCCTGGGACTGGGCCGCGGAGGAGAGCCACTCGACGACGTCCTGCAGATCCACGAAGCCGTCGCCGTCGCGGTCCGCGGCCGCGAAGGCGTCGCCGAGCGCCGGGTCGTCGTCGTCGCCGTCGCCGTCGCCCCACTTGTCCCGCGACCGGAGCAGGAGCTTGCCGAAGAGGTGGCGGCCGACCCGGCCCGCGCCGGCGGCGTCCACGGACGCGAAGGCGCGGCCGAGGCGCGTGAGCGCGACGCGCCGCGAGTCCGCGGACGCCCAGCCGTCGAGGATCTCGCGCCGCGCGGCCGCGCGGCCCCGGCAGCCCTGGCACCGCGCCTTGGCCTCGGCCGCCTTGCGGAAGAAGCCGCCCTGGTCGCAGCAGCCCTCGCAGACGAGGGCGCCGCAGCCCCGCCCGCCGCAGACGCGGACCCAGTTCGGCGGGCCGGCCCCGAGCTCGACGCCGCAGCCGCCGCACCAGGGGCCCGCGGACGCGTCGCCGTCGTCGAGCGCGGCGCCGGCCGTGTCCGAGAGCCGCTGGAGCTCGCGGCCCACGGCGTCGCCGAAAACGCGGCTCGCCTTGGCGTCCGCGGACACGGCCTGGCGCGCGCGCTTCATCGTCTTCTCCCAGATGCCGTGCGCGAGCTTCTGCGCCGCGGCGCCCGCGCCAAAGTCCGACTCGAAGCCCGCGTACTCGGCGACGACGCACGCGGCCTCGTCGCCGGGCCCCAGGAGCGCCGCGCCGACGAAGCGCTCGTCGCGGGCCATGGCCCAGCCGAAGACGCCCGGCGACGCGCGCGCGCGCGCGCCCGCGGAGAGCGTGAGCCGGCGGCAGAGCGCGAGCGCGCGCTCGTCGCACGCGCGCTCGCGGTACGCCTCCCAGACCGCCTCGCCGCACCGCAGCGCGCAGACGGCGACGGCGGACCCGTCGGCGGCGGGCGCCTCGCCCAGGCGGCTCAGGGCGCGGATCTCGACGCCGTTGGCGTCGACGAGCTCCTCGGCCGTCGCGGAGTAGACCTCGTGCATGACGTCGCTCCGGTCGTGGCGGTTGTGGTCGCGCGTCGTCTCCTCGATCTCCAGGATTGCGGAGCGGTCAAAGGAAGCCATGGTGGTGGTCGACTACCTCGCGACGCCGCCGCCGCTGTCGAGGGCTGTCGAGCCACCGCGCCGATGCCCGATACCCAACGATCTCGCCTCGGCCGCGGCCAAGCCCAAGGTCGGCGATGCCGTCCACGGTGCCGCAGTTGCTGCACGACTGAGCTTGGGCGGTCCTTGCGTGCGTCGGGACGGCGCGCCTCGTCCCAGCCTTCGATGCGCACCTACCACATCTTCTTCGTCGGGACTCCATTCATGGCGTCGGCCGTCCTCTGCGAGCGGCCGAGGCTCGCGCGCATGGCGCGGTCGTCCCTGCGTGGCTTCGCGGCCCGCGTGAGGCCACAGCAGCGGCCCAAGTGGGAGCTCGCCGGCGCGCGCGAGGACGCCAACGAGTGAGCGACCCCCCCGCCGCCCCGCTTCCCCCCACGATTCAAAACAACGCTATATCACGCCCGCGTAGGTCCCCGGCGGCGGCCCTGTACGGCGCCTTTGGCCGCGGCGGCTTCGACGGCGGCGGGATGTGCATCCGGCGCGCGCGCGCGGACGACATCCCGCAGATCCAGGTCTGCAACCGGGCGTCGCTGCCGGAGAACTACAACGACAGCTTCTACGCGCGCCACCTCGCCGACTGGGGCCACCTCGCCTTCGTCGCGGACGCCGACCGGGAAGTCGTCGGCTACGTGCTCGGGAGAGTGAACGAGCGGCACACGGAGACGCCCGCGGGGCCGGGCTCGACGCGGCCCACGGAGGGCCACATCACGTCGCTGGCCGTGAGCGACCGCTTCCGGCGGCGCGGCGTCGCGAAGCAGCTCATGGTCGCGGTGCACGACGAGATGGAGAAATTGGTGCAGACGTCGAAGTTGCACGTGCGGTGCAGCAACGCGGGCGCGCTCCAGCTCTACGCGTCGCTGGGCTACGCCGTCGTCGACGTCGTCCAGGGCTACTACCACGACGGCGAGGCCGCCTACCTCATGGCCGCGGACCTCGAGGCCGCGCGCGAGAACGCCGCGCGCGCGCCCGCGCGCGCGGACCTCGCGGACGAGTCCAGGGGCGCCGTCGCCGTCGGCGCCCTCGCCCTCTGAGGGCTCCTCTCTTTTTCTTCTCTCGAGCGCCCCGCGCTCTCCCGCTCCCCTCTGTGCAGACACGCCCCGCGCCCCCTTCGCCCCTTATAATTAAGCCGCCCGACCGCGCGACCGCGACGCGTACCGCCGACGCGGCGGGGCTCGCGGAGTCGTCCGCCGCAGCCTCGGCGTCGAGCGCGCGGGACCGCGCCGCGCGGCCCGCGTTCGAGCGCACTTGGTCTTAGAGCGAGCGCCGCGCGCCTCTATTGCGCGAGGCAGGGCTTGGACACCATGGCGCCCGTCGTGGTGTAGTACTGGTCGCCGACGATGTAGAACTCGGCTTGGTCGCAGGGGCAGCAGAGCTGGCAGACGCAGATCGGTACGCCGCATAGGTTCGCGACGAGGCAGATGATCCAGGACGTCATGCCGCAGTGCTTGACGAGGCGGCGGCTGCCCCCGGGCGGCGCGCCCGGGGGCACCGCGACGCCGCCGGCCGGCGCGACCATGCCGGGCTGCTGCATCATGACCATCTGCTGGGGCTGGGCCATCATCATCTGGGGCTGGGCCATCTGGGGCTGGGCCATGACGGGTTGCTGGGCCATCACAACTTGGCCCTGCACCGGCTGGGCCATGGCGTAAGCTTTCTCCGCCAGAGTTTTGGCCGTGCGGTGGGCGTCTCCGGAGGCGGAGGACGTGGGCGTCGGCGTTCCGCGAGGCGTGAGTGCTCACTGGTCCAATGCTCGAAAAGATTGCTCGTAACGTGTTAGATATTGAAACTCATATTTCCTACAACATGCTGTCTCACCGTCGTGATCGTGTCTGAGCTCGAAGCTGCACTTCGGCTGCCCACCGAGTTGCGTGCGCGCGCTCGGCGGCTGGCTCGGCGCTCGGCTGCCTTTTTGGCGCGGCGGCGTAATCGGTCTTTAGGCTACACGCGCGCTTGGTCAGTCTCAGTGGAGCCAGTCCGTCGTGCAGGTGCCCTCCCGGTCGCGGCGCTTGTACGTGTGGCCGCCGAAGCAGTCGCGCTGGGCCTGGATCATGGACGCGGACGGGAGCACGGCGGACCGGAGGCTGTCGTAGTAGGCGAGGGACGCGGAGAGCGCGGGCACCGGGACGCCGGTCGCCACCGCGAGGCCGACGACCGCGCGCCAGTCCGCGACGCGGGCCTCGAGCATGGCGGCGATGGGCGGCGCGAGGAGCAGGTTCTCCAGGCCCGGCGACGCCTCGAAGGCGGCCCTGAAGTCGACGAGGAGCGCGGCCCGGATGATGCAGCCGCCCTGCCAGCACGCGAGGACGTCGGGCACGTTCACGGCCCAGCCGTGGCTCTCCGACGCCGCGGCGAGGAGCGCCAAGCCCTGGGCGTAGGAGCAGATCTTGGCGCAGAGGAGCGCGTTCTCGAGCGTCGCCGCCGCGAGCGCGCGCGCGGGCGCCGGCGCCGCCGGTTTGGCCGCGGCCGCGAGCGCGCCGCGCGTGGCCTTGAGCGAGCTCAGGTAGCGCGCCTCGAGGGCCGCGGCGATGGTGCCCGCGGGCACGCCCTGCTCCGCGGCCTCCTTGACGGTCCACTTGCCCGTCCCTTTCGATCCGCACGAGTCGAGCACCCTGTCGACGAGCGGCGCGCCGTCGCCGTCGAGCTTCTTGAGGATGCCGCCCGTGATCTCGACGAGGAACGACTTGAGGGGCCCGCCGTTCCAGGCGTCGAAGATGGCCGCGCAGGCGCCGGACGTCCGCGCCGCGTCGCCCGCGCACACGGACGTCGACGTCAGCAGCGCGAACGCCTCGCCGATGAGCTGCATGTCGCCGTACTCGATGCCGTTGTGGACCATCTTCACGTAGTTGCCCGCGCCGCCGGCGCCGAAGTAGCCGAGGCAGGGCGCGCCGCCGGGGCCCGTCGCGCAGATCTTCTCCAAGGTCGGCTTCATGAGCGCCCACGCGGCCGCGGGCCCGCCGACCATGAGGCTCGGCCCGCGGCGCGCGCCCTCGGCGCCGCCGGAGACGCCGCAGCCCAGGTAGTGGATGCCGGCCTCGGCGTAGGCCGCCGCGCGCCGCTCCGTGTTCTCGAACCACTCGTTGCCGCCGTCCATGACGCAGTCGCCCGGCGCCAACAGCGGCCGCAGCGACGCGAGGCACGCGTCGACGGGCTTGCCCGCGGGCACGAGGAGCACGATGCGCCGGGGCGCCTTGAGCGCGCCGACGAAGGCCGCCACGTCGCTGAAGGCCTCGAAGACGCCGCCGAAACCCTCGGCCTCGGCCTTGGCCTTGGCCGCCGCGCCCTTGGCGGCGTCGAGCTCGTAGCCCGCGATCTTCTCGCCCGTGTGCTCGCACATGTTCAGGGCCAACATACTGCCCATGACGCCGAGGCCCACGACGCCGAACGACGCGGATGCATTATCGAGTGCAGCAGCCATGCTTGCTCTCCGACTGGCGGCAAAATTTATTGAGTTGGCGAGCTGTTGCAGACTTCACCGAGGCGTGATAGAGGCCTCCTGCGCGCACGCAGACAGCCTCCTCCAAATCAGCGGCGTTGGAGAACCAAAGGCAAAATACGCGGGCTCGTCGCCGGCGCCGGCGCCGACGCTGCCGCAGACCGTCGGGCCGCGCGTGGCGGGCTCGCGGCGGCGGCGATCAGCGCACTGGCATTCGAAACTACCTTCGGACACTCGAGTCGGCAAATCCAGCCTGAAGGCAGTCCGCGTGTACGCGCGGAGCCCCGAGTATAACTTCCGGTAGAGGAGGATGTTTTTATCAGAGGAGTGGACCGTCCCGCGCGGCGCCCGCCGGCGCCGCGCGGCCGCGACCGGCGGCCCGGCCCGCCGCGGTGTCGCCCCGGCCCCTCCCGACGCCGGCGTGCTCCGCTTGGGCACCGCCGGCGACGAGCGCGGACCGGAGGCGCCGCCGCGAAGAGGCCGGGCGCCGAGCGCCCGCCCGGAACCGCGCGCGCCCTAGAAGTAGGGGAAGCCCTTGCCCGTGAGCACGGCCTGGGTGACGATGCCGGCGAAGGCGAGCATGGCGAGGCGGCCGTTCTCGATCTCCCGCAGCTGCATCTCCGGGTCGTCGCCGCCGCCGATCTGCAGCGGGTCGAAGCCGAAGTCGCCCGGCTTGCGCCCGGAGCCGTCGAGCATCTCGAGGATGGCGAGGTAGCCGATGCACTCGCAGATGGCGATGAAGATGGTGATCTGCGTCATGGACCCCTGGGCCACGGCGACGTCGTGCGCGCCGATCGACGAGACCTGGTGCATCTCGCCGGGGAGCACGAAGCCCATGTCCGTGGCGACGAAGCCCAGCGTCGCGAGCATGCAGACGCGGCCGTGCTTGAGCTCGCTCTCGCGGAGCCAGTCCATGGGCACCCAGTAGGACAGGCCCAGCGGGTCGAAGCCCTTCTCGCCGCCGATGTAGCCCTTGAGGTTCGGGCTCGCCTCGAGGAACGGCATGGACGCGGACCTGCGACGGAGCGCGGGTCGGAGTCGGCGCGGGCGGCGCGACGGCGTGGTTTGGGGCCTTCGCGGCGGCGTCGCGCGCGATCGCGGGGCGAATTTACGGTCCAAGCGGCTCTCGCGCGTTTGCGGTGCGTGCCGAGTGTTTCCGGACGCCGTTCGCTGACTTCTCGTGCATGGAGGTGAGGGACGTCGTCTGGGAAACAGGCGCCACGAGCGCGGACGCGCACGTCGCCGTCGCGGCGAGCAAAAGAGCGGTGCGGGCCATCTTGCCGTCGATCCAGGCCTAGATCCTGATGCCCTAGCCAGGCTATTCCGGCTAGAGGAGCCGGCCGGGCTCGATGGAGGCCAAGCATGAGGGCAGCCCCGACGCCGCGCCACCGGAGGCGAAGGACGCCAAGAGCGAGGCGAAAGACGCCGACGACGCACCGGTCGCACCGGCTCTGCGCGTCGTCGCCAAATACTTCGCGCAGCTTCGCGCCGACCTCGGCGACGCCGCCGCGGACTGCGACGGCATCGAGTGCATCTACGGCGACTGGCTCGCCGAGAACGCCGACGAGTTCGACGACTTTGTGGACGGCTGCGGCGGCGACGGCGCGGGCAACTCCCACGACATACATGGGCTGCACGGCGAGTTCCTGGCGCTCTTCTCGAAGGACGTCGAGCGAGCGATCGACGGCACGGAGTTCACGCTGGACGCGTTCATGAACGACGTTGAAGAAGCGCGGAAGGACGGCCTCTCGGAGCGGTGGGCCTCCCTCGAGATGGCGACGGGCGCCTGGTTCGTCGAGGCGCTCTGGGCCGCGCTCGACATCGCGGAGTTCGCGGCCGTCATGAAGGAGGCGGCCGACCGCCAGCGGAAGGCCATGGACCGCAAGCGCGCCATGCGCCTGCTCCGGAGAGGCGCCAAGTAGCGCGCCGTTAACCGCGAGCGTCGGCGGCGGAGAAGTTCTCGAAAGTGAAGGGGCTCGCTGTGGGCTTCAAGTTGACCCAATGTTGAGGCATCCTTGAGGCGGGCCTGCAGCTGATGGGAGGAGCCGAACATCGCGCCTCGTCGATCGCACCCATGAAACCGCAACGCGCCCTCGCGCTGCTGCTCCTCGGCGCCGCCGCCGCCCTGGAGGACGGCCTCGCGCGGACGCCGCCCATGGGCTGGCGGAGCTGGAACTGCTACGGCGGCGACGTCGACGACGCCAGAATCCGCGCCGCCGTCGACGCGCTCGCGACGAAGCGCACATCGCCCTGGACCGGCGCGCGGCTGAGCCTCGCGGACCTCGGCTTCGCGCGCGCGGGCGTCGACGACGGCTGGCAGAGCTGCGGGGAGGGGTACGAGGGCTCGTTCCACGCGGCCGACGGGACGCCCCTCGTCAACGCGAGCCGCTTCCCGGACCTCGCGGCCCTCGTGCGCTACGGCCGCGGCAAGGGCCTGAAGATGGGCTGGTACGACGACAACTGCATCTGCCTCGACTGTTACAAACTCCGCGCGAACGCGTCCTGGGCGGCGCTCGCGTACGCGGCGGACGTCGAGCAGGTCTACGCGGCGGGCTTCGACGGCGTCAAGATCGACAACTGCGGCGACGACGACGGCTCGGGCTTCGCCGCGCGCGTCCGGAACATCAAGGGCCGGCCGACGCCCGTCCTCGTCGAGAACTCGAACCAGGGCTCCGGCCTCGGGCCGCCGCGGGGCCTGCCGACCGACACGGACTGGTGCGACTTCCACCTCTTCCGCACGGGCGGCGACATCCGGCCGGACTTCGACGGCGTCGTCGCGCGGCTCCAGCGCGTGCTCCCGTTCACGAACTCGACGCCGCCGATCTCGCGGCCGGGCTGCTGGGCGTACCCCGACATGCTCGAGGTCGGCAACTTTGGGTGGGCGCTCGGGGGTCCGCGGAACGACGCCGCGTTCGTCGAGTCGCGGACCCACTTCGGCCTCTGGTGCGTCGTCTCGTCCCCGCTGATCCTCAGCTTCGACGTCGCGGACGACGCCAAGCTCGCGGCCGTGTGGCCCATCGTGTCGAACGAGGAGGCCATCGCCGTGAACCAGGCCTGGGCGGGCTTCCCGGGCACGCTCGTCGTCGACGATTCGGCCTACCAGGTCTGGGCGAAGCCGCTCGGCGGCGCGACCGCGGCGCTCGTCTTCAACCGGGGGACGGCGACGCTCGACGTCTCCGTGCCGCTCGCCGCGCTCGGCCTCCCGGAGACCGCGACGGCGCGCGACGTCTGGACGCACACGAGCGCGACGGTCTCCGCCGCCTGGGCGGCGACGCTCCCGCCGCACGACTCCGCGTTCGCTGTCTTTTCTTCCTAGGGCGCGGCCGTCGTCGTCTTCGACCCGCGGCCTTTTTCTTCGTAGTGCTTAGAGAGGCCCCCCCGCGCCTAGAAGTAGACGATGCACTCCGGCGGGTAGCCCTTGGCGCCCGTGAGGTGGGCGACGACCTGGTCCTGGAACGCGTCGGGCCCCGCGACGACGGCGAGCATGCCCGGCTGCCACGGCGCGACCGCGCCCGCGAGGTCGTCGTTGCGCCGGAAGACGGCGTCGCCCGGCGCGTTCTTCGTCGTGTCCGGGCTGTGGAGCTTGTCGTCGACGACGCAGGCGAGCTCCATCTTCTTGGGGAACTTGTAGAAGAGCGTCTCGAGGCCCTCGTAGAGGCCGAAGTCGTCCTCGCCCTCGTTGATCCAGAAGACCTGGGCCTTCGCGATGGTCGACCGGCCCCGGGGCAGGCTCTCCTTGAGGAGCTGGATGACGGGCAACGCCCCGAGCTCCTCGGCGAAGCACTGGAGCGACGTGATGGGCAGGTAGGACCCCTCGTACGTGAACGCGCGCCGCCCGGGCCTCACGGCCGCCTCGCCGCCGATGCCGAGGCCGTCGAAGGCGTCGACGACGGCGCGCTGCTCCGCCGTGAGCCCGCCGACGGCCTCCCGCGCGCGGCGCCGGCCCGGCGCGGCGACGACGACCTCGACGGCGCCCGCGTCGCGCCGGTTCGACGCGAGCGGGAACGACGCGCGGACCGGCCGGTTCCTCCCGTCCAAACCGACGAAGGTCACCTCCTGGCCCAGCTCCAGCGGCAGCACGGCCTTGCCGCCCTGCTTGAGGGCGAAGCGGTACGCCGTGTAGGCCGCGCCGCCCGCGCCGTCGTCCCCAAAGTCCTCCGTCGCCTCCAGGACGCACGGCGCCCACGTGTCCTCGAGCACGACGAGCGACTCGTCCTCGAACAGGTCGCTCCAGGCGAGCTTCAACGCGTCGGCCGTCGCCCGCACCTGGCCCGCGCGCAGCTTGAGCCACTCGGGCCCGGAGCCCGCCGCCGCGCCGCCCGCCGCGCGGCCCAGCGCGGGCGCGACGAGCGACACGGCCGTGTAGCCGACGACGACGGCCGTCGCGCAGGCCGCGGCGCCGCCGACGACGACGGCCGTCGTCCCGACGACGTCCCAGGCCGACTGGCCCACGCGCAGCAGCGGCAGGTCCAGGCGCAGGGCCATACGGGACACGTCTCGTCGCGGCGCGCGTTTGTGCGCGCGCGGCCGCGCGCCGGCGAGCTTCGGCGGCGCGACGAGGGCATCGGACGCCCTGGCGACCAAATAGAGGATGAGCGACGACCGCATCGCGGCGTCGGCGCCCTTGAACGGCGGCCGCGGCGACGAGAGTGTCGTCAAGGCTTGAATCACCTCGCGCCAGACCGTGCATCATCGAGTAAACGTCGACTTCGCCTCGATTCGAGGACATGCTGATGGCGACTCGCAGCGCTTGATCTCACCGCCTTGCGCAAAGCGTCGATCGCTTCCCAGCCAGCCCGTCGTCGCGTCCTCGAGCGCTAAGCACACCGCAGCGCCACTCCGCAACACGTCCGGCGCGGCCTCGTCCTTTGCCATAAGCAAAAGCACAACCTTGTGGTAAAAATGTATCGCGGCCGCGGCGGCAAGGGCGGCGGTCGCGGCAAGGGCCGCGGCGGCAAAGGCGGCGGCGGCAAAGGCGGCGGCGGCAAGGGCGGCAAGGGCGGCGGCGGCTACAACTGGCGCCAGCACGTCGAGCCGTCGACGGACCCGGACATCGTGAACCCGTGCCGGGAGCGCGTCGCCGCGTTCCTCGCGAGCGGCGCGCCGCGCCTCGAGATGGCCCAGCGCCTGCGCAACGTCGAGAACAACACGATGCGCGCGGTCGCGCAGGACATGGGCGTCGGCTGGGTCCGGGGCCCGAACAAGGGCGACCCCTACGCGCTCGTGCGCGTCGACGCGTCCCTCGACAGCGGCGCGCAGATCACGACCATCGCCCAGCTCGTGCGCAGCGAGTGCGAGCGCGGCGGCGGGAAATGCGCGCGGAAGCGCGTCTGGGAGCGCATGGCGAGCGAGCTCCAGGCCTTCAGCCAGACGTCGCTCAAGTGCCGCATGCTCCGGCGCCTCGAGGAGCAGCCCGCGGCCCGCGCGGCCCTGGACGACGTGCGCTGCCGGGCGACGCGCAAGGGCTTTTGCCTGGAGGGCTTCGAGGACGAGGAGGACGCGGTCTACGCGTCCTTGGACGGCGCGCTGCTCAAGCGCGCGCGCGGAGCCCTGGAGGCGGCCGTCGCCGCGCGGCCGGCGCCGCGCGAGGGCTGGGCGCAGCGCAGCGGCGGCTTCCTGAGCGGCGCGCCGGGGCCCGCGGACGCCGCGGCCTTCGAGGCGGAGACCGCGAGCCGCGGCTACGCGACTTTTCTACCGGCGCGGCGCCGCCTGCCCGCGTTCAAGATGCGCGAGGCCATCGTCGCCGCCGTGCGGTCGGGCGCCGTGACGCTGGTTTTAGGCGCGACGGGCTGCGGCAAGACGACGCAGATCCCCCAGTTCGTCTACGAGGACTGCGCGCGCCGCGGCGAGGCGATCGCGGTCGTCGCGACGCAGCCGCGGCGCATCTCGGCGGCGAGCGTCGCGGAGCGCGTCGCGCGCGAGCGCGGCGGGGCCCTGGGCGACACCGTGGGCTTCAAGATCCGCTTCGAGGACTCCGTGACGGCGTCGTCGAAGGTCGTCTTCTGCACCGTCGGCGTGCTGCTGAAGACGATGCAGTCGAACCCGCTCCTCGCCGGCGCGACGCACGTCATCGTCGACGAGGTCCACGAGCGCGACGTGCACACGGACTTTTTTCTCCTGCTCGTGCGGCGCCTGCTGGCGAAGCGGAACGATCTCAAGGTCGTGCTGATGTCGGCGACGGTGGACCCGTCGGCGTTCCTGTCCTACTTCCCCGAGGCGGCCGTCGTCGAGATCCCGGGCAAGACGAACTACCCCATCGAGGAGCACTACCTCGAGGACATTTTGCCGCAGCTGCGCCCGCGGTCGTCGCCGCGGCCGCGGCGGTCGCCCTTCGGCGACGCGGGCGCGCTGGAGGGCGTGCCCGGCGACGAAGAGACGATCTTCGCGCGCCTGAAGTGCCCCCGGCCGACGGCGCAGGCGCTGGCGGACTTCCACGCGTTGCCGGCGGACTTCGTCGACGTCGACCTCGTCGCGGCCGTCGTCGAGCACGTCCACGCGTCCCAGGAGGACGGCGCGATTTTGGTCTTCGTGCCCGGCTGGGCGGAGATCGCCGACGTCGTCAAGCGCCTGGAAAAAGACCGGTCCCTCGCGATCCACGCGCTCCACAGCCGCATGCCCTCGGCGGAGCAGCGCGCCATCTTCGACGCGCCGCCGCCGGGGAAGCGCAAGGTCGTGGTGTCGACGGTGCTCGCGGAGACGTCCATCACCGTCGAGGACGTCGTCCACGTCGTCGACGCGGGCAAGGCGCGGTCGACGTTCCTCAACAAGCAGAGCCTGGTGTCGGCGCTGCGGACGACGTGGTACGCCAAGGCCAACGGCCTCCAGCGCCGGGGGCGCGCGGGCCGCGTGCGCCCGGGCGCCTGGTGGCGGCTCTATTCGTCGTTCCAGCACGCGGCGATGGTCGACTACGCGGAACCGGAGATGGTGCGGTCGCCCCTGGACGAGCTGTGCCTCGAGGTCGCGGCGCTCGGCCTCGGCGCGCCGGAGCCGGTGCTGGCGGAGGCGATCTCGCCGCCGGACGAAAAAATCGTCCGCGCGGCCGTCGACGGCCTCGTGCGCCTCGGCGCGCTGGACGCCGAGGACCGCATGTCCCTGTCGCCCCTGGGTCGGCAGCTCGCGCGGCTCCACGTGCACCCCGTGCTCGGGAAACTGCTGCTGCTGGGCGAGCTCTTCGACTGCTTCGACGTCGCGTTGACCGTCGCCGCGGGCCTCGGGTCCAAGTCGCCCTTCGTCTGCCCCCTGGGCAAGGAGCCCCTGGCCAACGCGGCCAAGGCCAGGTTGGCCGACGGCACGGACAGCGACCACGTCTTGCTCGAGCGCGCCTACGCCGAGTGGCGGGCGCGGCCGGGCTACCGCGACCGGCGGTCCTTCTGCGACCGCTTCTTCCTGTCCCACCAGACCCTCGAGTACGTCGACCAGCTCCGCCGCGACCTCGGCTCCGGCTGCCGCGACCTGCTCAAGCGCGACGCGGGCGGCCGCGCGCGGCCGCGGCACGCGGGCGCCCGGCTCTCGTCGGCGCTGCTGGCCGCGCTGTGGCCCAACGTCGCCGCGGTGCGCAAGCAGGGCAAGGGCCTGGCGCTGGGCAGCGGCCTCAAGGTCGTCTGCCACCCGGGCTCCGTGAACCGGAGCGCCGCGGACCGCCTCGTCGTCTTCTACGACGTCCAGGAGACGAGCGACCGCTACCTCTACGACACGTCCGTCGTGAGCCTCGCCCAGGTGCTCCTCTTCGCGCCGGACGTGGCCCAATCGACGACGAACTCGGGCCGCGCGAAACTGGCCGTCGCGCCGGACCTCCAGGTCTTGGTCGACGCGGCCGCGCTCGACGACGTCCTCGCGACGCGCGACCTGCTCCAGGCCTTCGTCCAGCGCTCCGTCGGCCGGCCCACGGACGACGCGTCGGCGCGCGCGAGCGCGGCCCTCGCCGCGCTCTTCTCCGCCGACGTCAGCGCGGACTTTGGCGACGACGACGAGGAAGAAGAGCGGCCGTCGGCCAAGGGCGCGTACCGGCCGCCGCACTCGCGCGGCCGCGGGCGGGGGGATGGGGCGTGGTGACTCGCTTCTTGTCGACTTAGGCGCGAGCGGGAGTCCCCTCACGCGCGGCTCGGGTAGCACGTGCCGCTCCACGCGACGCGCTCGAACTTGTCGACGGGCGCCGGCGGCGCGCCGAAGGACGGCCCGGCCCAGGTCCGCTTGACCCAGGCCTGGTACTCCGGCGAGGCGCCGTACTTGGCCCGCTGCTTGCGCTCGAGCCCCGCGGTGGCCTCGCCCGCGAGCACCTGGGCAGGACAAGAGATATTCAACGTCGCTTCAACGTGAGTGTTCCGCGCGCGCGCGTTCCGGAAAAAGCATTCACGCTTCGAGAACGTTCCGAGAGATGATCGCTCGTCCAAAAATCAGCCAAAACGAGTGGAAAACGGCCGAGATATGAGCCTTTGAAGTTGGGAATTTCGCTCTCTTGTCCTGCCCTGGCGAGCACGTTGAAGATGCCGACGAGGCCCACGAGCGACACGGCCGTCCAGACCGCGTTGGCGCGGAGCGCGCCGCTGGCGGCCAGCACGCCGGCCGCCGCGGAGCCGGCCCAGCCGATCATCTCGCCCGTGTAGTTCGGATGGCGCAGCAGCGCGAACGGTCCTCCCGTGACGAGCGCGTCGGCGCCGCGGACGGCCTTGGCGGCGCTCTTGTAGACGTCGCCGACGGCGCCGAGGGCGAAGCCGAACCAGGCGACGGCGACGGCCGCGCCGACGCCGCCCGTTGGCTCGACGCAGCCGGCCGTGAGCTTCAGGGGAGCCGCCATGCAGTAGTAGAGCAGCGAGCAGCCGACGACGACGGGCGCGCGCTTGAGCCGCTGCGCGAGCGACGCCGGCCGCGGCTTCATCTGGTGGATGGACACGGGCAGGAAGAGCTCGCGGTAGAGCAGGAAGAGGTTGAGGCGCGCGCCGTAGAAGAGCAGAGCGGCCGCGTGCGCCGCTCCGACGCCCGCCGCGCCCGCCTGGAGGGCGAGCGCTCCCGCGGCCGCCATGGCGCCGCCGTAGCCGTAGGACACGGCGTAGCCGCCCTTCCAGAAACCCAAGCACGTCGGCAGCGTCGCCGCGGCGACGCCGGGCAGCGCCGCGACCGGCGCGAGGCGGCGCGGCGGTGCGACGGTGCGGCGCGGCGCGAGCGCCTTGCGCGGTGCGAGCGCCGTGTTGCGCGGCACCACGAGTGCGCTGGCACTCGTGAGCGCGAGGAGCAGTGCAGAGATGCGACGCATGGGTGCGGCGTGCGCAGGAACTGCCATGCTGCAGCCTTTATTTGAGGTCGGCGAGGCAGTAGGCGAAGCGCGATGGTGGAGTGGCAAAACCTGATGCGCGCAATAGTGCTCCTCGCACTCGCAACGCACGCGTTCCAGCCGTCGTCGACGCGACGACGACCACAGACGCTCGCGCTGCACGGCAAGCGCGCGAAAAAGGTCGACCGCGAGGAGGCCTGGCAGCGAAAAAAGGCCGCCGAGGCCGCGGCCAAAATCCGCCGCGCCGGCCGCGCGACGGACCTAATTCCAGCCGCCGTCACGCTCGGCGCCACGCAAATCGAGGAGGACCACCGCCACGAGCAGTTCTTCTACGACGAGCCCACGTCGCGCCGCATGCTCGCGCTCGTCGACGGCTACGAGACGCCGCTCCTCGTGTGCAACCCGTCGCTCGCCGCGCGGCGCGACGCGGCCGGCGGCGACTACCTGCTCCTCGACCGCGACGAGCGCTTCGCGAGCCTCAAGTTCCGCGCGTTCGATTTAAGAGCGCCGGAGCCCGTGGACTGCGCGTTCGACGCGCTCTTTCTCGACCCGCCGTTCGCGAACGTCGGCGTCGCGGAGCTCGCGGCGGCGACGCGGACGCTCATGGGCGCGGCGCCGCGGCCCCTCTACGTGGGCTACAACGCGAAGCGCGCCGCGGAGCTCGAGGCCGCCTTCGCGGAGTTCGCGTTGAAAAATACGGGCGAGGTGCTGACCTACGCGTCGGGCGTCATGGCCGGCGACATCACGCTGTTCAGTAACGTGTAACACTAGCCACAACACAACTCATCAACCTGTTCAGTAACGTGTGACGCTAGCCACGACACGACGGGCGTAGTAGGCATGATCGTTAGTGGTGTCGATGCGAGTGGGGGCGCGCGGCTCCGATCCCCGTCGGTGGGAGAGCGCGCGGGCCCGGCGATGGCCGCCGCCGCGGGTGTCGTGCTTGGGTCCGATCACACTGCGAGTGTTTTTTTTTTTTCGGGCGGCGAAGCTAGTTGGAGATGCCCTCGAGCTTGTCCTCGACCTCCTGGTAGAGCTCCTGGAGCCGCTCGAGGTTCTCCTCGTCCGTGTCCCAGTAGCCGCGGCCGTTGGCCTCGAGGAAGGTCGTGACCATGTCGCGGAACGCGTTGGGGTTCGTCTCGAGCAGGCGCTTCTGCATGGCCTCGTCCTTGATGAAGGTGTCGTTCGCGTCCTCGTAGACGAAGTTGTCGACCTCGCCCGCCGTCGCGGACCAGCCCATGGTGTTGCGCAGGCGCTTCGTGATCTCGCGCGTGCCCTCGTAGCCGGACGCGAGCATGCCCTCGTAGAACTTGGGGTTCAGGAGCTTCGTGCGCGCGTCGAGGCGGACCGTCTCGGAGAGCGAGCGGACCTGCGCGTTGGCCGTCGTCGTGTCGGCCATCATGGACGACGGCTTCTTGCCGTCCTTGCGGAGGCCCGCGACGACCTTGGTCGGGTCCGAGTCGTAGTAGTGGCTCACGTCGGAAATCGAAATCTCGGAGGAGTCGAGGTTCTGGAAGGTCACGTCGACGGTCGACAGCGCGGCCTTGAACATGTCCGTGGACTGGGTCATCATGCCGGGCTTGTCCGCGTTGAACGCGAAGCCCTTGCGGCCGATGAACTGCTCCTGGAGCTGCGACTCGGACTCCCAGCCGCCGTTCTCGATGGCGAGGCCGACGTTGGCGCTGTAGGAGCCCGCGGCGTTGGAGAAGACGCGCGTCGCGGCCTCGCGGACGGAGACGCCCATCTCCTCGGCCTGCTCCATGGCGTGCTTGCGCACGTAGTTCTGGTCCAGGGGCTCGTCGGCCTCGGCGGCCATCTTCACGGCGCGGTCGAGCAGGTTCATCTGGTTGATGAAGAGGTCGCGGAAGACGCCCGAGCACGAGACGACGACGTCGACGCGCGGGCGGCCGAGCTCCTCCAGGGGGATGAGCTCGAGCTTGTTCACGCGGCCGAGCGCGTCGGGCACGGGGCGCACGCCGACGAGGCCCAAAACCTGGGCGAGGGACTCGCCGTAGGTCTTGATGTTGTCCGTGCCCCAGAGCGTGAAGGCCACGGATTCCGGGAGCGCGCCGTTGTCGCGCTCGAGGCGCTCGAGGAGCTTCTCGACGACGCGGTTCGCGCACTCGACGGCCGCGGTGGTCGGGATGGACTGGGGGTCGAGCGCGTGCATGTTCTTGCCCGTGGGGAGCACGGCGGGGTTGCGGATGGGGTCGCCGCCGGGCCCGGGCTCGATGTAGGTGCCGTCGAGAGCATCCACCAAGGCGCCGAGCTCGTTGTCGGCGACGACCTGGCGGAGGCAGAACTCGAGGTACTCGAAGAGCGGCGTCAGCGCCGCGTCGCCCGCCGCGGACGCGAAGCCCGTCTTCTCGAGGGCCTGGCGGTAGGGCGCGGCGCCCATCATGGAGCCCATGAGCTTCGCCATGGGCGTGACCTCCTTGACGCGGCCCGTGGAGTCCGTCGACTCCTGGACCATGGCGCGGACGGCCGCGCGCGTCGCCTCCGTGATCTGCTGGAGGAGCTCGACGTCGCCGAGGATGCCCTCGTTCGCGTTGCGGTAGATCTCCTCGAGCTTGCGGCCCTTGGCGTTGGCGAGGATGCGGGGCAGGCCGAGGATGTCGTCCTCGGGGCGGTCGATCTCCGCGATGGACACGAGCGTCGCGATGGCCTCCTCGGCCGTCGGCGGCACGCCGACCGTGTGGAGGCCCATGGGCAGGAGGCGGCTCTCGATCTCCATGAGGCGGCGGTAGACGGCGCCGACGACGTTGTCGCGGGCCTCCAGATCGACGGTCTTGGAGTCGAAGTCGTCCGCGGGCAGGTCCCTGATGTCCTTGTCGAGGTTGCACGTGTACGCCGCGGAGATGATCGAGTTGACGATGGACGGGCCGCGCGCCTCGTTCTCGCGGAGGCCCTGGTAGGACGACACGAGCTCCGAGAGCTCCTTCAGGCCCTTGTACAAGCCCGCGTTCTCCGCCGGCGGCGTGAGGTACGAGATCGTCGCCGCGTAACTGCGGCGCTTCGCGATCGTCGCCTCCGACGGGTTGTTCGCCGCGTAGTAGTAGAGGTTGGGGATCGTGCCCGCGAGGCGGTCCGGGTAGCACTCGCCGGACATGCCGACCTGCTTGCCGGGCATGAACTCGAGGGAGCCGTGCGTGCCGAAGTGGAGCACCGCGTCGGCCTCGAAGACCGACTCGAGGTACGTGTAGTAGGCCGCGAAGCCGTGGTGGGGCGACGCGGACTTGGAGAAGAGGAGGCGCATGGGGTCGCCCTCGTAGCCGAAGGACGGCTGGACGCCGACGAAGACGTTGCCGAACTTGGCGCCGAAGACGAGGAGGTTCTGGCCGTCCGAGTTGAGGTGGCCCGGCGGCGGGCCCCAGTTCTCGTGGAGGTCGTTCTGGTAGGGGCACAAGCGCTCGTACTCCTCCATGGTCATCTTGTGGACGACGTTGAGGTTCGGCGAGTCGAATTTCGCCTCCTTGTCGTTGAGGACCATGTCCATCAAGTCTCCCGGCTCCATGGCGTCCGGGTCCGTATCTCCCAAATCGTAGCCGCGCGCCTTGAGCTCCTTGGCGACGGCGAGGATGGAGCCGAAGACGTCGAGGTAGGCCGCCGTGCCGACGTTGCCCTTGTCCGGCGGGAAGGAGAAGATGGTCACCGCGACCTTCTTGTCCTTGTTCTCCTTGCGGCGCAGCGTCGCCCACTTGAGGCTCCGCTGCGCGAGGACGGAGATGCGGTCGTCGAGGGGCACGGACTTGCCCGTGGCGCCCTCGCGGCCCGCGTAGATGATGGGCTCGATGGCGCCGTCGAGCTCGGGGAGCGACACCTGGAGCGCGACCTGCACGGGGTGGAGGCCGAGCTCGGACGCCTCCCACTCCTGGAACGACTGGAAGACGAGGGGCACGGCGCAGAGGTAGGGCACGCCGAGGGCCTTGAGCGTCTCGACGGCCTTGGGGTGGTCCTGGGACGCCGGCCCGCCGACGAGGGCGAAGCCCGTGAGGTTGATGACGGAGTCGACGGCGACGCCGCCGACGCGGTAGAAGTACTCCTTCACGGGGCCGGAGAAGTCGAGGCCGCCGCTGTAGATGCAGACGACCTTGGCGCCCCGGGCCTCGAGCTCGGAGATGAGGGACACGTAGTGGCCCGCGTCGCCCGTGTTGATGTGCGACTTCTGGAGCACGACGCCGACGACGGGCGCGTCCTCGGCGAGGCCCGCGGCGGGCGCGTGCGTCGTCTCGTACCAATTAAAGTACTCGTTGACGTCCTGGTAGACCTCGGGGCCCAGCGGGTGCCAGATGCCCTTGTCCGGGAGGAGCACGGGCTCGGCGATGAGGCCCTCGGCGTCGAGCGCGGACGCGTCGGCCGCGTCGGCGACGGCGGGCACGTACGTCGTCGCGAGCGACATGATCATGGACTGCAAATTCTCCGGCGAGCCGCCGAGCCAGTACTGGAAGGACATCATGAAGGACTTGGCGTCCTTGGCCTTGTCGCCGGGCAGGTACTTGAGCACCTTGGGCAGCGTGCGGAGCAGCTTGAGCATCGCCTCCTCGAACGACGACCCGTCGTCGGACTTCTTCTTCTTCATGAACTCGGAGACGACGGACTTGGACTGGCCCAGGGACGCCATGGTGAAGCCGCCGACCTTGTTGAGGCGCATGACCTCGGGCATGGACGGGAAGACCAGCACGGCGTCGAGGCGGTCCCGCTCGGCCTCGACGACGTCGCGGACGACCTCCGCGAGCTCCTGGACGAAGATGAGCGACCCGATGAAGACGTTGGCCTCGGCGACGTCCTTCTTGAAGGCCGCCACGTTCGCCTCGTCGCGGAGCTCCTCGAGGAGGTAGCCCACGCACTCGACGCCGACGCCAGAGTTCGCGTTCGCGTTGATCTGCTTCACGGCCTGGGTCATGGAGCTCTGGTACTGCGACTCGAGGACGACGTAGACGATCTTGAGCGGCGCGCGGCCGGGCGTCGAGCCGTCCTTGGCGCCGAGGTACCTGGGGGTGTGGGTTGAGGTTCGGCGGATCTTTTCTTCCGCGGCGGCGCGCGGCGGCGCGGGGGGCGGGGCGTGGGCGGGCGCCCGGACGCGGGCGCGCGCTCGACTTGGCCGATGCGGCGGTCCTCGGGCTTCGACGTCGTGAACATGCCGCCGCCGGAGCTGAGCGACACGTCCTCGGTCTTCTTGTCGATGGTCGAGTAGAGCGGCGCGTTGGCGCTCGTGCGGAGCTTGAGGTTGCTCGAGGTCGGGGCGACGAACGCCGACGCGGTGCCGAGCAGCGCGAGGGCCGCGAGGGCCGTGCGCATGGCGGGCATGCTACAGGTAGCAGTCGCGACGAGCTCGATCTTGCTACGACGGGGCCGGCGACGGAGGAATGTCGACCACTTCAGACGATCTACGACTGTCCTTCACTGCAAGGCAATGTACCCTCGCGGGATCTGTTCAAGCGCCAAGGCGGATCGGCAACTGCGTACGCCTCTGCGTGCGCTGGCGGTGCGCCGGCGAGCCGAGCAGCGGCGCATGGCGTGGCACAAGCGCCTGGCGAGTGCGGGGTGCGGCCATTGAGTTTAGTGACGAACTTGATCGCATTGAGCATGGAGCAGCTGGAGACATCGTTTATGAGCGGCGCCAGCGAGAGGCCGAGGGCGACCGCCCCGTGGAACTCGTTCGGGCACGGGTACCGTACCGTGTCGCACCGTCCTGTGGCTCGGACGTTAGCACGCGAGCGTGCGACGCGATGTGGCGGTCGGCCGGCGCCGGGCGAGAAGACGTGCGCGGCCAAGCTCCACCTGCGCCGCAAGACCACCGCGAACGCGAGCGCCATCTCCCAGGCCGATTCGCAGGCGCAGATGGAGGCCGTCGCCAAGATCCTCCTCAAGGGGACTCCTCCAGGCCTTCAAGGAGGGCAAGATTGGGAACTATTCCGCCGCGGCGCCGTGCGCGCCGCAAGCCCAGACCCTAACAGCAGCCCCTGCCCCCCGTCGCGCCGCCGCCGCGCCCCCGCGCCGCCACGACCGACAGAACCCATCTCACGCCTCCCAGCGCCGCCGCGCGCGCCGCGGGACGGGCGACGAAAGGAGCACCGACCCCGGCCAAGGACTGGTGAGGCGAGCTGGACAGCATGCGCCGACCACTGCTGCTGCCGCTGCTCGTGGCGAACGCCTTCCTGCGCCCCGCCCCGCGCGCGACACCGTCGCGGAGACCAGCGGCGACCCTCGAGCCCCCGGTCCAGCAACAAACTTTAAACACGAAGGAGAAGGTCGCCATCCTCCTCTTAAACCTCGGCGGCCCCCAGACGACGGCGGACGTCGAGCCCTTCCTCTACAACCTCTTCGCGGACCCCGACATCATCCGGCTCCCCTCGGCCATCGGCGGCCTGCAGACGGCTCTCGCCTGGCTCATCGCGACGCGGCGCGCGCCGAAGAGCCGCGCCGCCTACGAATCGATCGGCGGCGGGAGCCCCATCACCATGTACACGATGGAGCAGGGGCGGCTCCTGGAGGAGGCTTTGAACAGCGGCGGCTCGGGCGTCGAGTACAAGTCCTACGTCGCCATGCGCTACTGGCACCCGTTCACCGACGAGGCCCTGGACAAGGCCGTCGCCGACGGGTGCACGTCGGCCGTCGTGCTGCCGCTCTACCCCCACTTCAGCATCTCGACGACGGGGTCGAGCCTGCGGGCCCTCCTCTCGGAGATGCAGGCGAGCCACCCGCAGCTCATGGCGAGCCACACCGTCGTCCCCTCGTGGCACGACTCGCGCGGCTACGTGAACTTGGTCGCGCGGTTGGTCGCGGAGGAGCTCGACGGCCTCATGCGCGACGTGGGCCCGCTCAACCCCGGCGAGCCGCCGCCGACGGTGCTCTTCTCGGCCCACGGCGTGCCCGTGTCCTACATCGAGGAGGCGGGCGACCCCTACAAGGGCCACATCGAGAAGACCGTGCGGCTCGTGAGCGAGCAGGCCCGGAAGCTCCACCCGCACCCGGCGTCCTACGAGCTCTGCTTCCAGAGCCGCGTGGGGCCCGTCAAGTGGCTCGAGCCCTACACGGACGCGGCGCTCGAGGCCATCGGCGGCCGCGGGTGCGAGCGCATCGTCGTCGTGCCCATCTCCTTCGTCTCCGAGCACATCGAAACCCTCGAAGAGATCGACATCGAGTACCGCGAGGTCGCCGAGGACGCGGGCATCAAGCACTGGCGCCGCGCGCCCGCGCTGAACTTGGACGGCGAGTTCATCGACGAACTCGCGCACCAGGTCACGTCCGCGGTGAACAAGCCCGTCGTGTCGTCGGTGGAGGCCTGCGTCGTCAACGCCTTCGACCTGCGCGACGAGCCCCTGGGCGTGCTGCCGGGCGTCGAGGCCGCGCCCGTGGAGCTCATCAACACGAAGACCGCGACGGTCGCCATCGCCATCGCGTTCATCTTCGAGCTCCTCGCCGACGACCGCCTCGTGCACGTGTTGGGCGTCGGGGCGGTCTAAGTTTGATTCACCACGGGGGGTTTCGTGCCCAGTTTTTATCACAGCAGATCCAGGACGCAGCACTGCGCGTGGCTGTGCTTGCGGTAGACGTCGTTCGCGACGACGCCGCTCTGCTTCCAGCGCGGCGCGTGGAAGGGGTTCGCGCGCAGCGCGGAGAACCCCACCGCGCCGTGGTCCCGGCGCAGGCACCGGCGCTCGCGCGCGGCCTCGAGGCGAGAGTGCGCGAACGTCACCAAGGGGACCCCCCGCGGCGCCGCGGCGAGCGCGGGCCGCCAGCCGTAGGCCTCGTCCGTGATGCCCATGTTAAAGCCCAAGATGAGGCTCGCCGGCGGCAGCGTCGCGTTCTCGTAGGCGCCGCGGCGGTAGAGGAGTCGAGCGCCGTCTTTTTCGCGGTCGGGCCGCGCGGTCGCCTGCGGTCCCACGAGCACGACGGTGACCGGCCGTCCCAGCGCGGCGGCCCACCACTGGGGCGGCGCCGCGCACTCCGGCGGGGCGGCGCCGAGCACGTGGATCGTGAGGCGCTTCGTCCGCGGGGCTCTCGCGACGCGGGGAAACTCCGCCGCCGCCCACGCCGCGGACAGCGGGAAGGACATCGCGAGCGCGGCCGTTGGGTCGCGCCAATGTGTCAGGATCGTCGGTAGCGTCGCGACGTCGCCGAGATCCGCGGCGGCCTCGTCGACGTCCTCCTCGACGCCCATGTCCTCCAGCCGCTCCGGCGGCACCGTTCGCAGCGTTCCGCACGCCCGTCGGTGCGCGCGGCCGTCGAGCGCGCGGCACCGCGCCGAGCAGTAGACGATGCGGCCGCAGGCGTCGCAGGACAGCAGCGGCGCGCCGGCGCAGACGGCGCAGCAGTTGAGGCCCAGTCGGAGGTCCTCGTCGTTCGCTAGGCGGCGGCGCGACGCGGCGTAGTCCCAGGAGAACGTGCCGTCGAGCTGTTCCGCGCGTGTTGGTGGTCTGTCTTTCGCGGTCTTGCCGTGGCGCTGGCGGCGGCGCAGGGCGCAGACCATTGCGCTGGCGGCGGCGGAGGGCGCAGACTCACAGCTCTGGGACTCGGCGCATCGCGCTCTCCGAATTGGCCGGGGCTCCGCCTGCGCGCTGAGGCCTCGAGGGCCGACGTAAGCGAACTTGGAGAGGCACGTTCTCTTCGGGGGCGCTTGAAGCCGCTTGGCAAGCTCCACGATCTCGGTCCAATCCCCCCCAAGCTTGAGTTGGGGTCACCCCTAGTGAGCCGCGCGGCGCGCGCCGACGGCGCCGAGTACCATCTTCGTGCGGAGCGCTCGCTCTCGGGGCTCGGAGCGGCGCCGCAGGACCCGTTGCGGCGGCGTGGAATGAACGCGAGCGAAGTGTACATCTAGAAGGGCACGGATGCGTACTCGTCTTCGTTTGCCTGCTCGTGCCGTGCTCCGATCCCCGGCGCGAGGACTATCGTCAGCACGCAATCTTGCCCTCGTAGACGTCGCAATGAAGCTCGTTATCGCTTGCCTGGCAGCCACGGCCTCGGCCCTCGTGGCCCCCGCGGCGTTCAGCACCAAGGCGCAGGTGCGCCAGATCGCGACCGCCCCGCAGATGGTGCGCTTCCGCGTCCGAAACGGCTTGAACCGCGGGGATCGTCGCCCGTTCTTCGGCTGGCTCCTTTTCTCGCTCTGATGGGGGTGGGTGGAGGGCGCGCCGCTCCGAGGGCGAGCGCGATAGAATTGGGAAGTGTGTCCGCGCGTCGCACCCCCCGCCCGGGGGTCCCGGGGCCATCCGCGGGAGCCGGGCGGAGGAAACGTCAAGTTGGCCGAACCCCGGCCCGGTTACTCCACGGGTTGCGCCGGTGCCCCTGCGAGCGCCCCCCCGCGGGCTCGCGGGCGCCCCCCGCACGGAGGACGCGCACGACGCGCCCCCGTACCCCGAACGTGAAAGAGAGAACGCGCGCGATCGCTTCGCCGCGTTCGATTCACCGTCGGCTCACCGCGTCCCCCCTCCTAGGCGCTCGTCGAGGAGGGCTCCTTCGTGCCCGACATGGAGCGGCGGAACATCATGAACCTCGTGCTGCTGTTCGGGGGCGTGCTCCCGGCCGTCGGCGGCCTCGCGATCCCGTACGTGCTCTTCTTCATCCCGCGCGGCGGCGGCGGCGGCGGCGGCGGCCTGCCGGCGCTCACCAAGGCCGGCGACGCCGTGACCTTCGACTCCTGGCTCGGCAGCCACAAGGTCGGGGACCGCGAGCTCGTCCAGGGCCTCAAGGGCGACGCGACGTACCTCATCGTCGACGAGGACAAGACGATCCGCGACTACGGCATCAACGCCGTCTGCACGCACCTCGGCTGCGTCGTGCCCTGGAACAAGGCCGCCAACAAGTACATGTGCCCCTGCCACGGCTCCCAGTACGACCAGACGGGCAAGGTCGTCCGCGGCCCCGCGCCGCTCTCCCTTGCGCTCGCGCACATCACGGACGACAAGGGCGTCGTCACCTTCTCGCCCTGGACGGAGACCGACTTCCGCACGGGCCTCAAGCCCTGGTGGAAGTAGAGCGGACGCCGCGGACGCCGCGCGCGCGGGCCCGCAGCCCCGGGACGCCCGCGCGGCGCGCGCGCGGCGGCGGCGCGCGCGTATACACATAACCCACCCTTCACCGGTCCTGTGTTTCGAACGAGAAGGGGCGCGTGCGGGGTGTGGTTGTCTCAGCGCGGCGACGGGCGACGCATAGGGCCGACGCGCGCGCCCGGCGCGCAGGAGGCCTCGCAGGCCGGAGGCCTCCGAAGCGGCGTCGACGACGCAAGCAAGCGCCGTCACCTGAGCCGCTGCGCCGTGCCCACCGATGCACCGTAGCCCGCGCCGCAGACACCCTATAATGGCGGACCGCCAGCGTCCGTCGGTCGTGTCGCGCGGCCTGTCGCGGCTGCGGTCCATGGCGGGCCCGGCGAGCAAGAAGCGCGCGACGGAGCACGCGTCCCAAGTGACGCCGACGCCCGTCGCCGAGGCCCTGGAGGTCCTCGACGCGCGCGACCTGCGGCGCCTCCTCTGCCTCGACGACGAGGCGCCGCTTCCGCGGCACCGGCGGCCGCCGAGCCCCTTCGCCGAGACGTCGGCGGCCGTCGTGGCGCACGTCCGCCAGCGCATGGCGTGGGACTGCGGCCTCGCGTGCGTGCTCATGGTGCTGAGCGCGGCCGAGTTCCCGCGCTACGACGCGACCTGGGACCGCGTGCACGCGGCCTGCGGCACGCGGAGCGTCTGGACCGTGGACCTGGCCTTTGCGCTGAAGGCGTTCGGAGTTAGGTTTGTGTTCGCGACGAAAACCTTGGGCTGCGACCCGTCCTACCGGGACATGTCCTTCTACAAGCGCGAGCTGTCCTTGGACGAGCGGCGCGTGGCGGGCCTCTTCGAGCGGGCCTTCGCGGGCGAGATTTGTTTGAGGAAGGGCACGGTGCCGTCGGACGCGCTCGGCGAGCTTCTGGGGACGCACCGCGCGCTGGTCATCGCGCTCGTGGACCTGCGCTTCCTCTACTCGCGCACGGCCGTGGGCCGCGCCATCGCGTCGTTGCCCTACTCCTACACGGGCCACTACATCGTGCTCACGGGTTTGGACGCCGCGGGCCGCGTCCTCTACAAGGACCCGGCGTCCGCGGGCGAGGACCACGCCATCGGCCTGGCGGACCTCCACCGCGCGCGCGCGGCCCACGGCACGGACGAGGACCTCATCCTCGTCGCCGTCGACTCGCTCTCCCGGACGCACGAGCCGCCGCCGGGCCGCGCGGGGACTTTCGCTGTTGGTGGAATTAGATAACTCTTTTTCATCCTTGCCACTTGGTTTATCTACTACAATGACAGGACTAACGGGTGATCATTTTCGCGCGATGCTATCGTCGTCGTACGCGGCCGTTCATGGCCTTGCGCACGGACGGGGCGCCCTTGTTGTAGTGGCCGAAGACCCTCCCCGTATCGTTCTTCGCGTCGACGACGAACGCGCGGAGCGGGCCCCGGGAGAAGCAGTACTGGGAGACGAAGCGGTCGATGAGGCCGCTCTGGTGGAAGCCCGAGATGTCGGGCCGCCGCCGCAGGAAGCAGTCCATCAGCCGCCGGAGGCCCCGGGCCGTGACCGCGTACGCGCTCATGACGACGTTCGGCATGGGCTCCCCGACGAGCTCCTTGCGGACCCTCGCGACGCCGGGCAGGCCCGCGACGGCGTCGCCCCGCGGCCGCAGCGCCGCGAGGTTCACGTAGTCGAAGCCCCCGCGGAGCGCCGCCAGGACCGCGCAGAGCCGCGCGCGCGTCGGAGGCTCGAACGTCGCGTCGTCTTCCAAGACGAGGCTCAGCGCCGCGCCGCGGCGCAGCAGCGCCTCCCAGAGGCTCAGGTGCGCCAGCGCCGCGCCGATGCTGCCCAGGCTCTTCCGCGCCTTGGGCGCGTCGACGACGCCGCGCCGCACGTAGTGGTCGAGCTCGTCGCGGCGTTCCGCGACGACGAAGCCCGGCCAGACCTCGAAGCGGACGTCGTAGGACGCGTTCCGGATCGCGCCGACGAAGCGCTCCAGGCGCGGCGCGTCCCGCAGCAGGTGGACGACGGACACGTTGAACGCGTCGCCGGGGCAGCCGAAGGGCTCCGCGCCGGCGACGTGCACCGCGTCCGTCGCGCGCTCGAAGACGCGCTGCTGCTCCGTCGCGTTGAGCGTCGGCAGGGCGGCGCGGGGCCGCCGCTTGCCGCCCATGCGCGCCGATGCCAGGGCGAGCAGGCAGAGCAGGAATAGCAGCGCGCGCGCGCGCATAGGCAGCCCGCTTGCTCAGCAGCAATGTGGGCTTCAAGCGCCTCAGGTGACGTCAAGGACCACACGGGGCTTCAAATGAAGAACACCTGCTCGCGCGCGCAATGATGTGCAGACGCATGCTCCTCCTGGGCCTGCTGGCCGCGGCCAGCGGCTTCCTCTCGCATACGCGCCGCGCCGCGCCGGCGCGCGGCGCGTCCATCAACGCCGCGAAGAAGCAGACGGCCGTGGGCTCGCCGGACGGTGGCTTCATCGCAGCGCCCGAGGCCGCCGCGGCGCTCGCCGCGGACCAGGCCGCGGCGGCCCCCGTCTTCCAGCAGAACTTGGTCATCAGCTCCCTCCAGGCCGAGACGCGCGCCGTCGAGGAGGCCAAGGCCGCGCTCGCCGAGGCCAAGGCCGCGCTCGTCGCGCTCGCCGAGGCCAAGGCCGCGGCCGCCGCGGCGCTCGCCGCGGACGAGGCCGAGGAGGCGCCCATCTTCGAGCAGAACCTGGTCGTCAGCTCCCTCCAGGCCGAGTCGCGCGTCGCCGAGGCCGCGGCGGCCGCGCTCGCCGCGGCCGAGGCCGACGTCCAGGTCGCGGAGCGGGCCTACGCCAAGGCCGTGGCCGCGGCCGACGCCAAGGCGGCCGCGGACCGCGAGGCCGAGCGCGCCGCGGAGAAGGAGCGCCTCGCGGCCCTCGAGGCCGCGCGCGCCGCGGAGAAGGAGCGGCTCGCGGCCGAGGCGGCCGCGGAGCGCGTCGCGGCGCTCGCCGCCGCGGAGCGCCGGGTCGCGATGCTCGGCGAGTGGCAGACCGCCGACGGCGAGCCCCTCTGCGTCCTCAAGCCGGGCGGCGACGTCGCCGTGCTGCCCTCCAAGGGCGAGGGCGGCGCGTGGACCGTCGTCGCCGAGGACGACGTCTCGTCGACGGTCGAGATCACGCTCCGCCTCAGCCGCTTCACGCGCCGCGGCGTCTACTCGGGCGTCCAGGAGCACACGCTCCGGGGCACGATCCGCGGCGACGCCTTCGACGGCACCATCTCCCGGGTCTTCTTCGGCCAGGAGACCGAGTCCGACTGGACCATGCAGAAAAAGGAATCGCTAGTGCCCGCCTGAGCGTAAGCGCATGCGGGTCACGGTGGTTCAAATGGCGTCCCTTATCGATGGAAAAATTATGAACAAAAGAAGTCAGCAAGAAAAAGAGGCCAGCGCACGCCCGGTGGTCTTTGCCCCCGGCTACCTCGCCGTCGCGTTGCACCAGGCGTCGTCCTGGACGAACAGCTCCTCGAGGTAGGCGGCGGACATGACCAGCGCGCGGCTCGACGCGTCGTCGACGCCGTAGGCCAGCACGACCTTGCCCTGCGCGTAGAGGAGCGACGAGGGGAACGCCGCGCCGCCGCCCTGGAGCTCGATGGGCCGCGACACGCGCGTGATCCCAAAGGGCGGCGCGCCCGCGAACTCGTAGGCGAGCGTCTCGTAGGCGCCGTCCCTGAGCGTGTGGAGCAGCGCGAGGTAGTTGCCGCCGTAGGGCGCCGCCGTCGCGGACCCGCGCACGGCGACTTCGCCCGCGACGGCCGCGAGGGGCGAGAACGACGTCTCGTGGCGCACGACGCACGCGCCGTCGCCGGGCCGCGCGGCGACGACGACGTGCGGCTGGACGCTGTAGACGAAGTGGAGCATGTCGTTGTGCGTGAAGGCCTAGAGGGATGGCGTTTTTTCCGTTGTTGCGCGAAGTCAAAAGGGACGCCGGTTCGTGCGCGATCCAGTTCTTCTCGTCGGCCTCGGTCTCGCCGCAGGCGAGGCGCACGGCCGGCGCGTCGTCGCCGCTCGCGAGCGCGGCGCCGTTCCGCGCGAGGTACATCTGCGACACGGCCCGCGCCTTGCCGTCGCAGTTGCCCGCGAGGTGCTTCGGCGGGTAGGAGTTGAACGCGAGGCCCCAGGCGCCGCCGCCCGGGAGCGCGACGAGTTTGGGGTCCTCGGGGCCGCCGACGACCTTGCGCACGACCGTGTTGTTGGCCTCGTAGAACGCGGCGACGGGCTCGCAGAGCGCCCCCCAGGCCGCGCCGTCGCCGAGGTGGCTCAGCAGGCTCGGGCGCGACAGCGACGCCGGCGCGCCCGTCGCGAGGCCCCGTCGAGGTCCCAGAGGCGCCACTCGTCGAACGGCGCGGACAGGTTCCCGCCGTAGGGCTCCGCGGCCAGGACGATGTCCGAGCTCCAGGACGCCGTCTCCTCGACGACGATGCGCACGAAGGACTCGCCCGGGACGCGGTACGCGCCCTCGCCGCGCTCGGACCGGAGCGCGTGCGCGCGCGCCGCGCGGACGATGTCGCCGTCCACGAGGAGCAGGCTCGGGTTGATGAGCGCGCCGCGCGTCGACGACGTCCAGTTGAGGCGCACGTCGAGCGCCTCCGCGGCCAGCCACACCGTCGCGTTCGTGCCGTTGCCCCCGGCGGCCGCGGACGACGACGACGATTTCGCTTTATCGGCGTCGTAGGCCGCGGCGGCTGCAGCGAGCCCCGCGGCGACGGCCAGGGGCGCGACCAAAAGCATCGCCGCGCGCCGCCTCGTCGCCGCGAAGCGGCGCCAGATCGCCGCGGCGGGCTTGACGACGCCGTAGGCCAACAGCGCCGAGCCGCCCGTGAGGTAGAGGAGGAAGGGGACGACGTCGACGTCGACGGTGGGCCAGCAGGAGTAGGCGACGAACTGGAGCACGTACTGCGGGTAGGAGATGTCGCCGAAGAAGGCCGGCAGCTTCGCGAAGGCCGCGGCGACCGGGTCTTCCGCGCGGCCCGCGTCGATGGGCGACAGCCCCACGAGGATCATGGCCTGGAGGGGCCTGGGCAGCACAAGGGTGATTCAACGTCGCTTCAACGTGAGTGTTCCGCGCGCGCGCGTTCCGGAAAAAGCATCCACGCTCCGAGAGGCGATCGCTCGTCCAAAAATCAGCCGAAACGAGTAGGAAAACGGCCGAGAAAGGAGCCTTTGAAGTTGGGAAGTTCGCTCTCTTTTGCTGCCCTGGGAGGGGCATGAGGATCGACAGGCGGCAGCTCAGCTTGTGCGCCGCGGGCCGCAGGTCCCGCGCGAGGAAGACGAGGAGCAGGCCGCCGAAGCCCGCCGTCGCGGAGCCCCGCGCGACGGCGCCGAGGAACCGCGCGAGCGGGCCGTCCGCGCCGGCCTTGAGGTTCGCGCGGAGCCGCGCGAGGACCACGCCGTACAGAAACACGTGGAAGTAGCAGAGCGGGTGGAACTTGAGGAAGACGACCCACAAATCCGTCGCGGAGCTCGTGTCGCCGACCGCGTGGCGCCGGTACCACTCGTTGTCCTCGTCCGCGAGCTCGGGCACCAAGACGAGGAGCCAGGGGATGAGGCTCAACACGACGAGGGCGGCGAAGCAGGCCTCGAGGCTCGCGTTGCGGACTTTGGCGTAGACGGGCCCGAAGAGGAGCCAGTAGGGCACCAGGCAGCTCAGGAACCAGCAGTGGAACCTGGGCAGGACAAGAGTGCGAAATTCCCAACTTCAAAGGCGCTCCTAGCTCGGCCATTTTCCACTCGTTTCGGCTGACTTTTGGACGAGCGATCATCTCTCGGAACGGCCTCGACGCGTGGATGCTTTTCTCGGAACGCGCGCGCGCGGAACACTCACGTTGAAGCGACGTTGAATCACCCTTGTCCTGCCCTGAGTGGAACTGGAAGACCTGCTCCGTCGCGCGCGGGTCGAAGGCCTGGAGCAGAAAGGCCTGGTACAGCATCCATTTCGTCTCCGGCAGCGCCACGCCGCGCGCGACGCGCACGCCGAGGGCTAGGAAGAGCCCGACGGCGTAGGCCGGGTAGACCGTCGCGAGGCGCTTCGCGAGGTACGTCGTCGGGCGCTCGACCTTGGACGGGTCCCGCGACGCGAGGCGGCTGTGGGCCAGCACGTAGCCGCTGAGCATGAAGAAGAAGGGCACCCACGTGTAGCCCCAGCCGTACAAATAAACGTCGTCGACGGCGCCCTTGGCGAAGAGGTGGCCGAGGACGATGTGGACCGACGCGACGTAGCGCGCGCCGCCTAGGCCTGGGCAGCAAAAGGGTGATTCAACGTCGCTTCAACGTGAGTGTTCCGCGCGTGCGCGTTCCGGAAAAAGCATCCGCGCTTCGAGACCGTTCCGAGAGATGATCGCTCGTCCAAAAATCAGCCAAAACGAGTGGAAAACGGCCGAGATAGGAGCCTTTGAAGTTGGGAATTTCGCTCTCTTTTGCTGCCCTGGCCCAGGCCCTCGAGCCGCTCGAGCCGGAAGGGCGCGACGACGACGGGCGTGGCGGGCGCGGGGTCCTCCTTGGCCTCGTCGACGGCCACGGGCGCGACCTTGGCGTCCTTCATCTCCTCGGGCCGGGGCGGCGGCTTCCTCTTCGCCGCGAAGAACGCCGCGGCCGCGAGGGCCGCGGCGACGCCGAAGCCCACGCCCGCGAGCGCCCAGCCGTCGCCGGCGCCGCCGCAGAAGAGGCGGTTCTTCTGCTTGCAGAGTTCCTTGGCGCTCGAGGAGCCGGAGGCGCCGCCGGTCTCGCCGAGCCCGAGCGCGTTCCAGAGGCAGTCCGCGAGGCCCGCGGCGCCCGCGACCGTCGCCGGCGCCTGGAGCTTCACGGACACGGGCACGGCGTCGACCCTGGCGTAGGTGCAGTAGTCGACCTCGGACGCCATGACCCAGTCGCCCGTCTCGCCGTTCGTCGCGTCGAAGCATAATTTGTCCGCGACGAGGTACTCGGGGCAGCCCGCGGCCGGCAGGTCGCCGCAGACCGTGTTCCAGATCATGTTGTAGGCCGTGATGTGGGGGAAGGGCGTCGTGTGGCCGTCGACGATCTCCTCGGGGATCCAGTCCGTGACGAGGCCCGTCCAGTCGATGAGGTGCGCCTGTGCCGAAACCAAATCTTCAACCCGACTTCAATGTGAGCGTATTCGAATGTTTTGACACAAGCTCTTCAGCTGGGCTTCGAGAACTCGACGAGAGCGATCGATCCGTCCAAAAATCAGCCGAATCGACTTCGATTTGACCGAGCTAGAGAATCCTCAAGTCTGGTCAGGACCACCCAAACCAGTGGTTGAATTCCACACAGAGGTGCGCCCAGGCCGTCGCGTCGACCTTGGGCTTCAGGATCTCCGGCAGGCCGCCGCCCGACGCCCGCGTGTTGTAGGCCGCCGGCGCGAAGAAGCAGTGGGCGTTCGCCCGGGCGCAGACGGGCTCCGCGACGGCCAGGACGGCGTCGACGTCGCGCGCGAACGCGTCGCGGATCTCGAGGTACGACGACCCCAATCGCGGCGCGTAGCACCAGCCCTGCTGGTGGCAGGGGTACCAGATCATGCACTGCGTGTAGAAGACGAAGTTCGCACCGGCCCAGGCCGTCGCGCCGGCGACGCCCTCGAGCGCCATGGACGTCTGGTCGTAGAACTGCGCGACGACGAGCGTGATCCGCGTGCCGCCGGCGACGTACGCCGGCGCCGCGAGCGCCGCGGCGACGGACGTGCGGTGCCGCGAATCCCAGGCGTCGGGCGACAGCGACCCGCCGTAGTTGCAGTTCACGGGGCCGAAGGAGCAGAGGCTCCCCTTGAACACGTACTCGACGTCGCCGCCCGCGCCGAAGACGACGTCGATGACCTCGGACTCGAAGGTGTCGCCCATGCTCACGAGGTCCGGCGACACCTGGTCCGCGAGCCACTTGAAGAACGTCAGCGCGTTCGAGCCGCCGTTGACGAGGAACCACGTCCCCTCGAGGCAGTCGACGACGGCGGGCCGCTCGACGACGGCGAAGTAGCAGCCGCTGGCCGGCCGGAACGTGTCGCCCACGTAGGATCCCGCGCCTACCAAGCATCACGATGACGATTTCTCTTCGTTTTCCCGGTCGAAATCTCTCGAAAATCGTCACCGCCACAGGACGCTGCCCCGCGCCCTCGGGTTCCGTGCACCGCGGGCTGTCGCACTCGTCGAACCACGACGACGTCTCGAGGTCGTCCTCGGACACGCAGCCGGGCACGCCGGAGACCGTCTCGTCCGGCGCGTCGTAGTCGTAGATGCGGCCGAGGGACGGCGCGCAGCCGACGTCGTCGTAGGCGAGGCACGCGCCCCGCTTCAGGCGCCAGCCGCCGCAGCCCGCCGTCGCGACGCAGAACGCGCGGCAGTCCGCCGCGGCCATGTCGTCGTCGGCCGTCGTCGCCAGCGCCGCGCCGCCCCACCAGCCCCGCGCGGTGCCCAGGTCCAGCGTCGCCGCCGGCGCGGCCACGGCCAGGAGCGCCGCGGCGCCGCAGGCCGGCGTCGTCGCGTCGGCGCCGTAGCCCAGGCCCCGCACCCAGCACTCGTCGTCGACGTCCGCGTCCCCGGGCGTCCTCGCTTCGAGGCCGTCGAGGAGCGCGAGGCGGCCGTCGGCGCAGGCCGCCGCGCCCGCGGACGCCCAGCCCCGCGTCGCCGCGGGCCGCGACCCGCGCGCCGCCTTGAGCTCGCAGCACTCGTCGAAGGAGAAGAGGCCGCGCTCCCAGACGTCGCAGCCGTCCGTCGCGTCGCACAGAGCGGCGCAGCTCGCGTCGTCGTCGTAGGCGGCGTCGCCGGCGGCGACGGCGACGGCGCTCCACGCGGCGCCGGCCTCGTAGCAGCCGCCGGCGCCGGCGACGCCGACGAGGTCCGCCCACGCGCCCGTCGTCTCCGTCGCGTCGCCGTACGTCCAGCGGTCGAGCGCGCAGTCGTCCGCCGCCGCCGCCCAGGGGAGGAGCACCCAGACCGCGCGCGCGCCGGCGAGCCAGGCCAGGGCGAGCGCGAGGGACGCCTTGGCCGCGCGGTCGACGGCGGCGACGTCGACGCGCGGGAGCTCGGCGAAGACCGCGGGCGAGCTGTAGGGCTCGCCCATGCCCAGGACGGCCGCCTCGATCTCCAGGCCGTGGTCGTAGCACGACTCCGCACCGTCGTCCAACTTGGACAATTCCGAGTCGCAGCGGCCGTCCTCGCAGCCGTCGCCGAAGGGCACCGCGCAGCCCTCCCTCCGGAGCTGCGAGTCGCCGGACTCGACGCGCGCGTGGTCCTCCGGCAGGAGCGGGCAGGCGTCGCCGCCGTCCGCGGCGACGCGGAGCACGTAGTAGGACGGGTCCGCCGGGAGGAACTTGCGCCAGTTCTCCGCCGTGCAGTGGTCGTGGTCGGCGCACTGGCAGTAGACGTAGACCTCCTCGGCCTCGTCGACGGCGCAGTCCGTGCCGCAGCGGCCCTCGAGGAAGTCGGCGCAGGTCTCGCAGGCGCAGGTGCAGCTCGGCGAGTAGGCGCAGGCCTCGTCCGTCGTCACGTCGACGCCCTCGATCCACGCGTACGAGTAGCTGAAGACGTCGTCGTCGAACTCGCAGACCGCGGCGAGGCCGTACTCGCAGGGCTCGACCTCGAAGTAGCCGTCGCGATCCCAGAGACCGCACTCCCCGGCGGTCCAGTCGTCGTCCGCCTCCCAGACGTCGTCGCCGATCGCGTCCCCGGCGACGTCGACGAGGCCGCCGCTTTCGCCCTGCCGGAAGCCGACCCACGCGCCCCAGATGTCGCCGTCGTCGTCGTCCCACTCGTCGTCGTCGTCGTCGCCGCCGTCGCAGCCGCCGCAGAACGGGTTCCCGAGGGCCGCCGAGTCGCCGGACCAGCAGTCCTCGTACCAGAGCACGTCGTCGTCGCACCAGAGGCGCACGTCGCCGCCGCAGTCCTCGTCGACGATCCACGCGACCTCGTCGACGTCCATGGCCCGCGCGGCGCCCCCGCAGTCCTCGCAGCCGTCGCCGGCGCAGTCGTAGGCGATGTGGACCCAGCCGTCCTCGCAGTACCACGCCGTCGACTCGCAGTCCTCGTCGAGGCGCCGCCGCCACGAGCCGAGCGCGCCCTCGAGGAACGCCTCGACGGCGCCGACGGCGTCGTCGCCGTCCACGCCCGCGAGGCGGCCGCCGGCCTTGTCGCAGACCGCCGCGGCCTCGTACCAGGTGACGCGGTCGCCGACGAGCGCGTACGTCAAATCGGCGTCCTCGAGGCGCCGGTCCTCGCCCTCGTCGCCGTCCTCGTCGTCGTAGGCCGCGGCCCAGTCGTCGAATTCGAGGGCGTTCATGTTCTCGATGTAGCCGAAGGCCGAGTTCCACTCCGTGTCGCCCTCCGCGGCCTTGGCGCGCACGTCGTCCATGCCGTACCACGTGTCGAGCTCGAGCCCGCGCCAGAGCATGTACTTGCCGTCGACGAAGCGGTCGTCGCCCCGCTCCACGAAGCCGTGCTCCGCCTCGCGGACCCGGAGCGCGTAGGACGTCGCGCCGTTGGCGTCGACGTAGGTCGCGGCGACCTCGACGTCCCGAAGGAGCACGGTCCACGTGCTGCTGCCCGAGAACGTGTCCGACGCGTCGGAGCACGTCTCGAAGCGGCCCGCGTCGTCGCGCCGGCCGCCGTACCACTGGGAGCACCAGCTCAGGTAGCCGTTGTAGCAGAAGTACGTCGCGTACTCCACGAAGACGGACGAGCCGTCCGCGACGACGCGCGTCCGGAGGGGCATGTAGTAGCCGTCGTAGGGGCAGTGCTCCCAGGCGCCGCAGGGCGGCGCCGCGTCCTCGAGCCGCCGGCCGTCGGTCGCCACGAAGTGGTCCGGCAGGGCCGGGAGGAGGCCGGGCACGGCGGCGAGGGAACGCTTGCGCGCGATGCGCTCGTCGAGGGCTGCCCGGTCCGCCGCCGCGAGGCTGGCGACGAAGCGCGCCGCGCGGGCGCCCAGCGTCTCCTCGGGCGTTGCCGGTGCCGCGGCCGCAGCTGCGACCGCGACCAGGGCGACCCATCCGGGCAGCCTTGGAGGTTCTCCCATGAGCATTATTAATATTGTGGCTTAGTTCCACGCTTCACACGCATCGCAGTTAATGTTCATGTTGCATGCTCAATCACCTCAGCTTGTCGTGGATATTCAGATATAAAGCTGGAAAAAAGCTGCCATTCATTCATTGATCGCGCGGCATTGCACATCGCAGCATGGCAGCGTTCCGAGCGGCGATCGCGCTGCTCCTCGGGCGCGCCGCGGCGCTCTCCTTCGTCGGCATCGAGGATTACGATGGCTCGACGGGCGACGGCGGCGACTTCGGCGGCAGCGCCTCCGACGGCTCGAGCATCGTCCTCTATGGGCAGGAGTACTACGACGACGACCCCTACCTCACGATCCTCGACGGCAGCCTGGCCTACAAGATCAACCAGTTCCCCGCCGAGGGCGACGGCGACTCCTACGAGGAGACGCCCACCTTCGTGCAGATGGACGACGGCGAGGTGACGTACTACTGCGAGGACGCGACGCAAAACACGGCCGCCTACACGGTCGAGGAGTGGTACGAGGACGACGCCTACGTGCTGGACGTCGCGTGGTCCGACGTCGACCAGATCCAGCGCTACTTCAGCCAGGACTTCCTGGTCCTCGAGGCGTCGAACGACCTCGTCAAGTTCTACGGCGAGTACGCGGAGTGGACGGTGACGGCGGACGACCTGGGCTTCGACGACGTCGACAGCTTCCTGTTCGTGCACCGGGACGACCACGTCGACGACGACGCCGTCCACGCCTTCTACGTCGTCGGCAACGTCGCGGACTCGAGCTCGCGCGGCGTGGCGAAGATCGCCGAGTACGACGGCGGGGTCCTGTGGACGGCGGCCGTCGAGACGGACTCGGGCACGCCCCGCATGTTCTGGACGGGGTCCGAGCTCCTGCTGTGCTCGAACTCGTTCTACGCGCGCATCGACCCGGGCGACGGGTCGACGATCCTGCTCGACGAGACCGGGGGCCTCTGGCTGCCGGGCTCCGGGCCGGTGATCGTCGCCTACGCCGCCGCCGAGGACGCCATCTACTCCGCGGGCTACGTGGACGGCGCGGCGCTGATCCGCACGAGCGACCGCGCGTCGGGCGCGTCCATCGCCGAGCTCGACTTCACGGCCGAGCTCGACGCGCGGGACCCCGGCACGTCGCGGTCCGACTACCCGGACGAGTGCGACTACGACGACGAGACGCTCGACTGCGGCGGGTCGACCTGCGACGGCTACGCGGGCGTCGACGGCTGCGACAGCATCGACGACGAGGACGACGAGGGCGTGTGCTGCCAGAGCGCGGGGACGTGCTGCTACATGAACTTCTACGACTGGGCGGAGAATCGGTGGTACGTCAAGGGCACGCCCGAGATCACGGACGTCCACGTCATGGACTCGGGCAAGGTCGTCGTCGTCGGCGCCTACACGGGCAGCCAGTACGACGAGGACGGCTACCACGAGCCCTTCACGGCCGAGTTCTCCGCGGCGAGCTCGAGCGACGACGACTCGAGCGCCTGCGCGGACTCGACGTCCTGGTACCGGAAGAAGTCGAAGAACACGTGCGAAAAATACGTCGCGAAGAAGGCGGCGAAGAACTGCCTGAAAACGGACGACGACGGCGTCTACGCGTTCGAGGCCTGCCCGGAGACGTGCGGGTCCTGCGGCGAGGCGTGCGCGGACGACGCGACGTGGTACAAGAAGAAGGCGTCGCAGAACTGCCGCTGGGTCGTCGAGGGCGACGGCCTCGAGCGCTGCGAGGAGAAGAGCGCCGCGGACGGCGCCTACGCCTACGAGGCGTGCCGCTTCGCATGCCGGTCCTGCGACGCGACCGTGTGCGGCGCCTGACGTTGTGCAGCGCGCGGCTCCCCCCTTCGCGGCGCGCTCGGGAGCCAGCTTATGTTACATGGGGGAGTCCTCAGGCGGTGCCGAAGGCGCCGCCCTGGAGGGAGCGGAGGACGGTCTGGATGTCCGCGGGCGTGATGGGCGCGGCCGGGTCGGCCCGGGCGTCGAGGTGGGCCCGGAGCCCCGCGGTCATGTGGGCCTTGGCCTGCGCGATCTTGTCGGCGACGGCGCACTGCGCGTCGCGCGGGAGCGCGTTCATCCGGTCCGCGACGTTGCCGAGCGCGCCCCGCAGCGCCGCGTCGACGGCGGCGCCGAGGTCCGCGACGGGGACGACGGCCGGCCCGCCCGCGAGCGCCGCGTCTTCCTCGGGCGAGAGCGCGGCCTCCTCGGCGGCGATCTCCGCGCCGAGGTCGCGCGGCGCGTCGTCGGACCCCTCGGGCCGCCACTGGAGCACGCAGTCGCCGTCGACGTCGAGGAGCGCGCGGCGCGACAGGAAGGCGACCGTCGCGGCCGTCGGCTCGGGCTCGCTGAGCTCGGGCCGCGCGACGTAGAGGACGCGGAACGCGTCGACGGTCGCGGACGGGACCTCGTCGTCGCCGGCGATGACGTGGCCGCCGGGCGTGCGCCCCTCGACGCGCGCGCGCCACCAGACGTCGCGCGCCTCCTCCGTCTCGTTGTCCGTGACCTCCCAGAGCACCTCGATCCACGCGCCCGCCGCCGGCGGGCACGCCGCGTCCGCCGGCGGCGCCGCGGGCGCCGACCGCCGCGTCGCGCGGTAGGCCTCGATCATGCCGTCCATGTCCGACGCGCCGTTGAGGTAGTAGGGCTGCTCGTCGCTCCCGTCGGCTTTCGTCGTCGCGGCGATCCACACCGCGTCGTCGTCGTCGTAGTCGAGGCGCGCGATGGTCCGCGGGCCGTCGGCCGACTCGGCGTCGAGGAAGGTCTGGCCCACGTAGCGCGTCTCGAGGCGCTTCCGCCGCACGTCGCGCGCCACGTCCGCCGCCGGCGCCGCGGCGGCGGCGTCTTCGGGCGCGGCCTTGGCGCTCTTCGAAGCGGGCGCCTCCGCCGGCGGCGCCTCGGCCTCGCGCTTGTTGGTCGCGGGCGTCGCGTCCTCGGCGGCCGGCGGAAGCGTCGGGGGTGCGGTTGCCGACTCCATTTTTGCGTTCGGGCCTCGCGCGCGACGGAGAGCTGAACGGTTGATGGTCGAAACCAAAAATCGAGGCTGAAGATGGGGGCAAAAGTTTACCGCACCTCGGCAACATCTGTTGGCAGCCCTGCTCGTTCGCGCGCTGCAAACGCGATCTGCGTTCTCGCCGGCTTCGATTTTGGCAATGGCGGCCGTCGCCCCCATGGCCATGGAGCGCGACGCGCGCGTCCCGTGCTGCGAGCCGCTGGGCTGCGTCACCGACTGCGTCTATCCCTGGTGCATGTTCACCTGCGACACGTGCTGCTGGGCGACGCTGCGCCTCGGCCCGTGCCTCGACAAGGCGCCGTCGCAGCCCATCCCGGGGTATTGTCTGTGGCCGTCGCACAAAGTCCTCAAAAAGGACCCGAAGCGCGCGGCGTGGCTTCGTACCAAGTTCGACCTCTGCCAGCGCCTCGACCGCTACACGATCCGGCACCCGCGGTGCCGCTGCTGCGGCGTCGGCTTCGGCAGCGAGCTCCACGCGTCGACGTACCTCGGCGGGTCCTTCTACGGCCACTACGACGACATGTTCGGCGCGAACTTTTGCTGCGGCCAGAAGGTCGTCGTCGCGGAGCCGAGACTGGTCGAAACGTCGCTCCTCGAGCCGAGCGGCCGCGGCTTCCACCTCCACATGTACAACCTGCGCGGGGAGGTCATGCCGAAGATCGGCGGCGAGACGTCGTTCCTGCTGGCGCTGCCGAACGGCGACGACGCGACGGCCGCGCACGCGAAGCTCCGGGCGCTCGTCTTCAAGTACTGCGCGGGGCCGGCCGCGATCGCGCGCGCGCGGCCGCGGGACCCCGTCGCGGCCGCGCTGCTCTGGAAGCTGCGGACGTCGTGCGCCGAGGACCCGGCCAACGCGGCGAACGTGCATTTTCCGACGTTCGTCGTGCGCTTCGTCCACTGGTGCGTCTTGGGCATGAGGGACATCGACGACGGCGCGTTCGCGCTGCTCTTCGAGGCGAACATCACGCCCGTGGACGCGGGCGAGTTCCCGCCCCACGGCGTGCGCTACCTGCACCGGGAGATGAACATGCTCGGCGAGGGGCCCGTGAAGCACTTCCCGAAGCTCCACGCGAAGATCGCGGCGCTCTACGCGGCGGCGCTGCGGGAGCTCCGCTTCGAAGGCAAGTTCTGCGCCGCCGAGGACTTCGCCGCGTCCCTCGTGCCCATCATGGCGCTCGCGGGCTGCTTCGGGCCGCTCGACGCGCTCCTGCAGCTCTTCCCCGAGCACAACAAGTGGAGCAACCTCGCGGACCCGCTGGCCGCGGCGGCCTTCGCGTGGCCCTGGGACGACCGGGCGAAGCTGCGGCTGTGCGCGATGGAGGCCCAGCGCCTGTCGCCGGGCGTCTTCGGCACGACGCTGTGTGGAAATCAACCAGTGAGCTGGGACATCGGGGCCAAACTTCAGAAATCCCTAGCTCGGTCAAATCGAAGTCGATTCGGCTGATTTTTGGACGAATCGATTGCTCTCGGCGAGTTCTCGAAGCACAATAGAAGAATCTGATCATTACCGTTTGAATACGCGCACATTGAAGTCGGTTTGAAGATTTGATTTCCACACAGGCACGACGCAGGTCTGCCGGCGGCCGTTCTCGACGCGCATCGGGTCCGATGACGTCGCGTTCCCCGCGGGGACGAAGATGATGCTCAACTACCGCAACTACGGCAAGAACTCCGCCGTCTTCGGCGACGAGACGGACAAGTGGAAGCCCTACGACCGCCCCGCGAACGGCGGCAAAGCGCCCGAAGACGGAGCCGCGCGACCGGCCTTCGACGCCGCGGCGCGGTGCCCCTTCTTCAACGGCGTCGGCGACCGCACGGGCGGCGTCGACGCCGCCAGGGCCGCGGGGCTCGACGACCGCGCGTGCGGGCGCATCTGCCCCGGCCGCGACCTCGCGCTCGAGCTCGTCGTCTCCGTGCTCCAGGTCATGCGCGCGCCGTCCGACGACGACGCCCGCCGGCTGCTCGGCGTGGGGCCCGCCTTCGACGGCGCTCCGTAAAAATGGTTTCAAATTTTTTACGTAGCCCATGTACATTCCAGAGTTCGTAAGGTTAGTACGGCTTCGACAGGTCCAGCCCCGCGACGGCCGCGGCGACGACGGCCAGGAGCCGGTCGACGGGGACCGGGTTCGCCATGGGCCCGCCGGTGTAGGCGCGGCCCTGCCACGTCGCGAGGTTGTGGAAGTGGCGCAGGCCCGACGAGCCGTCGATGCCGAGCTCGACGAGGTGGCCGCGGTCGGGCATGAAGATGTTGTGGAGCAGCCCCGCGCCGTGCGGCCCGACCATGACGTCCGTGTCGAGGTCGACCTTGATCTGGTCCTCGAAGCTCAGCAGGTTGTAGTCGACGTCCCGGAAGCGCACGCGCGCGCCGTTCGCGAAGGACCGGGTCTCGAGGGATTTCAGCGCGCGGACGACCTCCGCGTCGTTCTTGATCGTGCGCCCGAGGCCGCGGACGCCCAGGTGCTGGAGCTTCGCGCAGTCGAAGAAGGACGTCTCGGAATCGCAGAAGCGCTTCTCGGGCCACTCGCTCGAGGACCGGCGCGCGAGGAAGGTCACGACGACGTCCTTTGGGTCCCCGTCGGGCGCCGCGTAGCGCGCGGCGCCCTGGAGGCCGAGGCCGCGGATCACGAAGTCGCTGTAGGCGCGGACGACGCTCGACGCCTTGCACCTCGTGTTCGACGTGTGGAGCGTCGTCGGCGCCGCGGCGCCCAGGATCCCGATGGCGACCTTTTTGAAGCAGACGTTCTTGGCGCCGTACTTTTGGCCGATCTGCCAGGCGGTCAGCGGCGGCCGCGTGCCCCTGAAGACCCTGGACCACATGTCCCAGAAGGGCCCCTCGGGGTAGATGTCCGTGAGGAGGATCTGCAGGTCGGCCGTGGACCAGCGCAGCACCGCGAGCGCGATGAAGGCGTTCACGAAGTCCTCGCTGTCGTGGAACAAGTTCGCGAAGGTGTCGCGCTCGACGACGAGCGTCGGCGCGTCCTCCCAGACGTCGCACTCCAGGTCGTCGACGCGCGCGAAGGCGTCGGCCCAGTGCGCGTTCCAGCCCGGAAAATGCTTCGCCTGCCAGAGCTCGGGATCCGCGTCGCAGTCCGCGGCGAGCGCGCCCTCGCGGTACGACACGTGCGCCTCCCACTCCGCGTGCCTCGCGGCGACGTAGCGCTCGAACTGCCTCGTCGCCGTCGCGCCGTCGGCAAAGTCCGCGAAGTTGAGGCGCACGTTCGTCGCCTCGCACAGGTTGTCGCCGTGGCCCGCGTGGCCCGTCTGCATCAGGAGGAAGCAGTCGATGCGCGAGGGCGGCCGCGAGGGATCGGACCCGTCGGACCGCGGCGCGCAGTACGTCTTCCGCGCGTCCCGCCAGCGGTCGATCAAACCGTTGCCGAAGTCGGCCTCGCAGCTGCCGCCGCCGCGCGTCCGCGCGTAGGGCGCGAGCATGGCCGCGACGCTCTCGGAGCGGAACGCCGCGTCGTCGTAAAAGAGGATGCCGTGGTCGACGACGCCCGCGGGGGGCTCGCGGTTCGGCTCCGGGCGCTCCACGAGCGGGACGGCGCGGTTCGGAGGGACGTCGCGGTCGACGCCCTCCTGCTCGAGGAACTCCTCGAAGCTCGGCGGACGATCCGCCGCGGCGCCGCCCGGGCGTTTCGGAGCCCGCGGCGGCCGCGCGGCCCGGTCCGCCGGCCGCGCCGCGCCGTCGTCGTCGTCGTCGCGCGCGGCCTTTCGCGCGGCGGCGGCGTCGTCGTCGTCCGCGCGAGCCGCGTCGTCGTCGCCCGCGTCGTCGTCGTCGTCGTCGTCGAAGTCGTCGACCGCGTGCTCCTCGGGCATCTCCCGGGCGGCGCCGTCGTCGTCGTCGTCGTCGCGCTTCAGGCCGAGCGCGCCCTGGACCTTGCCGGCGATGATTCGGTGGCCCCGAACGATGGCTTCCTCCTCGCGCACGATGTATTGCTTCACGACGCGCTCCGTGTGGGCGACGCCGAGTTGGCGACTATGATGGTCCAGCGTGATGAGGACGACGGCCATCCAGACCATCAGAAACGCGCCAAGGCATAACCAACAGAGGAGGCGCCCGGCGCGCCGGGGGGTCACGGTGCGGCGGCGAGCCATGTCACGCGAGGAGCGGTGCTCGCCGATCTCTGTGTCATTTATGAGCTCCTCGAGGTTTGAACGCCTCTTTGAGGTCTCAGGTCTACTACTAGTAGTAGATCTACTGCTCTCTGCGCTGAAGCTCCTACGTCTCCACTTTGCCGGCTGCGCATCGAACTGCCGGGCCGCCGCTGGACCTAATTTTTTGTCCGGTAATCGCTATCTTTCGTCCACTGGCAGGCCTGGCGCGCGGCGACCTTGAGCAGGTCGCTCTGGCAATTTAAATCGCGGGCCCCGCCCCGAAGTCGACGCGCAGCCGCTCGTGCCAGTGCGTGTGGTCCGGGGACCGGTGCCGGCAGCCGGGCAACGCCGGGCCCGCGAAGGGCGGCGCGCCGTCGCACGCGTCGCACGTCGGCGCGCCGCCCCCCGCGCCGTCGAAGGGCAGTCGGCGCACGAATCGCGCGTGGAGGTCGTAGGCGCTCCGCGGCGCGTAGGACGGCGCCTCGTGGCCGCTGTTGCGGACGACGACGAAGCAGAGCCGGGCCGCGGCGTCGACGCACGTCGCGTACCCGCGGGGTCCGCGTCGTCCGCGGCGACGCGCCAGATGCGCTTCGTCGCGTTCGCGAGCGCGGCGCCGGCGACGGCGTCGACGGCGCCGGCGACGACGGGCGCGCCGAGGAGCGGGTCGAGGTTGCCCGCGTAGATGAGCACGTCGACGCCGGCGTCCCACAGCGCCGCGTAGCGCGGCGCGAAGTCGGCGCAAAAGTCGCCCGACGCGACCATGGCCGCGTAGACCCGGCCGCCCTCGGCCATGGCCGCCGCGCGGTTCGGGCTCCCGAAGACGTGCAGCTCGCGCTCGTGCCGCGCGAGCCAGCCGCGGAAGCGCGAGACGGGCGGCGCCCCGAGCAGCGCGTGCTCCGTGTTCGTCGAGCCCGTCCACTTTTTGTACAAGAAGTCGCAATTCGGCGCGCAGGACGAGCCGCCGTCGTCGTTCCAGACGCGGTTCCACGCGTTGAAGGCCGCGACGCAGTCGCCGCGGTCCTCCCACGCGGCGACGGACGCGGCCATGATCGTTTCTAGCTGGTCGCGCTCGCGGCCGTCGACGAGCCCAAAGGCCGCGAGCGCGGCGCCGTAAGCGGCGCCTCGGACGCGTGGCGGATCGCCGGGTCGCCGACGGCGACGCCCTTCAAATTGAGATCAATCTCGCTCTCGATGACCGCGGCGGCCATGGCGGGGACGTAGTGCCCCGCGTAGGAGAGACCCTCGACGTAGTAGTCCGCCCCCGCGAGCTCCGGGAACACGAGGAGCACCTGGCGGAGCACGGCGAGCACCTGGCGCGCGGCGTCCGCCGACGTCCTCGTGTACTCGACGTCCTCGAACGCCACGGCCGTCCCGTTCTCGTACTGCTGGAAGGAGTAGCCCGTCTCCACGGGCTGGTCCACGAAGAGGCAGTGGCTCTCGAAGCACCAGGAGAAGCAGCGCTCGCGGAGCTCGAGCGACTCGTCGACCCAGTACTGGCCGATCTGGTTCAGCGCGCCCGTCGTGTCCGGGCTGCCCGGCCCGCCGTTGAACCACTGGACCAGCCGGCAGCCGTCGCGCGCGCACGGCTGGAACCACGTGAAGAGCTGGTTCACGCGCGCGCCGGAGGCCGACGGCGCCGCGAAGAAGCCGCTGTGGCCGAGCCGCAGGCCGCCGACGACGACCGCGGACCGACGGCGCGCCGCGGCGTAGTCGCCGGCGGCGACGAGGTCGCTCAGGAAGAGCGGGACGCTTCGCTCGGCCTCGACGGCCGCCGCCTCCCTTCGCGCGGCGCTCCGCTCGTTGCTCAGCAGCACGTAGCTGATGCAGCTCAGCGCGACGCACGTGCTGCTCAGCCACCAGACGACGGGCCGCATCGCGCTGCGCTGTCCTTTGCGTCCAACGATCGCTTAGCTCTCGCACGAGTTTCAACGAGTTCTCAGTGCGATCGCACGAGTTTCAACGATGTGGCTGCGATCGCGCTGCGCATCGCCTCGGAGAGGAGAGCACTGCCGCTTCCGCCGCAGAGCACTGCCGGCTTCACGTTCGGCGAGCTGTGGTGAAATTTCGGCTTGCGTGCGACTCGGGCCGCAGGCTGTGCGAGGCTCGGGCAACGTAGAGCCGCTCCGCGGGGCCGTTCGCCGCGGTCCATCTCGAGCTCCGTCCAGTGGAGCATCTCTTGCAGCATGGCGGCCTTCGAGGACTTCCCGGACCGGCCCATGCCGCTCGTCGAGGTGAGCGACGACAAGTCGCAGCTGTCGATCAACCCCGAGGCCGCGGCGCTCCTGGCCCGCGTCGACTGCGTGCTCTGCCCCATCGCCATCGTCGGCCTCTACCGCACGGGCAAGTCGAGCCTGCTGAATTTCCTCAACGGCAAGCAGCGGGGCTTCAAGGTCGGCCCGAGCGTGAGCCGGTGCACGCGCGGCGTCTGGATCTACGGCAAGCCCAAGACGGTGACGCTCGGCGACGGCTCGACGTGCGCCGTCGTGCTCCTGGACACGGAGGGCGTCGGGGGCCTCGAGGCCGACGCCCAGTACGACACGCGTATCTTCGCGCTCGCGACGCTGATGTGCGCGGGGCTGGTCTACAACTCGCTCGGCTCCATCGACGAGAACGCCATCGGCCAGCTGAGCTTCGTGGCGCAGTTGTCGAAGCACGTGCGCTTCAAGAAGCCCGCGGCGCTCGAGGACGAGGACGACGCGTCCGAGGACGCGGCGCGCCTCGCGGCGTTCATGCCCAGCTTCACGTGGGTCCTCCGCGACTTCGCGCTCGAGCTCGTCGACGAGCGCGGCGACGCGATCACGTCGGACGAATACCTGGAGCAGGCCCTGAAGCCCCAGCGCGGCTACGAGGCGTCCGTGCTCGAGCGGAACCGCGTGCGCCACATGCTCACGGCCTTCTTCGGCGCGCGGCGCTGCGCGACGCTCGTGCGCCCCGTCTCCGACGAGAAGAAGCTCCAGCAGATCGACGAGCTCGACGCGTCGGAGCTGCGGCCCGAGTTCGCCCGGGGCATGGAGGACCTGCGGGACTCGCTCTTCGCACCGGAGAACGTCAAGCCCAAGGCCATCGACGGGTCGCCGCTCCGCGGCGCGACCTACGTCGCGTTGCTGGAGCAGTACGTCGACGCCGTCAACTCGGGCGGCGTGCCCGTGATCAGCTCCGCCTGGGACCACGTGAGCGCCGGCGAGTGCGCGTCCGCGTTAACCGACGCGTTCGCGGCCTTCGAGGCGGCGGCGTCGGCGCGCGCCCTCCCCTGCGAGCAGCCCCTGCTGGACCGGGACGTCGAGGCGGCGCTCGGCGCGGCGTTCACCGCCTTCGACGCGCGCGCCGTCGGCGACGCCAAGGCGGCCAAGCGCGACGAGCTCCGCGAGAAGACGTCCGACTTCCGCCGGGACCGCGACGCGGCGAACGACCGCGCGTCCCACGCGGCCTGCGACGAGCTGCTGAACGCGCTCTACATGGACGTCGTCTGGGCCGACCTCGCGAAGATCGCCGCGACCGTCGCGCGCGGCGAATCCGAGGTCGGCGCGTCGGACGTCGACCTGACGGCGAACCTGGAGCAGACCTGGACGGAGCTGCGGCGCCGCTACAACGCGGCGGCCGTCGGCCCGGCCAAGGCGCGGTCGGCCTTGGACTTCGTCGCGGCCAAGTGGCCCGCGTCCGCGCACGAGCTCGTGCGGCGCCTCGAGCAGCGGCACGAGTCCGCGGTCCGCGAGGAGCACGACCGCCTCGTCGGCGTCAAGGCCCAGCTCGCGGAGCTCGAGGGCACCATGGCCGCGCGGGGGCGCATGCTCGAGGACTGCCAGGCCACGCTCATCAGCACGCAGTTCGAGAAGGCGCGCCACGAGGCGCGCGTCGACGCCGCGGAGAAGCGCCTCAAGGACCAGGACGACAGGCGGAAGAAGGACCGCGCGGCCTACGACGCGAACATCAAGGGCCTCGAGCTCAAGCTCCAGCGGGCCCAGAACGACCTCGACGCGGCCAACGAGAGGCGCAAGCTCGACGCGCGCGCGGGCGACGACCCGTCCCGGCCCCAGCCCGTGAACCAGCCCTGCAACTGCGCCATCGCGTGAGGCCCCGCGCGCCTTTTACTATACTCCGTCGTCGTCGTCCGAGTCGGCGTCCGCGCGGCCGCGCGGCGCCCACGGGTCGACGCGGCGGCACTTGCCCGGCGACGCGGCGTCGCACCGGCCGCGCTTGCGCGACGGCGACGCGCCGCCCTCGGGCGCCGGCGTCGGCGAAGGCGGCTCGCTCCCCGGCGGCGTCGGCGGCGCGCTCGCGCCGGCGGCGCCTCCGGCGTCCTCGACCTCGGGCAGCGCCGACGCCATGCGCGAGCAGGAGACGCGGCGGCCGAAGATCATCGTGGCCATACTTTTCAGCGCGTTTCGCTTCGGCGGCGGCGCGAAACCTCCTTCGGGCGGCCACCAGCTCCAACTCTTCGGGGCAGCACCAGCTCCACACAGCCGCCTCGGCGGCCGAAAAGAACTGGAAGTTGGTATATTTAAGAGATGCTGAAACAGGGCACGATGGCTAAGTTGTGTGTTTGAAAGCGCTAGGTCGTGTGTTTGAAAGCGCTGCTCAATGGCCTTCAGCGGGCCCAGCCCCACCCAGATTCAGAGGCAGCGCGCTGGCCAGCAGGTCATCACCGCCGACAGCTTTCGTAATCCCAAAAAGGAGCTCCTGCAGCTCTACGGCGCGCTGCAAAAAGCAATCAAAGCCGAGGACAACGACAAGGCGCGCGACCTATTAGTCGCCTGCGCCGCCGTGCCGCGCGTGAGCAGGCGGGTCCTCGCCGACATCCAGGCGTCGTCGTCGCGGAGCCTCGGCGTCGCGAAGTTCGTCGCGCGGCTCGGGCGCAAACATCCCGACGAAGCCGTCGCGGCGGCCGCGCGGGACCTCGCGCGGCGCTGGAGAGACGCCTGCGAGCCCCGCGCCGCGCCGGCGCCGCCGCCGGCGCGGTCCGCCGCCGCGCGGTCGCCGCCGCCGCCGGCCGCCGCGCCGCGCGTCGTCGACTGCCGACCGGACGCGCGGAACCTCGTCACCGGCGAGAAGCTCCGCGCCTTCTTCTCGACGGCGCGGCCGCGGCGCCGCCGCTCCGACGCGTCGGCGGAGGAGACCGAGTGGGGCGGGTCCTAGAGAGTAAGCGCGGCGCGCGACGCGCACAGGGAGATCGGGGGGTCACAAGATACGAGGCCGGAGGTCGGCCGGGCGCCGCCGCGCGGGCGGCCCCGTGCGTCGTGGCGCCAACAGACGCGCGCCTAGCAGCAGCCCGCGTTGGGGTTCTTGGCCCCCGGCTCGCCCAGCTTCGTCGTCTTGCCGAGCTTCGTCCGCTCCGCGCGTTTCGCCGAAAAGACGTCGTCGTGGCTGAGGATGTTGCCCACGAGGCTCCGCGCCTGCGCGACGCGTCGCGTTTCCCGGCGAAGGCCCGGCGGGACGCGGGCGCCGCGCCGCCGTGTCGATGTTGACGTCGGCCTTGGCCGACGTCTCGAACCATCCTATGAAGCCGTGGCTCCGGCAAAAATCGTCGAGCTCCTGGCGGTCGATGGCGACGTCCTCGAGGTCGCACTTGTTCGCGAGCAGCACGACGGGCAGCGCCATGCCGTTGGGGAGGTGGACCTTGGAGTCGATCTCGTCCTTCCACTTGACCTGCGAATCGAGGTCGTCGCGACGATCCGTTTGCTCGAGCCGTTTTCGGACGATCCGTTCGCTCGAGGCGGAGAAAAGCGGTCGCGCGCGCTCGTCGACTGTCGCGCCGCGCGCGACGATGGTCTTGAACGTCTCCGGTCGGCTGATGTCGTAGACGAGGAACGCGCCGAACGCGTCCTTGTAGTAGACCTGCGACCGCAGCGTTCCGCGAGCGGCGGCTGCGCGCGCGACGCCGCGGTGCCGCACGCGCGCGATGGCGCCGAAGCGGTCCTGGCCCGCGATGTCCCAGAGCTGCAGCCGCACCGTCGTGTCCCTGCGGTCGCGCGCCGTCGCGACGCGCGGAGGCACCCTCGCGGCGCCGGCGCGGCGCCCGACGGTGAGCTGCTTGAGGGCGAAGTCGACGCCCACGGTCGTCCGGTGGTGGTTGCTGAAGAAGTTGTGCACGTAGCGCTTGATGATGGACGTCTTGCCCGTCGCCGGGTCGCCGAGCACGAGCACCTTGAGCACCTGCGTTTTTGGGGCAGCCGCCTCGGGCAGCCCCCCGCGCGGTCATCGGCCGCGGCGCAGCCACGCGCCTCGTGGTTCGACGTCATGGCGGCGCCGCTCGCGTCGTCTCGCCGCGCCGGCGGCTCCCAGCCTCTGAAGATGACGGAAGTCGAAGACGGTGTTGAAGGGCTGGGACAAAGGTGCTGCCGCATCGATGCATCGACGTCGACGACGCGTCAAAAGCTCGCGCCACTCGCTTGTGCCGGCAGCCAAGCGAGCCAGCCGCAGAGCCGGACCAGCCGGACGCAGAGCAGCGCGCGACGTCCGCGCCGCCTCCGTCGCCGACCATGAGCCCGATCATCCTCGCGCCCGTCGCCGCGGCCTGGTTCGCCGTGCTCAAGGATCTCGACGGCGACGCGCAGCTCAAGGTCGCCGCCCTCGCGGCCGTGACGCTGCTCCTCGTCGTGCTGAAGCCCGGCCCGAAGAAGGCATCGGGCGCGCCGACGGACGCGCTCGTCGCCGTCGACAAGGCCAGGGTGCCGCGGCGGCCGTACCCCGCGTACGACGTGTCGACCGCGGAGGCGAAGAAGGCGTCGTTCTCCCAGATCATGCCCATGCTCGTCGACGAGGCCTGCGACGAGGTCGCCGCCATGTACGAGGTGCGGCCCGACGAGGTCGCCTGGATCCGGCGCATGCTCACCTACAACTGCATCGGCGGCAAGATGAATCGGGGCTTGATGGTCGTCGAGACGGGCGTCGTGCTCTTCGAGGCCCAGGGCAAGCCCGTGACGAACGACGACCTGTGCCGCTTCGCCGTGCTCGGCTGGATCATCGAGATGCTCCAGGCCTGGCTATTGGTGGCGGACGACATGATGGACTCGTCGCTGACGCGGCGCGGCCAGCCGTGCTGGTACAAGGTCGACGGCGTGGGCCCCATGGCGCTCAACGACGCCTTCCTCATCGAGATGGTCATGTTCAAGGTGCTCAAGCGCCACTTCGGCGACGCGCCGGAGTACGCGAAGCTGTTGGACCTGCTCATGGAGACGACGCTCCAGACGGAGCTCGGGCCAGCTCTTGGACCTCCAGTGCGACCGCTGCGACCTCGACAAGTTCACGCTGGACCGCTGGACCATGATCGTCAAGTACAAGACGGCCTTCTACTCCTTCTACCTCCCCGTGGCCATGGGCATGACCATGGCGGGCATCGACGACCGGGCCGAATACGACGCCGCGCGCGAGATCCTGGTCATCATGGGCGTCTACTTCCAGGCCCAGGACGACTACCTCGACGCCTTCGGGACGCCGGAGCAGATCGGCAAGATCGGCACGGACATCCAGGACAAGAAGTGCGGCTGGCTCTTCGTCAACGCGTACCACGGCATGGTCGACGCCGCGGGCAAGAAGCTCCTCGACGGCCACTACGGCAAGTGCAAGGTCGGCTCGAAAGAGGAGAAGAAGATCAAGCAGCTCTACAAGGACATCGACCTCGAGCAGCTCTACAAGGACTACGAGCAGAAGTCCTACGACGACATCATGAAGCTCGAGGGCACGTGCAAGCAGGTCCCCTGGGCCGTCTTCGAGATCTTCCTCAAGAAGATCTTCAAGCGCTCCAAGTGAGGCGGCGCGGCGAAAGCGGGGGGGGGGGCGGCGCAGCCCCGGTCCTGGCTAGGCGGTTAATGCTCGGGGCGCGCGTCTCGGTCGTGGCGGCAGGCCGGCAGGCTCTTGTAGGACTTGAAATCATCAGGCCTTTGCGATGCTCACAGAACCCTCTACTATCTGGTGGCTAATGCGCTCCAGTGCCGATGTCATGCGCTCAGCTGTCGAGACAAGGGGCTTGCGATGGACCCAGGTTCCGTCACTCAGCTGATAGGACCAGTCTGGCACGGAACGCACGGGCTCCCGAGGCATCAGCAGAGAATCCGCAAACATTACCTCATCATCTCCGATCCACTGCACTTTGACCTCTTCTGATACCTTGAAATCGTCCAACGTCAGACGGTCCCAGTCAATGTCTTCGTCAATATCTTCGAAAGAATACACAATGCCCACATCCTTGCTTGCTGTCAATCTCAATGTCCATGTCCGCGACGGATGATCGTACGCGACGACCGTTCCGAGGTGAGCAACTGCAATGGGCCGGTCGACTTTGTAGCGTCGAGTGGAATAGTATCGCACCGCCGCGCCCACGGGAGGAACGACCAATTTCTCAATCAACGACGGAACGACGTAGTATTCGGCCTCTTTGACGAGACGCACGAGCGCTTCGCGAGAGAGCCCTTCCGCCACGACGCGCTGCAGTCCTCCGCGAAGGTGAGAGAGCACGTGGTGGAATAGGTCACCGTCACGGTCTACAAAGAGGATGTTTTCCTCACCATCGAAGTTCAGGCGCGCCTCGAAGTAGGCGGAGCCGCCAGACAAAGTCGAACGAGTGGTCTTGTGCAGTACGCCGCCGACGTCGACGACGACGGGCCCAGTGCGTGGATTCTGGTCTTCGGAATCACGAGCACGTTTCATACTTGTTCCCGGGGCCAGAGCGAGTCTATGCGACCTCACCGTGTCCCATACGCCGCGCGTTTACCTCTGAGGCGTCCGAGCGGAAGGTTCGCCAGTCCGGAGGCCTCGCCCGGGCAGGACCTGTCCCCGGACACGACCTCTCCGCACGCATCTAGAAGCCCCAAGAGACGTGGGGCGACTTGGGCGGCCTCCCCGGCGGCGGCGGCCCCGGCGGCGGCGGCCCCGGCGGCGGCGGCGGGACGCTCCTCCGCGGCGCCGCGTCGAGGGACGGCGGCAGGAACGGCGCGGGCTCCTCGAGCGCGAGGAGCCGCGGCCAGAGCACGTCCCCGAAGGCGAAGTGGTGGCGGATGTCGCGCGCGCCGTTGCTCAGCGCCCCGAGGCGCAGCGCCGCGTCCGGCTCGAGGAGCCGGCGGCAGCAGTTGCGCCACGTCCGGTGCGGCCGGAGCGCCGCGAGCCGCGGCGCCGCGCGCGCGCGGAGCACGCGCGCGTAGACGACGAGGGGCGCCGGCGCGGCGAAGGGCGTCGCCCCCGCGAGGAGGTCGTGGGCCAGGACGCCCAGGCCCCAGGAGTCGACGGCCGCGTCGTGGCCGACGCCGCGCGCCTGTGCCGAATGCAACCGCTGGTTTGGGACGTCCTGACCAAACTTCGGAATTCTCTAGCTCGGCCACATCGAAGTCGATTCGGCTGACTTTTGGACGAATCGATTGCCCTCATCGAGTTCTCGAAGCCAAGCCAAAGGAATTGCGTCGAAACCGTCGCATACGCGCACATTGAAGTCGGATTGAAGATTTGCATTCGGCGCGGCCGCGCGCCATCTCCGGCGCGACGAACTCGGGCGTGCCGCAGAGCGTGTGGGACAGGGACTCGATGGGCTTGGCGTCGCCAAAGTCCGCGAGCACGGGCCGGCCGTCCAACGCGACGGCGACGCGCTCCGGCGCGAGGTCGCGGAACGCGACCCGCGGCGACGCGCGCTTCAGGTGCTCGAGCGCCGCGGCGACGCCCGCCTGCGCCGCATGCAAATCTTCAACTCGACTTCAATGTGCGCTGAATTCGACCGGTTCGACCAAACTCTTTGTCCGTGCTTCGAGAACTCGACGCGAGCCATCGATTCGTCCAAAAATCACCCGAATCGACTTCGATTCGGCCGAGCGAGAGAATTCCGAAGTTTGGTCGGGACCACCCAAACCAGTGGTTGCATTCGGCACGGACGCCCGCGAGGTAGTAGGTCGCCGCGGTCGCGTCGGCGCCGCCGCAGCGGCCCCGGGGCAGGTGCTCGCGGGCGACGGCGAAGAGGTCGAGGCCCGAGAGCGCCGGCGCGGCGACGAGCGCCGCGCGCGAGAGGGAGAGCTCGCCGACGAGCGACGCCACGAAGGGGTGGTCGCCCCGGAGCGCGGCGAGGGCGACGGCGGCCTTGGCGTCGCCCGGGACGCCGTCGGCGGCGAAGTTCCCGGGCGGCACGAGGAAGAGCTCGCCCGCGAGGCCTTTGACGGCGACGCGCGCGCCGGGCGCGCACCGCGAGGCATTCGACGCGTCGCCCGGCAGCACCGCCACGTCCTCGGGCCCGTAGACGCGGATGTCGCGCTGGACCGACGTGTGGTCCAGGTCGAGGGACGGCACGACGGCGAAGGCGTTCTCGCGCGTGCAGTGGTAGATCTCCGCGGACTCGGACTTCACGGACGCCGTCGCCTCGTAGGACGACGGCGTCGCGTCCAACGCCTGGGCGCCGAAGACGTGGCCCGGCCCTAGAACCTCGCGCGCGCCGCTCCGCGCCTTGAGCTTGACGGCGCCGCTGCGGACGACGCAGACGCGGTCCGCGCGCTCGCCCTCGCGGAAGAGCACGGTGCCCTTGCCTGTGTGGAAATCAAATCTTCAACCCGACTTCAATGTGAGCGTATGCGACCGTTTCGACGCGAGGCTTTCTGTTGTGCTTCGAGAACTCGACGAGAGCAATCGATTCGTCCAAAAATCAGCCGAATCGACTTCGATTTGACCGAGATAGAGAGCTGAAGTTTGGTGGGGACCCCCCAAACCAGTGGGCGATTTCCACACAGGCCCCTGCGCTTCACGCGCGTCTTGAAGACCTCCGAGACGGCCGCGAGGCCGTCGTCGCTCAGGTCCTTGAGCGCGGGCACGGTCCGCAGCGCGCGCACCATGGTCCGCGCGGTGAGCTTCGCCTGGGCAGGAAAAGCGTGCGAAATGCCCAACTTTGGAGGCTCCTCTCTCGGTCGTTTTCCACTCGTTTCGGCTAATTTTTGGACGAGCGATCATCTCTCGGAGCGCCCTCGACGCGTGGATGCTTTTCCCGGAACGATCGCGCGCGGAACGCTCGTGTTGAAGCGATCTTGAATCGCCCTTGTCCTGCCCCGAGCTTCGCGGAGAGCGACCCGAGCACGCGCTCGAAGTCCTCGGCCGCGAGCGCGACGCACGTCGCGTCGCCGGTCGCCGTGACGTGGGCCGCGCGCGGCGCCTTCTCGAGGAGGGCCAGCTCCCCGAAGTAGTCGCCGGGCCCGAGCGCCGCGATGTGCTTCATCGCGCCCTCGGAGTTCTCGTGCTCGCAGACGACGTGGCCGTCGACGAGGATGAAGAACGTGCGGTCGTCGGAGTCGCCCTGCTGGATGATGCGCTCGCCGTCGCGGAAGGACCGCGGCTTCAGGTTGCGCGCGACGAAGGCGAGCTCCCGCGCCGTCAGCGGCGCGAGGAGCGAGACGCGGTTCAGGCTCTCGACGAACGACGCGAGACGCAGCGACGAGCTCGCGGCGAGGCTCCGGCGCAGCGTCGACGCCTCGACGGCCCAGAGCGTCGCGTCCGTCACGGCTACAAACCGCCCCGCGTCCGACGCGCAGCCGAAGAGCGCGCCCTCGCCGAAGGTGCCGCCCTCGCCGATGTAGGCGCCCGCGGCGCGCGCGTCCAGCAAGCCGTGGCCCACGACGAAGAAGCAGCGCGCGGCGCCGGGGCAGACTTCGGCGACGGTCTGGCCCTGGTCCACGTCCACGCTGCACATGAGGTCGATCATGCCCCGGAGCGCCGCCTCGCTCACCTCCGCGGACCGCCGCGAGAACAGAAAGTGGCGCTCGAGCGCGGCTCTTAGCGTCGCGGCGTCGGCCTCGCCCTTGGGCTCGACGGTCGTCGTCGCCGCGGGCGCGCCGTCGGCGTCGTCGAGGGCGAAACGCGGCCGCCGGCCGCCGGGGTCGCGGGTCGACGGCGCGGCCGCGGCCGCGAGCGCCTCGAAGGCCGCGAACGCGCCGCCGTCGTCGTCGTCGTCGCTCTCGTGGAGGCACTGCTCCAGGGACCCGTAGCCGCCGGAGATGTGGAAGGCCTCGACGAGCTCCACGGCCGCCGCCGTCTCGCCGTGGGCGTCGCGCAGCGCCGACCCGATAGCCGCGACGTCGTCGGGCAGCGCGCTCAGGTCCACGACGGCCGCCGCCGCCGGCGAAACGCCGCCGTAGCGCCGCAGGCCCAGCGTCAGCGCCTCGAGCTGCTCGTCCAGGTCGTCCTCGAAGACGTCGACGCTCTTGTCCGGCTCGGATGGGTGCTCGTGATGGCTGCCCATGCTCGGCTGGCATCATGGGTGCAATCAATTTGAATTGAATTTGAAGTCTGGGCAGCCGCGCGCTCTCCAGACAGCCACGCCGTATGAAAGTCGCCGAGGGCTCGCTCGCGAGCGGCGAGGCCGCGGCGCCGGCGGCCGCCGCGCGCAGGTCGACGTCGCGGCTCACCTTCGCGCTGGCCGCGTTCGCGGGCGCCGCGGCGTCCCTGGCGACGGAGCGCGGCGCCTGGGCCTGGCTGCGCGCGCGCGACGCCGCCGCCGCCGGCGCGAGCGTCCGCGTCGGCCCGTCGCGGGCGGCGTCGGCGCTCGGCGAGCTCTCCGCCGCCGAGGTGCGGCGCGTCGCGACCTGGGCGACGACGGCGAAGGGCTTCCTCGCGGTCCGCGGCGGCGACGACTTCGAGAGCCCGTGGCTCTCCGGCCCGAGCGCCGTCGAGCTCTTCGCGCCGCCGAAGCAGGAGGCGCTGGCGTACCTCGACGGCCGCACGGACGTCGCGCCGCCGCGCTACGCGCGCATCACGGCCGCCGTGCCCCGGGAGTCCGCCGCGATCGAGTACAAGATCGGCCCGCTCCAATCGGCCGAGGCCGACTGGACGATGGAGGAGCTCGAGCGCGTGCCCTTCACGAAGCGGCCGACGGAGCCCGGCGCGGACCTGCGGCTCGCGGGCCCCCTGCTCGAGGCCGCACTGGCGGCGCTCGGCGCCGAGCTCCTCGAGGCGACCTTCGGGCCGGTGTTTCCCGCGTTCGACACGCACGACCCGCGCGAGGGCGCGGCCGCGCCCATGATGCAGAACGACCCGCTGTCGCCCAAGGGGACGCGGCGCGATCTGTACGGCTATTCCTGGACGCCGCCGAAGCAGAAGACGCGGCGCAACGTCGAGGCGACCTGGGTCCACCCGATGCCGCTCAAGCTCCGCGTCGATTCCACGGAGCCCGACGCCGCGGACTGGACCATCGTCGAGCTCGGCTTCTGCGGCCGGTGGTTCGACAGTAGCGCGGCGCTCAAGGCCGCGTACCCCGCGGGCGACGCGTCCTGCGGCTTCTCGCGCGCCACGGGCGACTTCCTCTGGGAGGCGCCGTCGCGCGAGAGCCCGCGGCAGGCGCGCCGCGCCGTCTCCCAGGATCACGGCGTCTCCTGGGGGAATTGGTCCTTCGCCGTCTTCTCGCGGAGCTCCCAGGGCCCCGCGCTCTCCGACGTGCGCTTCGCCGGCGAGCGCGTGCTCTACGAGCTGAGCCTCCAGGACGCGCTCGCGGCCTACTCGGGCGACCGCAAGGACGCGTTCTTCTACTCGGACGCGGCCTGGTCCCTGTCCATGCTCAGCGCGTCGCTCGAGCCGGGCGTCGACTGCCCCGAGAGCGCCACGTTCGTCGAGGCGACGAACTGGTACGCCTTCGAGGGCAGGGGCGGCACGGCCGTCGCGGACGCGACGAAGGCGTTCTCCTTCTACCCGACGTGCGTCTTCGAGTGGACCGAGGACCACACGATCTGGCGCCACATGGAGAACTCGGAGAAGCCGACCGTGCGGGGCCTCGCGCGGAAGACGCTCGTCGTGCGCTCCATCGCCACGGTCGGGAACTACGGCGAGGACCGGAGCAGGAAAAGGGTGATCCAACGTCGCTTCAGCGTGAGGCGTCCGCGCGCGATTGTTCCAGAGAACGGATCCACGCGTCGAGAGCGCTCCGAGAGATCATCGCTCGTCCAAGAATGAGCCGAAACGAGTGGAACATGACCGAGATAGGAGCCTCTGAAGTTGGAAATTTTGCACTCTTTTCCTGCCCAGACTATATTACGGACGTCAAGCTCCGCGAGGACGGCGAGATCGAGGTCGGCGTGCGCTTCGCGGGCTATCTCGAGACGCGGCACCTCGGCGCGAATAACCGCGACGCCGAAGCGGCTTATTCCACGGCGCTCCACGGCGATCTGGGCGGCCTCGTCCACAGCCACGTCGCGTGCTTCAAGGTCGACGTCGACGTGGGAGGCGCGACGGCGAACGCGCTCCGCGTGACGACGGTGGGCACGGACGCCACGGGCTTCAACAAGGCTTTGGCGACGCGCGACGTCGAGACGGAGCGCACCTTCACGTCGGACCCTAAAGCACCGACGAACTGGCGCGTCGTCGACCGCGCGTCGACGTCCGAATCGGGTCTGGCGCGCGGCTACGCGATCGCGCTGGGCTCCTGGGCGTCGACGGAGGTGCTGCCCGCGGACCACCCCTTCGTCGTCGCCATGCCCTACGCCAAGTGGCACCTCGCGGTCACGAAGTTCAAGGACGGCGAGCGGCGGCCGACGAACCCCTACGTGCAGTACGACGGCTTCGACGACGATTTCGGGAGCCAGAACCTGGCGAACTACCTCGACGGCGAGGCGATCCTCGACGAGGACCTCGTGGCCTGGGTCTCCGCGGGCAAGGAGCACGTCACGCGCCAGGAGGACCTGCCCCTCGTGTCCAACTTCGGCGTCGCCTTCTCCCTCGTGCCCTGGAACTTCTTCGCCACGAACCCCGCGGCGGCCTGAGCCGCGGCGCGCCGCCCCCGCGCCCTCGTATTCTTTCTACGCTTAGTGGTACATAATCCGGCAGCCGTTCGTGGCGACGTGGCGGATGCGGGCCTTCATGGAGGCGATGGCCTCGGGCAGCCCCGCGAAGGTGTCGAAGAGCGCGTCCTGCTGGATGCGGTCGAAGACGCAGGCCGTCCGCGTCGTCACGGTGACCATGGACGTCGGGTAGAGGCCGAGGACGGCGTACTCGCCGAAGGACGACCCCTCGTTGATGATGAAGCGCTTCTTCTCCGGCGTGCCCGTGGCCCCGGAGATCTCCCAGCACTCGAGGTCGCAGTAGCCGTCGTTGAGGAAGTAGAGCGACGACGTGGGCATGCCGCTCGCGATGACGGACGCGCCCGCGCGCGTCGCGTCGCGCTGCAGGATGATGACGATCTTCCAGACGGCGCCCTGGGGCAGCTTCGCGAAGAGCGGGTGGGAGTAGACCGCGCCGCTCAGCAGCGTCGACGAGAGCTCCTGCTGGAGGCCCGGGCTCAGGTTCGCCAGGATCTCGCGCTCGTCGATGGCCGACTTGGACTCGTAGTACGTCCGCAGCGCCGTGCGGATGCGGCGCCGCATCTTGATGTCCAGATTGTGGTGCGTGATCCAGTTCGACACGGACTCCATCTTCTCGAAGTACTTGGCGTTCTTCGCGTCCTTCTGGAGCACCAACGACGAGATGACGCCGATGATGTAGGAGTAGAACCTGGGCAGGAAAAGGGTGCGAAATTCCCAACTTCAAAGGCTCCTATCTCGGTCGTTTTCCGCTCGTTTCGGCTGATTTTTGGACGAGCGATCATCTCTCGGAACGGCTTCGAAGCATGGATGCTTTTTTTCGGAACGCGCGCGCGCGGAACACTCACGTTGAAGCGACGTTGAATCACCCTTGTCCTGCCCCGAGTAGAACGCGACGCCGAAGACCATCGCGAGAACGTTGTACGCGCGCTCGCCGTCGGACGCGGGCGTCACGTCGCCGTAGCCCACGCTCGACATGGTCGTGATGGACCAGTAGAAGGCCATGAGGTAGCGCTTCTTCCAGGACTTCTCCATGAAGCAGTCGTCGCCCGCGGCGCCGTCGTCGTCCGCGCACTCGTACGTCTTGAACCACCCGTCGCCGGAGAGCCCCATGCCGCAGGCGAGGAGGTGGGCGATGAGCACGGCCGTGACCAGGATGGAGAAGGCGTTGCCGACGAACTGGGACGCCGACGAGATGAAGAAGTTCTCGACGGCCTCGGCCGCCGCGGAGTCGCCCTGGAGCACGGACGACACGCGGACGACCTTGAAGACGCGGAAGACGCGGCCGATCTTCAGCACCTTGAGCGCCCGCAGCGCGTTGACCGAGTTCGACGACCCCTTGGTCGCGACGGACATGATGGCCTCGATGACCGGCGGCATCGACGACACGAAGTCGAGGAGGAACCAGCTCCGGAGGTAGCGGTTCGCACACTTGCGCAGGTCGAGCACCTCCGGCGCGTCGTCGGTCATGGACGCGTAGTAGCCCGTGCGGAAGTTCACCGTGATGTCGTAGATGAACGCCGCGTCGAGGAAGCGGTCGATGCCCCAGAGCGCGGAGCCGCGCGTCTGCCTCGGGAGGAACGACGCCTCCAGGGGGATCATCAGCAGGATGTAGAGCAGGAACACGGCGTTGAGCAGCGTCCAGGCGATGGAGAAGGCCGAGTTCGACGAGATCATGTAGACGGCGCGCGTCCCCTTGGACGGCGCCGCGTCCGGGTCGACCTGGGACCACGGCAGGCCGCCGCCCTCGAGCGCGATGGCGACCCAGCCCTTCTCCGCGCGCCGCTCCTCGTAGCGCTCCCGCAGGTAGGCCCGGGACCAGATCCCAAAGGCCCAGGAGCACTTGCCGTTCGTCGACCGGAGCATGGCCTCCTGCACGAGGTCGCGGACGCGGTCCCGCTTGATGCCGAGCGCGACGGCCGTATTATCGGGCAACTCCTTGACGGACCGCCGCAGCCGCGACATGGTGCGCTTCAGGAAGGCGATGGACTTGCGCGGCGTCGCCTTGGGCCGCGCGCGGCCGTCGGGGCCCGGCGTCTCCAGCAGCACGCCCGCGGCCGCCGCGCCCGCGGCGTACTCGCCGTCGCCGGAGGGGCTCAGCGCGCCCGGCGACCAGGCCGGCGCGCCGCCCGGAACGCTGCTCGCCGGCGCCGCGTCGACCCACTTCTCGCTGAAGTCGCCGTGGTTGAAGGCCGCGAGCCGCTCGCCGACGGCCCGGCTGATGTTCTCGAGCGGCGCCGCCGCCGCCGCGAGCGTCGACGGCCGGCTGTGGCTCAGGAGCCGCCCGAGCAGGCCCACCTGCGCCTGGAGCGACCGCTCCAGCGCCGCGATGGCGTCGAGGACCACGTCCTCGGGCACGGCCGCCGCGACCGCCGGCGACGCCGCCTCCTCCTCGGCGAGCACGAGGGGGCCCACGCGCGCCGACCGCAGGCTCGGCGACGCCGGGGCGCCGCCGTCCGGCGCGGGCGCGTACGCCGGGGCGCCGCCGTCCGGCGCGGGCGCGTTCGTCCCGCAGAGCTGGATGTCGCCCAGGTAGGGCACGAAGGCGGCCATGGCGAATCGCGGCCGGTCAGAGCATCATCGTCTGGGAAATAAACCGGGATCTCACCGAGGCAGCCCGCGGATCCATGCTTCTCATCAGGGTGATCTTGTCGGCACGAGCACTACAAACGGCTCGTTGATATTCAGCTTGAGGATGCGCTCTGAACAAAGCTTGTCTCGACAAACTCGACGAACTGGCCGAAGAAGTGTAGCTGGCTCCAGCGTCCCGCCACCCGAGGACGCCATGGATATCAACGACACGATCTACGCGCACGCCGAGTGCGCGGACGAGGCGTCGAAGCCCCGGCAGAGCGGCCTGGCGGACGGAGAGAAGGCCGCCGGATCCTGCCTCGACGCGGACGCCGCGCGCGCCGAGGAGGAGGGACCGCGCCTCGGGGAGCGCGCGCGACGCCGGCGTTCGGAAACCCCGGGGAGAAACATCCCCGGACCACGCGCCGTTTCCTAGGTCTTCGCGCGGCTGGGCCAGGTCCGGGACGCGGCCGTCGCCGCGCTCGACTTCATCGACCGGAACTGCGACGAGTTCCTCGAGCAGCAGCAGGAGGAGCCCGGTGGCGAGGGCGCCCTGGGCCCCGTGCTCCGGAGGCTGTCCGTCGACGACGACTCCGCGCCCGCCGTCGACGGCGGCGGCGGTTCCGGCGACGGCGCGGCCGTCGAGGAGCTGCGGCACCAGCTCGAGCAGTACCGCACCAAGGCGGAGATCGAGACGCGCCTCCTCGCGGAGCAGCACGCGAAGACGGCGGCGGAGCTCGCGCGCAAGACCGCCGACTACGACGAGCTGCGGCACCGCCTCGGCGCCGTCGAGGCCGAGCGGCAGCGGAAGCTCGCGGCGAGCGCGGCGCCCCCGCCGCCGCCGCGCGCCGACGACGAGGACGCGCAGGACGACGGCTTCGTGCTCGTCCGCGACAGCGCGAACCCCACGGGCGCGAGCCCCCCCGTGCCGCCGCCCGAGTACTGCGTCGTCTCCGTCGTCTCGAGCGACTGACGCGCGCGCGGCGCTGTGTCAGAGTGGTCCTAACGCGACGCGCGACCGGGGCAGGGGGCGGGGGCGGGAGAGGCGGGCCGGCGCGCGCGCCTACATGTACTCCATGCCGCCCATGCCGGCGGCGCCGTCCATGGCGGCGAGCTTGTCCATCTCGGACATCTCCACGGGGATCTCGTGGATGAGGGCCTCCGTCGTGAGCACGAGGCCCGCGATGGACGCGCTGTTCTCCAGCGCGGACAGCGTCACCTGCGCGGAGTCGACGACGCCGGCCTCGAAGAGGTCGCAGTACTCGCCCGTCGCCGCGTTGTAGCCGAAGCCGAAGGGCTTGCCCTCGACCTTGCTGAGCACGACCTGGCCCTCCAGCCCCGCGTTCTTGGCGATCTGGCACACGGGCGCGGCCAGCGAGTTGAAGACGATATCCGCGCCGCGGCGCTCGTCCTCGTCGTCCATGGCGCCCGCGATGGCGTCGCGCTTGCGGAGGAGGTAGGACAGGGTCGAGCCGCCGCCGGGGAGGATGCCCATCTTGAGCGCCGACTTGACGGCGTTGAGCGCGTCCTCGTAGCGGAGCTTCTTGTCCTTGAGCTCCGTCTCCGTCGCGGCGCCGACCTTGATGCGCGCGATGCCGCCGCCGAGCGCCGCGACGCGCTCCTCGGCCTTCTCCTTGTCGAACATGGAGTCCGTGTTCTCGGCCTCGAGCTTGATCTGCGCGATGCGCTTCTCCATGGCGTCCGCCTGCTTGCCGTCGGTGATGATCGTCGTCTCCTCCTTGCCGACGACGATGCGCTCGCAGGTGCCGAGCATCTCGGGCGTGACCGTGTCGAGGGCGACGCCGACCTCCTGGGCGACGTAGGTCGCGCCCGTGGCGATGGCGATGTCCTGGAGCAGGTCCTTGCGCCGCGTGCCGAAGCCCGGCGCCTTGATGGCGACGACGTCGAGGACGCCGCGCATCTTGTTGACGACGAGGGCGCTCAAAGCCTCGCCGACGACGTCCTCGGCGATGATGACGAGGCGCTCCTTCGTCTTCACGCAGGCCTCGAGGAGCGGGATGAGGTCGTTGACGTTCTCGATCTTCTGGTCCGTGACGAGGATTTTGGGGTCGAGCATCTCGCAGAGCTGGCGCTCCTGGTCGTTGACGAAGTAGGGGCTCACGTAGCCCCGGTCGATCGTGAGGCCCTCCGTGAACTCGACCTCGTCCGTGAGGGTCTGCGACTCCTCCATCGTCGTGGACCCCGTGTCGCCGACCTTCTCGAAGGCCTTGGCGATGATGGCGCCCATGACGGCGTTGCCCGACGTGGCGACGGTGGCGATGTTGAGGAGCTCGTCGTTGGAGTCGACGGGCTTGGCGAGCGCCGTGACCTCGACGATCAAAGCGTCCGTCGCCTTGGACATGCCGCGGCGGAGCGCGACGGGGTTCACGCCGCTCGACACGGCCTTCATGCCCTGGTTCACGAGCTCCTGCGTGAGGAGCGTCGACGTCGTCGTGCCGTCGCCGGCCTTGGAGTCGGACTTGGACGCGACCTCCTGGATTAATTTCGCGCCGATATTCATCGCGGGGTCGTCGAGCTCGATGTCGCGCGCGATGGTCACGCCGTCGTTGACGATCTCGGGCGCGCCGTAGGCCCGCTCGAGGACGACGTTGCGGCCCTTGGGGCCCAGCGTCACCTTGACGGCGTCGGCGACGGCGTTGATGCCCGCCACGAGCTGCGCGCGGCTCGCGTCGCCGAACAGGACCTTCTTCGCCTCCAGCTTCGTCGTCGCCTTCGGCGCGGGGGCCGACGGCGCGAAGGCCGCGGCCGTGCCGCACATCAGCGCGAGGATGAGCTTCGACATGGCGGCTCCGAAGGCGGCGTCGCTCCTCTGCAGCACCTCGTCGACTGGTTCAAGGTGGTTGGTTCAACAGGTCGGCGCGCGCGCCGCGCCCGCCCGCGACGGCGGTGTGGCCCGGAATCCGGCGCAGACCCCGGAATCGCACGCGGCTCGGGGCTCGTGCGCGGGGCCGGGCTCGATTGGTGAGCTACGGTCGCGCGCGTGGCTCGAGCGCGCGCTTGAAGTCTGAGTTCAAATCGCGTGCTGTGGTTTCCTGACACTGATTCCTGCCGCAGAGCCTTGGACGACGCGCTCGCGGCACAAATCTATGGCTCCGCACCCTAGGACGGCATCCTAGGTCGGCATAGGGCAGCGGCGCCCACTCAGACCCCCGGCGCCGCTTCGGAGAGCGTCGTCGACGAGCGCGGGAGAGCTGAGCTCCTCAAAGTCGACGTTTCGCGCGTCCAGACCCGGGGCCGCCGCCCGGAGATCCCGACGAGCGCCTAACACCTCGGCGCCACGCCCGCGTCGACGCCCGCGACCAAAAAGCGTCGATAGCGTCGCGTCGTGCGCGGGAGAGCTGAGCTCAAAAGGTAGTCGACGTTCCCGCCGCCCGAGAGCCATGGCGCGCTCAAAGCAAACACCCCGCGTTCGCACGACCACGGGCCCGGGCACGCCGCCCCCGACGACGCCGCGCCGGAAGCACCGGAAGCGCCCGGGACAGAAGGCGCTCCAGGAGATCCGCGTCTACCAGCGGAGCACGGAGCTGCTCATCCGCAAGCTGCCGTTCGCGCGGCTCGTGCGCGAGATCTGCAACGATGAAACCGGCAACGCCGAGTTCCGGTGGCGCGTCCCGCGGCGTCCATCCATCGACCGCGCGCGCGCGCGCGCGGCGCGGCGCGACGTCGATCGCGCGCGCCCCCGCAGGCAAGCGTCGGCGATCTCCGCGCTCCAGGAGGCGACCGAGGCCCACGTTGTCCAGCTCTTCGAGGACGCCAACCTCTGCGCGATCCACGGGAAGCGCGTGACCATCATGGTCAAGGACATCCAGCTCGCGCGACGAATCCGCGGCCGCGGCCGCGAGTAGGCGCGCCGAGGCGCGGGCGGCGCGCCAGAAGGGTGGCGCCGCCCCACTGTGGACCCCGGTAAGGTCGTGTGGACGATAGCCCGGCGCGGGGGTAGCGCCTCTCCGGGGCGCATAAGTTCAACTTTACGGAACTTGAACTTTTCAATTTGCAGAAGCGCGGGCTCGAGAACTTGCTCGAGAAGCTTGTGCCGGGCAGCCTCCTCGACAACAGGGAGCATGGGCGCGCTGCCGCTGCACCGCTCCGAGGCGGAGTCCCGGCGCCGCTGGAAGTTCGGCCTCTTCGCCGCCTGCCTCGTCTGGGGCGGCTGGCGCCGGCACCGCCGCGCGCTGCCCGACGCCACCGCGGGCCGCGTCGCGGCGCAGGGCGACTCGAGCAAGCTCGACCTCGTGTTCACGCTCGACGTCACGGGGAGCATGGGCGCCTACATCGACGGCGCGAAGGAGAACATCGAAGCGATCACGGAGCGGCTCGTGAGCCGCGACGGCCAGCGCTTCGACCTGCGATTCGGTCTGGTCGCCTACCGCGACCACCCGCCGGAGGACACGACCTTCGTGACCAGGAGCTTCGGCGCGCCGCCGGCGCCCCGCGACGACCTTCGGGACATGGGGCCGCGGAACCGACGGACGATCGTCGCGCGTCGTAGGCTTCACGCGCGAGGTCGGCGAGATGCGCCGGCGCCTCGCGGGTCTCGCGGCGTCCGGCGGCGGCGACACGCCCGAGGCCGTGGGCACGGCCCTCGCCAGCGTCCTGCGGCTGTGCTAATTTTGAGATATTTTGACCGGAAAAACGATGAATAATCGTCACCGACGCGCTTCGTAGGCCCTCGCGGAGACGCTCGCCTGCGACTGGCGGCCGGAGGCCACGAAGGTCGTCATCCTCATCGCCGACGCGCCGCCCCACGGCCTCGCCGGCGGCGGCGACGCGTTCCCGGACGGCGACCCCGGCGGCGCGGACCCCTTCGAGCAGCTCGCGCTGCTCGCGCAGAAGGGCGCCACGGTCCATTCCGTCGTCCCCGGCCGCGACCGCGCGGCGGCGGCCTTCTTCTCCGCGGCGGCGAAGCGGACGAACGGCCGCGCCGTCGCCATGCGCTCCGCGGCGAACCTCGCGGACGTCGTCATCGGCGCGTCCCTCGAGGAGATGGACCTCGACGCGCTGCTGCCGCGAATTCAAGAAATCACGGAGGAGCTCCGGGCGTCCGACGCGACGGTCTCCGACGCGGACGTGCGCAAGTCCGTCTTCGAGCGGCTCTCGAAGACGACGAAGTCGCGGCCGGGGTCCCGCGGCCGAGACGATTTTCGGGAGACTTTGACCGGGAACACGACACCGCATTTTGTAGGTCGCGGCGGTCCATCGTCCACTCGGCCCTCGCGGACGACGACGTCGTGACCGGGGCGGCGACGCTGTCGGAGGCGAAGGCGCTCTACGCCGCCGCCGCGCCGCCGCCGCCGCCGGCGCCGCTCGGGCGCGCGCGGTCGTCCGCGGGGCTCTTTCGGTCCGGCTCCGCCGACCTGCGGCTCTTCCGCTCCGCGCCGGAGGTCGCGGAGGACGCGGCGCCGGAAGTCGAGCTCACCGACGACTACGTGACCGAGGACGCCATCGCCCGCGCGTGGAACAAGGGCAAGGCTCTGGGGAAGTACGCGTAAGTTCAACGAAGCCGGTGTTTCCTAAGGGCACGTTCGGCGTCGCGGACGCGCTCGCCGCGAACGAATCCGCGATCACGATCATCGGCGGCGGCGACTCCGTCGCGGCCGTGGAGAAGGCGGGCCTCGCGGCGAAGATGTCCCACATCTCCACCGAGCTTGGCGTACTTGAGCGCGGCTTGCGGGTATCTTAGCGAGATCACGCTTTGTGGTCGAGCACGATTGCTTGGAAAAGCGGCAACCCGACACCCACCGACGTACGCGCGCGCAGCATAGAACGCCGCTCCTCCACTCCCACAAAGCGTCTCGCGCTCGTCGGACAAGCTACACCAATCGACGAACAATGATGGCGCGCACCTGCTTCCTCGTCGGCGTCCTTCACGCGGCGTCGGCGGCGACCGTCGGTCCCCATCTCTTCAAGGACGCCGAGGGGCCCAAGGTTCTGCGAGGCCTGTTCCCCTCCGAGGCGGCGCCTGAGAAGATCATCGAACCATTCGTCGGCGAGTCCTACCCGTTGGTCCGTGTGCACCGCGACGGCGACAAGAAATCTGGCGACGACGCCACGGCCGAGGCTCTGGTGTCGGAGCTCAAGGACAAGCTTCCGGGGGACGCGTTCGGGACTCTCGCTCGCGCGGCGGCTCCGGTGTCGGTCGTGCTCCAGTTCGAGCACTTGGCGCGCGACGCCTGGCCCGAGGAGATCGTCGACCTCGCGGGCCCGTTCGGGCCGACGAACCCGCGGGCCGACAGCGAGGGCGGCCTCCTCGTGCACGCGTACGCCTCGTCGCCCGGTGCGGCTGCGCTGGCGGAGCACGCCGACACGGGCGACGTCCTCGTGGTCCAGCTCGCGGGCTCCAAGACGTTCGCCTTCGACGGCGAAGCCGTGACGCTCGCGCCCGGCGACGGCCTGGTCCTGCCGTCGGGGACGCGCCACGCGGCGCGGGCCGCGGACGACGAGGCGTCGCTGCACGTGACGCTCCACAACTTCGTGCCCCACGAGCACCTCGTCACCCGGTCGCGGCGGCGCCTCCTCGAGTACGCGGACGACGACGACGAGTACGCGGACGACGACGCGACGAGTTGCTGGGACTACGAAGGCTCGGACAAGGAGTGCAGCTGCCACTGCAACGAGTGTACCACTTGTTCCGACGCGGACACCGTATGCGCATCGTCGGTCCCCGAGGGCTACAACAGGGAGAAATACAGCGTCTGCTGCCTCAGCTTCGGCTACCGTATCGAACACGATGAGGACGGGAACTGCGACGGCTACGACGAGCTCGACGCCTGCGCGGGACTCGCCAAGAAGACCTGCAAGAAGACCGCGGGCTGCGCCTACAAGCAGAAGACGTGCAGCGCCTCCGTCGGCGACGCGTGCTCGGAACTCGCGAAGAAGACCTGCAAGAAGACGGACGGCTGCTCCTACAAGAAGAGGGCGTGCACTTCGTGCGCGTCGTACGCGAGCAAGAAGGACTGTAAGAAGCACAAGAAGAGCTGCAAGTGGAAGAAGAACAAGTGCCTCGGCAAGAAGTAGCCACCCCGAGAAGAACTTGAAGCTATCGCGGGCGCGCGAGGTCCCAACGACGACGCGCGCCGCCCGGCGCCCGACGACGCGTCCGCGCGCGCGCGCTCCCTCGAGCGGACGCACTTAAATCAAGTCTACTCGAAGGGGAGCTTGGCGTACTTGGCCTTGAGCGCGGGGATCTTGTCGCGGAGGTCCGTCATGTTCTTCTGGAGCGGGTAGGGCACGGAGAGGCCGCCCTGGGCGTGGCGCGCGACGCGCGCGTCGTGCTCGAGCTCGCCGGCGGTCCAGATGCGGCCGCCGGCGAGGGGCGACTTGCGCGAGCCGCGGAGCGCGTCGAGGAGCTTCGTGGAGTTGCGCTCGAAGGTGTCGAGGGGGCAGAGCGGCGCGATGTCGATGGCGAGGAAGAAGTGGCCCAGGGGCATGGGCTTCTTGGCGCCCGTCGCGCGGTCGATGCCGCAGACGGCCTCGCCGAAGGGCCCGCTCTGGAAGGCCGTGCAGAGGAGCTCGACGGTCGTCGCCCAGCCGTAGCCCTTGTAGCCGCCCATGTCGTCGCCCGCGCCGCCGACGGGCGTCAGCGCGCACTTGCCGAGCTGCATGTCGCGGAGGATGCCGTCCGTGTCCGTGCGCTCGACGCCCGCGGAGTCGATGACCGCGCCTTTCGGCGTCGGCTTGCCGTCGCGCGAGTACTTCTCGATCTTGCCGCGCTGGTTCACGGACGTCGCGCAGTCGATGCAGAAGGGGAAGCCGTCCTTCGTCGGGATGCCGAAGCAGAGCGGGTTCGTGCCGAGCATGGGCTCCGTGCCGAACGTCGGCGCGATGGACGGCCGCGCGTTCGTGCCCGTGAGGCCGACGCAGCCCGCGTCGCTCGCCATCGTCGCGTAGTAGCCCGCGATGCCGTAGTGCGTCGAGTTCTGGGCGACGACGAAGCCGACGCCGTGCTTCTTCGCCTTCTCGATGGCGAGCTTCATGCAGTAGGGGCCGACGTAGAGGCCGAGGCCGAGGTTGCCGTCGACCAACGCCGACGTCGGCGACTCGCGCACGACGTCGATGGGCTTGTGGGGGAAGAGGATGCCCTGGTCCATGCGGTCGCAGTAGATGGGCTTGAGGCGCCCGATGCCGTGGCTGTCGATGCCGCGGCGGTCAGCCTCGATGAGGACCTCGGCGCTCGTCTCCGCCTCGGCCTCGGGCACGCCGTACGCGACGAGCGTGTCCTTCATGAACTGCTTCATGAAGTCGAAGGGCACGATGGCCGCCGGCGGGGCCTTGCCCTTCTTCGCCGGCGGCTCCGGGGGCGCGAGCGACAGCCCGTAGACCGACGCGCCGACCTTGGCCAGGGAGTCGTCGCTCGAGCCGCCCGCGGCGACGAACTTGGTCAGGGCCTTCTCGTAGTCCGACGCGCTCCCGTTGGCCTTCAAGACGGCCATCATCTCCTCGCGCGCGGACTCCTGGGGCGACGGACCCATGGTTCTGTGCGACGGCGTGCTCTCCCGTCCTCCGTCTCTCTCTCTCTCTCTCTCGGGCGGCTCGAGCTTCAACATTGCACAATTCTTGCACCCTAGCGCACCTATGCTGCCGCCCGGCCGGCCGATGATCACGAGATGATGCGCGGGCTGCTTCGCTGGACTCTCGTCGCCGCGCTCCTGCGCGTCGCGACGCCGCAATGCGGCAGCTACGCGTCCGTCACCGTCGTCGGCCGCGCGCCGCGGGCCGGCGTGCCGCTCGCCGAGGGCTGCAAGTACGTCTACCTCGACTTCGGCGGCCACCACGGCGTCCAGGCGCGCAAGATCTTCGAGCAGCGGCGCTACGCCAACACGAACCCGAAGAAGATGGTCATGTACGAGCACTGGGACGCGACGTTCGGCGAGCTCCGCGAGCTCTGGAAGCAGGACGTCTGCGTCGTCGGCTTCGAGCCGAACCGGCACCACGAGCCGCGGCTCCGCGAATTGGCGCAGCGCTACACGGCGCGCGGTTGGCGCACGACCTACTTCGTCGCCGGCATCGGCGTCGCCGACGAGCTCCAACCCTACTCCATCGACTTGAACACGACGACGACGAACGACATGATGTTCACGGGGAGCCTCTCGCGGGGGGATACGAAGTGCGACGGGAGCCTCGTGCCCGTCGTCGACGTCGCCGCGTTCCTGGAGACGCACGTGCTCCCGGCGACGAGCGTCGAGGGGGTGTTGGCCAAGCTCGACGTCGAGGGGTCCGAATACGCCGTGGTCAAGCGCGTCGTCGAGCGGCGGCTGGAATGCGCCGCGAGCGTCTGGGCCGTCGAGTGGCACGAGGCGTCGCCGGTGCCGGGCGTCGACGCGCGGAAAAAGCAGGACGCGCTGCGCGGCGCGCGGAAGTGCACATCTATTATCGAGGTCGACGACGAGGCCTTCGCGTGGGACCCGTTCCCGCTGCCGGAGCGCCTCGACTCGTCCGCGGGCGCGTTCGACCCCTGGTCAGTCTACAACGTCAAGGACCACGGGGTCTTCTGGCTCCACGGCATGAAGCCCCACAAGGAGGTGGCGAAACGACGGAGCTTCAAGGACACCATGCGCATCCAGCAGGCGCGGCGCCGGAAGCCAAATTAACACGGGTAAAAGAAAACGTCGTTAGATGAACTCCGCGTCGTCGATCTCGACCGCGTCGCCCGGCGCGTCGAAGGTGCGATGGGGCGTCGTGCGCGCGTCGTCGAAGCGCAGGAGGCTCTCCGTCACCGTGACCTCCATCTCGTCCACGGGCGAGTGCAGGGGGCTCAGGTCCGTGTCGCTCTTGCGTCGGACCTTGGCGCGCTCGGTCCGACTCGCGTCGCGGAGCATGATTTGGTCGTCCTTCGACGAGATGGACCGGTGCGACGGCAGGCCCGCGATGCTCGTCGCGCGCTGCTTCCGCCGCTCGCGCGCGCGCTCGACGACCGTCGGCGACACGACGGTCACGATCATGTCGTCGCAGCCGTCGTCTTCCAAGAACAAATCGTCGTCGGAGCCGTCCTCCTGCTCCCGGTAGCGGCGATAGACGTCCCGGAGCTCGTCGTCGTCGAAGGCCGGCGACGACGGCGACGACGGCGGCGCCGCGTCGCCGTCGTCGACGGACGAGAACGACAGGCGCGAGATCTTCGAGGACCGCGTGTTTATCGAACCCTCCACGTCGTCGACGACCTCCTCCTTGCCCTCGTCCCGGGGCGCGAAGTTCTTGCTCCCGCGGCGCACGCGCCGCATCTCGCCGTAGGAGAGCTTGCGCTCCTTCTCGGGCGTCCACGCGAGGCGGCGCTCGAGCTCCCAGGAGATGCGGCGGATCTTCGTGCGGATGCGCTTCCGCAGCGACCGGTCGGAGCCCGGTTCGGCGATCTCGACGGTGGCGTGCTGCGTGTTCTTGAATTTGAAGCCCGGGGTGTCGTCCTGGGACACGTACCACGTGGCGAGCGCGACCGCGAGCGCGACGACGCCGACGACGCCGACGACGATCCAGAGCAGGTCGACGCCCGCGACGGCGACGCCGAGGCCGTCGTCGTCGCCGTCGTCCTCCGCGGAGGCGGCGGGCCGCGGCGTCGGGCGGGGGCGCGCGACGATCGGCGTGGGTCGCGGGGTAGGGAAAAATTTGGCAAGTTTCGGCGTCGGCCGCGGCGTTGGCAGCAGCTTCATGATCTTTGGCGTCGGTTTCGGCGTTGGCAGTTTCTTCATGATCACGGGCGTCGGTCTCGGAGTCGGCGAGTACTGAGCGATGCGCGGCCCCGTCGGCCGCGGGGTAGGAAAAAATTGAGCAATTTTCGGCGTCGGCCTCGGCGTCGGCAGGAACTGGAGGATCGCGGGCGTCGGCCGCGGCGTCGGCGCCGGCGTCGCGCACGCCGCGCAGCAGGAGCCGCTCGCGGGGGACCCGTCGTCGCCGTTGGCCGCGCAGCGCCCCGCGGGCAGCGCCGCGACCCAGGCGCATGTCTTCGACGGCTGCGCCTTCTTGTGCCACGACGCGTCGTCGTCGACGCAGACGGCACTCGGCGCGGGCGTCGCGGCGCAGGCCTCGCAGCAGGCCTCCGCGGCGGCGACCCCGGCGCCGTCGACGGCGCCGCAGCGCGGGGGCCAGGCCGCGGCCCAGGCGCAGTCCTTGGCGGGCTGGCCCGCCTTGTGCCAGGTCCCGTCGTCGCGGCACGTCGTCGGCGCCGGCGACGGCGCGTCGAACGCGCAGGCCTCGCAGCAGGCGTCGGCGCCGGCGACGCCGCCGGCGTCGAGGGCCTCGCAGCGCGGCGCGAAGGCCGACGCCCAGGCGCAGTCTTTCGAGGGGGCGTCGCGCTTGTGCCAGGACGCGCTGTCGCGGCAGCCCGTCGGCGCGGCCGTCGGCGCGAGGTAGACGTTGGCCCGCGTCCGCGCCGCGATGGCGGCGAGGGACGCGTCCTCGTCGACGGACGCGGCGGCGAGCGCGCCGCCGACGCCGAGCGTCGCGGCGACGGCGCCGACGACGTACTCGAGGGGCCGCGCGAAGCCGCCGTCGACCTCGAGCGTCGGCGTCACCGCGCGCTCGAGCTGGTCCCGGACCGACGCGACGACGGCGTCGGCGTCGTCCGGGCGCGCCGCCGTCCGGAAGGCGAAGGCCACGAGGGTCGCGCCCGACGACGGCGGCGGCGTCGGCGCCGCGGACGGCTCCGGCGCGACGCAGGCGCCGCAGGCCCGGCGGCAGGCGCCGTCGAAGGGCGCGCCGGCGGCGAAGAGCGTCGCGCAGAGGCCGTCGCCCGCGGCGGCCGCGCAGCACGCGTCCGCGGACTCGTAGCCGCCGCAGATCGCCGGCGGCGCGACGCCGTTGTCGCAGCCCGTCGGCTCCGGCGACGGGGCGAGCGACGGCGCGGGCGACGGCGCGCCGCAGAGGCCGCAGGTCGCACGGCAGGACCCCTCGAAGGGCGCCGCGGCGCCGAAGAGCGTGTCGCAGAGCCCGTCGGCCGCCGCGGCGCCGCAGCACGCCGCGCCCGAGTCGTAGGCGCCGCAGATCGCCGCGGGGGCGTCGTCGACGCAGGGGGTCACGGTCGGCGCGTAGGTCGGCGCGTAGCGCCCGTCCTCGAGGCGCCGCGGGGCGTCGTCGACGTCGCCTCCGTCGAGGCGCCGCTCCGCGGTGGAGACGCGCACGAAGGCGTCCGCGCCGTCGATCTCGACGACGAGCTGCGCCAGCGCGCCCTCGAGCACGAGGCTCTCGACGCCGCCGAACTCCGCGAGGTCCTCGAAGACGACGGCGCTCGCGACGAGCACGGCGACGCGGCCGTCGGCCGTCGGCGGCGACGAGGGCGCGCCGGTCGGCGCGAGCAGCGCCGTCGGGTGGTGCGACGCCGTGGGCCAGTGCGTGACGTGCGTCGGGACGGGCGTCGGCGCGCAGAAGCCGCAGGTCCGCCGGCAGTAGCCGTCGAGCGCGCCGCCCTCCGCGAAGCCGCCGCCGGGCTCGCAGAGGCCCCAGCCGTCGCGGAACGCGGCGCAGCAGGCGTCGACGTCCGCGTAGAGGTCGCAGACGACGACGGCGTCGGCGAGGCCCGCGTCGCTCCGCTCGTCGCTCGTGAGGATCGTCGCCCAGTCGCCCGCGTCGAAGACGTAGCGCTCGAAGCCGCCGTCGGAGCAGCCGCCGCTCGGCGCGGCCGTCGGCGCGCGCGACGGCGGCGCCGTGCAGACGCAGGTGTCGACGCAGGCGCGCGCCGCGACGAGGCCGCGGTCGCCCTTGACCGCGCAGCGCGCGCCGGACGCGCGCGCGACCCACGCGCAGTCCTTCGACGGGTCGTCCTTCTTGTGCCAGAGCGCCGAATCCACCTACCAAATGTGTCGGTAGCGATTTCTCATTGTGTTCTCACCCCAAATCTCTCGAAAATCGTCACGGCCACAGGACGCTGGAGTCGACGCAGGCGGGCGTCGACGGCACGGGCGTCGGCGCGGCGCTGGGCTGCGCCGTGGTCGGCGCCGCCGTGGACGGCCGCGGCGACGTCGACGGCGCGCGCGTCGGCGCGCCGCTCGGGCCGCCCGTCGGCGCGGGCGTCGGCGCGAGGGACGGCGCGCCGCAGAAGCCGCAGGTCGCGCGGCAGCTCCCGGCGAAGGGCGCGCCGGCGTCGAAGAGCGTGCCGCAGAGGCCGTCGCTGCGCGCGGCGGCGCAGCAAGACGCGGCGTCGTCGTAGGCCGCGCAGAGGGCCCCGGGCTTCTCGGCGCCGTCGTCGCACGCCGTCGGCGCCGCGGACGGCGCGTAGGTCGTCGGCGCCGGCGTCGGCGGCCGCGACGGCGCGGCCGTCGGCGCGCAGGTCGTGTGGGGCGTCGGCGCGCGCGTCGGCGGTTGCGACGCCGACGGCGCGCGCGACGCCGACGGCGCGCGCGAGCTCGGGCCGCGGGTCGGCGCGCGCGACGACGACGGCGCTGAGGTCGGCGCCGGCGCGAGCGACGGCCGGGCCGTCGGCCCGCAGAAGTCGCACGCCGCGCGGCACGCGCCGGCGAAGGGCGCGCCGGGGCCTGTTGTGGAACTCAAATCTTCAACCC